CTGCGTAATGAGGGGCATGTACATCTTCATGACCTCGACCTCGGCGTACGCCTGACCAGCACGGACGTGCTCACCGTTCTCGACGGTGAACTTGACCAGCTTACCGGGAGAAGGAGAACGGAGCTGAGTGGGGTCGTTCTCCTGCTCCAGAAGGCAGGTCTTGCCATCCACACTCAGACGAGTGGCAGCGGCCTCATCCTTCCAGTAGACGTTGTGACTGCGGCCGTTGAGCAGAACCAGCAGACCACCGTCAGCCAGAGCACGGACACCGACCGAGCACTTGGAGCCATTGATGAACAGGTGGTAGCTATCCAAGCCGGCACGAGTGGCAGTAAACTTGTAGCGGGACCCCTCGTAGATGAAGTCCACGGGGAAGACGGTCTTCAGAACGTCCTTGGCGGGCACCTGACCCTTCTCAAGGCCCTTGCGGTACTCCTCGATACCAGCCTCGCTGGAAAGGTGAGCCTTGGTGACGGCACCACAGATCACAGCAACAATGGGGTCAGGACGCTCGGCAGTCAGCTTGTTAGAGATCAGCTGGTCCAGCCATCCAGTGGTGATGGTGTTGTCCTCGAAAGCGGGAGTCTCGAGCAGCTTAATCAGGTATTCGACGGTGGTACGGAAATCACCACGAATGCTCAGCTCCTTCAGCGCAACGACCATGTGCTTCCGCGAGGCCGAGCGGTTCTCACCATAGGCGAAAATATGACCGAACTGACTGTCGGAGAAACTGTGAATGCCACCGGCAGTACCGACGGAGAAGTAACCCCAGACATTGGACGAAGAACGGAAGTTGAGCTCGTGCATGGTACCGCTGGACGGCTTGAAGCCCTCACCGGGATCCTCAGAGGTGATACGGCAGGCAGTGGTGTGGCCCTTGGGTTGGGGACGGCGCTGGGTCTTGAAGCTCTCCTCGCTGGAGAAGTCAAAGTCGATCTCGGAGGACGTGTTGGGGTCGACGCCGTACAACAGACGAATGTCACGGATCTGATGCAGGGGGATACCCATGGCGATCTGCAGCTGAGCGGCGGGCAAGTTGACACCGGAGACCATTTCGGTGGTGGGATGCTCGACCTGGAGACGAGGGTTCAACTCGAGGAAGTAGAACTTGTCATCAGCGTGCGAGTAGAGATACTCGACGGTACCGGCAGAAACGTAACCGACCAGGCGACCCAGGCTAACGGCAGCCTTCTCCATGGCCTGGAAAGTGATGGGCTTGGCAATGGTAACGGGAGCCTCCTCGATAATCTTCTGGTGACGACGCTGGACGGAACAGTCACGACCAAAGAGGGAGATGTTGTTACCGTACTGATCAGCCAACAGCTGGACCTCCAAATGACGGGCGTTACCAGCGAGCTTCATGATGAAAATGGGCGAACCGGGGATCTCGTTGGCGGCGGCATTGTACAGAGAGACAAACTCCTCCTCGTTCTCGACCTTACGGATACCCTTACCACCACCACCCTCGGAGGCCTTGATCATGACGGGGAAACCAATCTCCCGAGCCTTCTCCAGACCTTCTTGGGGCGAGTGCGTGCAACCACGGCTGTAGACATCATCCTCGACGGTGACAATGCCCTTGTCATCGATCGTCACCTCCTCGACACCGGTACCGGACCAGGGAATACAAGGCACACCGGCATGCTGTGCGACAATGGTGGAGGAGATCTTATCACCCAGAGAGCGCATGGCCGAAGCAGGGGGGCCAATGAAAATGATCTTCTTGGGCGAGGCCGCGAGCGACTCGGGTAACCGAGGGTTCTCGGAGGCGTGACCCCAACCAGCCCAGACGGCATGGACATCCATGCGCTCGGCCACATCGACGATCAGCTCGACGTTGGCGTAATTATTATTATTGGTACCGCCGGGAACCTCGACGTATTGATCCGCCATACGGATGTAGTCGGCATTGGCGTGCAAGTCCTCCGGGGTGGCCATGACGGTGAACTGGATGGCACGCTCATCGCCAAAGGTCTCGTAGGCCCATTTCCGCACTGATCGGATCTCCTTGACGGCGGCGATACCGTTGTTGGCGATGAGAACCTAATTGTGGGAGAAACCGGTTTGTCAGTCATGTCCGTCCTTTGTAGTCCCTTCTATTCGTCTCGACCGTCTTCGTTGTCGTCTCCATCCGTCCGCATCTTCTCTCTCTGTCTCGTCCTCCTTCCACCTGTACACTCAGGAAAGACTCACCGAAGTAATGACGGAGTGACCGCCCTGGTTAGCAACGAAATCCTTGACGGAGCTGGGCGGTGCTACGCCGAGGTGGTTACCACCGATGAAATGTGAGGGGAGGTCGTATTTAGCGGCATTGGAGCTGCCGTGGCCGTTGACGGGCGCACTGCCGTTGACGGGCGCACTGCCGTTGACGGGCGCACTGCCGTTGACGGGCGCACTGCCGTTGACGGGCGCACTGCCGTTGGGGACAGCCATGATGGCGTATGTATAAGGAATTTGCGTGTGTGTGGCGGTGGGAAGAAAGTACACAGCTCAGTCGGAGGGAGGGTACGAGCTGATCAGAGTACCGGAGCTGGAATTGGGGAGGGGTAATGGGCCCAATGTTCCGACAAGATTAAACAGCGCTGCTGGAGGAGAATGGATGTAGGGTGGTGAAAATAATCGGCAATGTCGGGGTAATGTACAGAGAAGTGGCGAAGAGGAAGTGCCAAAAGGGATGGCTCGTTACGGGGCGTAGAGAGGAATGAAGAAGAGGAGGAAGAGGAGGAAAGAGGAAGAGAAGATTTCCTTTTTTTTCCTGTTTCCAATCTGTCCCAAAACGAAAGAATTTGGTTAGCCGCACGCTTCAAGGAATCGTCCAAGGGCTTGTTCTTTTTTGGTCCACGTTTCTCTATTCCCGAAGAGACCCGTCGGGGATGACAGACGAGCTGCTTATGTGCAGAAAGGCCTCGTCGCCCCCGATGCGGGCAGCTCGGCGTTGAGCGGGATTGGTTGTTTGCGGACAAAAACAACGAGAAGAGACAGGGTTACAGCAAGGGGTGGAATTCAGGTTCAGATTCAGGAACCAGGAGTAAAGCAAAGCAAAACAAGGATGGACTTACCGGGACCACCAGCAAAAGACCCGAATTGTTCAAGGGGAGAAAATTGGAAGATTAGAGAATTGAGAGAGTACGCAAATGGAGGACGAGGCCCAGTACAAAAAGGTCGCGAAGGAAAAAAAAAATGCTGAGGATGATTTGCAGTGTCCCCCACCGGGCTCGGGGATCGGGGGTCCCAAGTACCGGCGCATACAAATTAGTATGGGCGGGTACCTGTCCCAGCAGCTCCTGGGCTGGCCGTATTTTCATTTTCCCCAACTCCCGCGATTGTTGGGCCGGTTCCACCAGCAGCAACCCTCACCATCACCGTCCCACCCGTTTCCAACGCCATTTTCAGCTCGGATTCTTTTGCACCCAATCAGACCGGTGGAGCTTCAAAAGACGGTTCGACTCCTTTCGATCCTCACGGCCTGCTTGGGAAGAGATATTCTCCTCCTGTCGCGATGCCTCGAATATGATGCCTTCATACTGTACCTTCGGACCTCACCACGGCACTGACATCTTTCACTAGACCCAACTCTGGCTAGCCACCCTCCGATCCCGCCCCACCAGCCTCTCGGAGACCGACAACTCGGTGACTTCTGGCTGCCATGGCCTATATCTGGCCTCTTGTCGGACTATCCCTCCTCTCGGAGGTGCGATCGGGGGTCAATCGAACAATCTACGCAACGGATGTACTACGACGACTACTGTATAGAGAAACTCCTCACCTGGGCAGTTCTATCAGCCGTAATACTGTCCACAGAGACTTAATAATCTTCACGATTCATCTCATCTTCTCCTCTGTATTAAATATCCACCGCATACAAGTCTGCAGGATCCAGATCCAGATCAAGGCAATAATACAGTGTCCTGCAATGTTACTCCGTCCCAGTACATACTACTTTGCTCCGTCGAGTCTCGCGCAGGGAGTGCCCGAAAAGAAAGGCCGCGATGACGTCATGTTCCCTCTCACTCTCAGCGAAACGTTGAGGGCCCCGTCTGCACGGACCAACTGCCAGAGAGGGGGAACCGTGGGAAGGGCGACCGCCAAGGAAAAGTGCCAGCTCCAGCTCGGGAGTGGAATGTTACCGTACTGAATTATGTACTATTTTTGAGATTCTTCTAAGGTAGTATTTTAGGTTGACTGTGGTTCTTGACTTGTTCTAGATTCAAGAATCTAGACCATTCTTCCATATAACGCCAAAAATCCAAGGGGCTCTTGCAACCTGTGAATCAGGTTTAGCTGGGAATACTTTTCCTGCCCCAACGCAAGTATATGGAAACCATACGCCAGGACGGGAAATGAACAGGACCCCAGTCGACATGAACAAATCCTACACACCCTCACGCCAAGAGATATCGTAGGTGTCTTTCAAAAGAGGTAGATTAGAGTCCATCCACTACGGCACAATTCAAAGACATAGCATCGTGGGTATTATCAAACGCCTCGCGACGTACACAAAAAGGGGGAAATGAAAAGAAAACACAAGATGCTGAGACACAGCTTAGGACGCCCCAGAGTCTATCCGGGGCTGTATCAAAAAAGGGGGGAGTGCGGAGCCTAACTTGCAGTAAAAAAGCCAGCAGTCAGGTTCCCCGCCCCTCACATGTATGTAGGTAGAGAGATGAGAGACCCAAATTAACCACCGCATCAGCGCCAAAAAAGAAACAGAGAAATGGGCCTATACAGAACGACGCAAAATCATGGGGGTGGTTGGAGGAGAGGTCCCGTCAGACCACAGTCCAGGTGGCTGTCATGCACAACGAGTAAGCGACTAAACGAGGTAGATGCAAAATCATATGCTCCCAGGCAAGAAAGTAGTTCTCCCAAAGGTAGGAAAAAGAATTGAAATCCAAGGAAAAGAGACAGTAGCCCAATGCGTGATCCATGTGGCCCTCCTTGTCCATTGATCAAGTAAGGATATCGAAGGAGGGCGAGGTATCAAGGGCATCAAAGGCAGTTTAATAGGTCTCTCCAATGTCACTTTGCTTCCGTTCCAGCGGTGCGGGCATAGTCCCCGACCCGATACTTGTCTTGAAGCTGCGGGGCGTCGGGATAGCCGACATGCCACTGGTGGTACGTTTCTTAATTCCAGGTGTGGCGGAGACGGAGGGTCGCCGCACGTCCTTGGGAATACGGGACACGGTCGGGGTAGAGACATCATGGTCTTCATCGATGTTGGACATGCTTGCAACAGACGGTGTTTGTCCGTTGTGGTTACTCAGAGATGACCTGGGTCGGCGGCTCTCCGTCGTGGGGTTGGTTGAATAGTGGCCGAGAGGCGTCTTGGCGCCGGGGCGGCTCTGCCGACTTTCAGGGCGACCAATCGGCACTCCGGAATGTACACTTTGGCTGAACGAGCTCCGACTGGAGTAGCTCGTTCGGCTGCTCGGTCGACTATCACCAGTACGAGCCCCGATGGACTGGCGACCCTGAGGAATATATGAAGGAGTACTTTCGCTATCTCGAACGGATGAGCCAAAGCTACTGCCACTCATTCGCTTGCGAGAGGTTCTCCGAACGGTGATCGTGGATGGCACTGGGCTGTCTCCGATCACTGAACCTTGGCGGGAGCGTGGAGATCCCCGAGAGGATGTCTCTGAGGGTGCTGGAAGACGTGACCGGGCAGACTGGACACGCTCTTCCAGTTTCTGCATCTTGCCAATAAGTCCACGAATCTGGAACAGCGAGCCAGATTTGGGAAGACCGGAGGGCCGGGAGGTGGTCGACCTGGACAGGCTGTTGCGGGAAGAGTAAGACATGGACGGGGTAGTGCGACCACCATTACTGTAGCCACTGTTACTGTACGCAAGAGATGAAGTGCGCGAGTGGGCAGCAGGCCGAGCCGGCTGGGTTCTGGTATTGTGCAGGGTCCGTGAGTTGACTGGTTCTGCGCCAGTCGCTCTGGTTCGAGGGAATGTGGGGGTTGCGTTGATGGACTTGCGGAAGTTGGTAGAGGCCTCTGAGATGGGCGGCGAGGGCGGAGTTGCGGTTGAAGAGGCCAAGGTCGACTTGGCTGGAGGGGTCGCAAATACGGGAGACGATTTGCCTACGCCAGGAGACCGATCGAAAATCTCTAGTGGCTGGGGTGTCGACGGGCTGCGGTACAACGGTGTCGGCTTGCGACGACGGAACCCATGACCCTCGGTGTGGCGCAGCTTCTCCTGGTTGATCTCGGCTTCAACCTTGAGGTCAGAAAGTTCGTCTCTCAAACGCTGATTGTCAATCCGCAAGCTTTCACGCTCTTGTTCCCCAGTCCTGATCTCCTCTTCCAGTAGCACCCCGCGCTCGATGGCGACATTGTATTTAGACTCCAAGTCCTCCAGGGACGAAGTGGTGTTTCGGGCTTGTCGCTCGTAATCGTCGTTGGCAACTTCAATATCACGCAGCTTCAACTGCAAAGTGCGATTGGCATCGCGCAGAGAGGTAATCTCCTTCTGCAGGGTGTTTTGCGCATTGTTCGCCTCGGTCTTTGACTGCTTGTATTTGGTCTGCAGGCCACCAGTATCAGCCCCCGCGCCATACCAGATGACGAAAACTTGTAGATCACTCACCTTCCACTCCTCTACCTCGTAGCGCAGGTTGTCAACTTTCTCCCTGAGCTGTCGCTCGCGCTTCTCCTTGTCCTCCATCTCCTTTTCCATCTCCGCCTCCAGCTCGGTGCTGGAGAGCTGGAAATCGTGCAGCTCCTCCTGAATCGACTCATATTGGGCTTTGTAGTACTCGATGGTATACTCTTCCACACCATTTGTGTCCTTCCCCTTAGAGGGTGAATCATCGGCGGCTGGCATCTTCTTCCCGCGTTGGGCACCGGGCGGGCCGCAAAGCAAATGTCTGCGGGACCACCGGCAAGAAAAATGATTCTATCACCAGAAGGAATCTGGAGTTGGCGGCACCACACTTCCAATCGCCCGCTTCGTTTAACTCACGGGTTCATGGGGTGGTGGTGGCTGGGCGCAAATCAAGAACCGTGCGTTGTTGATAAGAACCCCTCGGCGAGGCGGTTAGCAGGTGAACACGGGCGATGTTGGTGATGCACCCTCCACCGATAGAGACCAAAGGACGAGAAATGTCGCCGCCAAAGCAGAGCGACACCTTCCGGACTTACCTTTCCCTGACTTGGGAGGGGGTTGAAAGGGCGGGTGCGAGACTCTCCGGTGGAAGGGTGGTTGTTGTCGCAAAGCGGGATTGATTAGATCGGGTGAGGAGTGTTGATGTTGCGGTCGTCAGGGGGGCCAGCATAGAGCTATACTAGATTAGGACTAGTGGGCTGTATTCTCACCGCCCCGAAGGTGATATCACGTGTCTGTCCCAAGCACCTTTCTCCTCCTCCCCCTCACCGCCTTTGGCTCTCCCTGTCCGCCTGTTGCCTTACAGCCTGAGGCGATCAAACTGGCTAGACTCTAATCGGTGGCGATATCTGGATTCCTCGGAGCTGTCCCTAGGGATTCTGGGGTAATCTCGTCGTGTCGAGAGCTGCTCGTCCAGTCTTCCTGTAAGTTGCACCTCTCTGTCTCTCGCTGTCTCCCAGCTCCGTCCACGCACAACACCTGAGTGCTTTCAGCATGTCCCCCTTTCCGCCACCCTCCGGGGTTGCTATGCCCACGCACAGCAATACCTGGATCGAAGGCTGATCCGTCAAGATTGCTTCCACGCACTTGTTTACACTCCTTCGGGTTCCACTCCAAATCTCCACGCAGTACACAGACATCGAGGTGTACGCGACGATGATGTGACATTGGTACTCACGCTGCTTCTAACAGACAGATCGCACTCCGGGTCCGTAGCCTAACTACGATCACTCGTCATGGCGGACCCCTCTGATCTCAACTTGGACGCGCCCAGCGACCTCCAGGACATTCCTGAGCTGGCCATGCAATTGATTCCCCCACCTGAGGGAACATACCCTGATAAGTCAGTACCAGCATCTTTGAGGCGTTCCTGGTACTTTTGATGCTAATGAGCTTCTATCCAGACAAACCCTACTCGCTGCCGTCCAGAGTCATGGCAAAACCCACGGCTACAACGTGGTGGTCAAATCCTCGAGTACTCCGACAGAGAAGAAGCCGGGTCGAACTGCGAAGGTGTGGCTGCGTTGCGATCGTGGTGGTCACTATCGGCCTCGAAATGGACTCACCGAAGAAACTCGCAAACGCCGCCGAACCTCCCGACTGATGGACTGTCCTTTCATGCTCGTCGCAGCTGGTTCCCCAGGTATCTGGAGCTTGACCGTCTTGAATCCGACCCACAACCATGGACCCATCGTGGACAAACCTCGTCAGCCACCTCACCACAAGGTGCGCAAGGGTCAATTGGCTGCGACGCCCTACGATTGGCCCCATGATTGTACCTTTACTCCATACACGACTGCTCTGGTCATCATCGACATGCAAAAGGACTGTAAGTTGTTGCTATATCAAACGAATTTCCCTTCAAAATCAAGGTCGGGCGTCTAACATGTTCCCTAGTCTGCTCAATTGGCGGATACATGCACTATCAGGGCTACGATATCTCTCCAGCCCAAGCTCTGATCCCCAAGCTGCAGGGCCTACTACAAGCGTTCCGCTCTGCCGGTTTCCCCGTGTATCACACTCGTGAGGGTAAATTGATCTCGTCATATTTCCAGGCAATCCCTCATGTCTTCCGAACTTACCCACTAATTTCTCGTGCAGGCCACCGACCCGATTTGTCTACTCTTTCCAGTCGCGAGTCATATCGCTCGCGCAACAACGCTACCGGTCTCGGCATTGGCTCTCAAGGCCCAATGGGTCGTCTGCTTATTCGCGGTGAACTGGGTCATGACATTGTGGACGAACTGTACCCTATTCAAGGTGAACCAGTCATCGACAAGCCTGGACGCGGCGCCTTCACATACACCGACTTGGAGCTCCTCCTTCGCAACAAAAGCATCAAGAACCTTGTCATCGCCGGCGTGACTACCGATGTCTGCGTTTCAACTACCATGCGTGAGGCTAACGACCGTGGATTCGACTGCCTGCTACTGGACGATGGTTCCGCGGCCGCTGAGCCTAATCTTCACGCTTCCACCGTCGCGTCTGTCAAAATGGAAGGCGGAATCTTCGGCTCCGTCGGCAAAATTGAAGATGTGCTTCAGGCTGTTGAAAACTTCAAGGCTGCCACAATGAAGAAGCAACCTTCCCAGATGGCAGGCGAAGTCTGAATACCAGACTCATCGCCGTCACACTTTATTAGCGACATTTGTTTGGGTATCGTTGGGAATTGGGAGGAAATGGCTGGCGTTCACTTTTCAAGGCTGCGGGCGTTTCGATTCTCCGTCTTCATGGCTCTTTGAACGGACGGCAGTGTCTTCGAGCATAGCTTGTTGAACCTCACCACCGGTTCGGCTCTTGACTTCTTTGGTTCTTTGGTTGTCAGATTTTAGCGGGGCTCGGGTTTTTTTCGGTCACAGTTGTCTTTTGTGTTTTGAGTATCTAAAAGCGCGCATGGTTTTGCAGAATATTGATGTTTATTCTAATCTTATTTTCCGGGTATCATACATAATTGGAGGCTTGTTCTTCCAGACTCAAGTCCTATGTAGGTCAAAGAAATTCCAAACTTGTCTGAAGCAGCAACCCCATCTCCCCGATCTTAGAATTAAACAATGCACACCCCATAAACGCCACGCTGATAGAGCCCCATGTTCAACAAAAGATATGATATGCACTCAAAGCCACTTCTTCCCCGCCGCAGTGACTCTCGTCCTGAACACGGGGCTCCGGATCTCCATACCCTGCTTGTAGAACGGACTCATGGCCGTCTTTACATAGCTCTCGTAGACTTCTGTCATGAACTGGCGTACGGCCTCCTCAGTCTGCGGAGAGGTTGGGTTCGCCGCGATGGAGCTTGTTGAGCCTCGTGCAACTAGATTGCCGGATGATCCTAGCAAAGACGATGATCCGAGTCCCCCGCTGCTGCCAGAGTTTGGTAGTTGTGGAGGTTGGTGGAGGAGAAGGAAGCGAGCGCCGCTCGGCGTCAGGAAGGCGGAGATGTAGGCTGCGGCGGGGGGATAGGTGTCGATGTGCTTGAGATACCTAGTTTGGGAGAGTTAGCTAGAGGTCATGGGAATAGCGCGCTGTTATGGAGACTAGGTCGAGGTAGATTGGCCTCTTTAAGAAGAGAAACGTACATTCCACCATTAGTCCATTGAGCTTCCTCTACAATGTCCAGACTGGAATGGATGATGAACTGGTTCATGTACTGTGCTGTGTCCGGAAAGCGAAACCGCGCAATGCCATCGCCACCACCTTTTGATGTGCCAAATGCAATATTGAAGATCGGCGTGTCTGTTGGCGAGAGGATAGTGAAATAGTATGACATTTTGGCGGGCTTCAGGCGTGGAGGTATGAAACGGGACTTTGAGGGGGATTGTTGCCCGAGTGGGCGTGGCTGTTTAGATATGTCACGTGGCAGATAAGGGACCAGGCTCGCAGCGTGGAATTAATTCAAAGCTTCAATTGGCGAAGCATCCTGAGATGGATTGATTAGATAACGGATCTGATTAAATTAACGCTCCTCGCTTGATGGGGTCCAGCTGTAATGGTAAGTAGCCCTCAGTTAATGCTAGACTTGTTTCTCTTTGGAAGGATTGTTGGGAGTGGGATTCCTGAAATATATCTTTGGACATATACCCGCAAGATCCTACACTGAACAATGAGCTTCTACCAACCTGTAATTTGCGCTGAAAAAAAAAAAACCATCATAAGTCACAATTTGTAAAAATCGATTACCCAGCAAGAAGTCCCCATCTGCTCTGCCATATCCAGGAATGCACTAGGTACAGTAGGTTACTATCCATGTACACAGAGAGAATCCAGGTATCCCCGCAAACCCCAAGTCACATGACATACTGATAACCAGCCCTTGCTTTATCGCGCTATCGCGACTTTTTGACTTGGAACGTCACCTACTTCCGGCTGCGGTCCCCACGACCTCGCTCGACTTAATCGATCTCTCACGGATTTCACACACAGTCCGCTGTATTAACTGACTTGGCTATCTTGCGAAAATGGCGCCTCAATTTTCGTCTGGGCTCAACATGCCAAATAAGACCTCCGCGAGACCAAAGCCAGGCAATGCTTTCGGACAGAAGCGCAAGAAAAACATCTTCGATGACGACTCCGGAGACGAAGACCAACGAAAGGACAGTGCAGTTGAGGTCTCTACGATTGGTGGATTGGATACGCCTGCGCCAAAATCGAAGCTCTCTACTGATGCTCGGCCGCCTCCCAAGCGAAAGATGCAATTGGGTGTTGGTGGCAAGCCCAGCGCAAAACCGCTGAACAAGAACTCGATTTTTGCTCATGATGAAGAAGAAGATGAAGAGAAGGATAAAGAACGACAAGAGGAAGTGCGCTTCGGACTGAATCAGACACAGTCAAAAAAGTCCACGGGTACGGGGCAGGATTTCAAGAACCTGTCTGCACTACACAGCAGTAAGAAGCATGCCGAGGAAGCCGAGGAACTCGACCCATCCATCTACTCCTACGATGCGGTATACGATAGTCTACACGCCAAGTCCGACAAATCTGCGACTGTCAACAAGAGCGAAGGACCCAGGTACATGACAAACCTGTTGCGCAGTGCAGAGATTCGGAAACGTGATCAGACACGTGCGCGCGATCGCCAGCTGGCGAAAGAACGCGAAGCTGAGGGCGATGAATTTGCGGACAAGGAGAGTTTCGTCACAGGCGCCTACAAAGCACAACAGGAGGAGATGCGACGAATGGAGGAAGAGGAGGAACGCCGTGAGAAGGAAGAGGAAGAACGGCGGAAAAAGAATGGTGGCGCTGGCATGGTCGGTTTCTATCGGGATGTGCTTTCGCGAGGTGAAGCCAAACACGATGAGGCTGTGAAGGCTGCCGAAGAAGCCGCGCGCCGTGTCAAGGCCGGGGAGATCGACGAAGACATGGCGAAAGAAACCGAAGAAAAGACGGAGGCTCAAAAGGCCGAGGAGCTCAATGCCCACGGTGCTCGTATTGCCATCAACGACGAGGGCCAAGTGGTTGATAAGCGTCAACTATTGTCTGCCGGTTTGAACGTGGCCCCCAAGCCGAAGGCTGCTCCATCTGCCGCGCCAAGTGCGGCACCTCGACCTGGCGCTGGCCGTCCTGGCGCTGGTGCTGGTTACCAGACTGGCCGTGCCGCCCAGCGTGCCCGTCAGACCGAGATGATCTCGCAACAGTTGGAAGAGCAAGCCCAGAAAGAAGAAGAGGCCGAGAGTGCTCGACAGAAGGAAATTGCAGAGAAGGCTCGCAGCCGCAAGACAGCCACGGATGTTTCCAGCGCGAAGGAGCGGTACTTGGCAAGAAAGCGGGAGCGAGAAGAGGCTGCTGCAAAGGAGCAAGCTGGGAAATAGAATCGGGAAACTTTTGTTTGGACATAGCGTTATATATCTGCATTTTGATGGCGCTGGAAAGGTCTGTTTGAGATGTATATTACAGAGCGGCGTCATGGATTATCATCTGATCTTGTTGACTGTATACAATCTATCAAGAAGCGAGTATGAATCTCCAGACCAAAGACCAATCTAATATGGAGAGAAGCGTATGAAACGCCATACCAACCAACCCCCTTGACTGAAAAGAAAAATGTGCAAAGAGCCAGCAGGGTACCACAGTATCTGGCTGGGACTTCTCTATTTCATCTTGTCCTTGATCTCTTCAACACCACTAACTAGTTAACTCTCAAGAGGATTGGAAGTATAGATGACATAGTTAATCAGTCTGAATGACATAATCACCCAATTGGGACGCCGACTGAAGCGCTGACTCATCCAGCGGAGAAAATACTTAACCCGAGACCGCTCGGGGGCTCGCTAAGGCCGCCCCACTCAGGACACACTCCCAATTTTGCAACCCTCCAGTGTGCATCGAGAGTCTCGCTTCCTCCCCTTTCAACACCTCGCAACTCCCACTTCATCGCCAACAATCATCCAACATGGGTAAGGTTCACGGCTCTCTCGCCCGTGCCGGTAAGGTCAAGGCTGCCACTCCTAAGGCAAGTACTCCCTCCGAACCCTCCAAGCGCCACCCTACGAAGCCTACAGATGTCACGACCATCTGCTCGGTCGCCAGGATGCCGTTTCCATCCATCAGAACTTCATCCTAACTGGAATTTTGAATATAGGTTGAGCCCCAGGAGAAGAAGAAGAACCCCAAGGGTCGCGCCTACAAGCGCATCCTGTACACCCGCCGCTTCGTGAACGTTACCATGACTGGTGGCAAGCGCAAGGTACATACCGACTGAAATTTCTATCCACCATCCATCACAGCCGCACTACACAATACTGCACTACACAAGCCGACAACCCTCCGCCAACTCTCCATTCCACAAACCATCGAACACACAATACCAGTGAAGGATCACGAGGCTGACAGAGGAACCCACACAGATGAACCCCAACCCCGGCACGTAAATTATCACTCGTCGATAAAGAAAAACCCCGAGTCGTGACGGAGCGTCGAGTTTTCATCGATGTTTGAAACAACAATATTCGCGATGCCTGGCACCCCGGTTTCTACGGCTCACCATCGAACGAAAGTGCTTACCATATAACGGCTGGCTACTTGTACGGATGATATCATGCTTCGCGTTCACTTGAATTTTTCGGCAACCGGGTCGGTTTTAAAGAGGCGGACGTTTTGAGGAAATGGATGGTGGAAATCAATGGCCTGAGGATGAAAGGGTGTTTTCGTTTTGCTTTTGGACTGCGGGCTGGCCAGTTACCCACGGGCTGCTGAGTCGAGCTTTGTACGGTCGCTTTCAACTCGTACATAGGCTATTCCATGCATTGCATTTCCAATCCAGAAATGGAGTCTCGGTTGCCCTTGTGTTTTTTAGGGACTTGGATCTGTCGATGCAGTCATTGCGAGATGAACGGTTTGGGGAGATCTATTCTTATCCTACCGACTCTACTCGCAGGCCTGACTTGAGACTAGACTGGATCATTCATTTGTCCCACGTAGATATCTATGCACCCCGACCACTGCACATGGTATGCACCAGTAATCTCTGTTGATAGTCGAGATCGCGTACTGCGTACATAGAACACCCGATTCAAGTTCTGTATGAGGTAGAGGCGGAGACCCTGTGGATCTTAGACAGGATCCGGTTAATGTTTAAGAAGCTCGCCTTGTCCGATATAGCCAGCTCCGTGCGTGGCATACCACACTCTAGTCAAGCTCCGAGGGCCTCAAAAAACCAGGCAAATGGGGGCCAAAAACCCAGTACGAGGTCTGTAATTCTACAACACTGAATCGCTAGTTCTAAATCATGCGTACTGTTGAAGGGTATTGAGCCACCGTCGTGTATGTGATACCAAAGACTTGACTGCCTGAAGATATGGTCTTCTGAAGCGAACAGGTGCCATCAAGAAGACGATCTAAAATGCTTTATAGGAAGAACCCTCGAGAGAATGTCGAAGCATTTGTGCTTGATCCCTTTCTATGGACTCACAGACCTATTTGGAAAGTCACTGTATCATTTGTACATTTTATAGGACGCTACTGTATAGCTCTAAGCGTTGGGGTAGGAATGGGTGTACAACAACATAGCCCCCTCCTGCGCCTCTTGTATGTAGCCTTGTCAAGGAGAGCCCTCCGAGGTCCGCGCACAGAAATAGCGCACACTTCTCATTTACTTACAAACTGGACCCTTAACCATTCACAACTCCGTTGATTCAAGTCTCATAATTGATTGTGTGATCTATCTTTCAGCATACATAAACAACCAAACCCACTCTGCTCAGAGGCCGATCGGACAAGATGCTAGCCCGGAGGGCGCCCGTTGGCCTGCCAAAGAACAATGCGACAAAACCAGACTTTGTCCCAACAGACTCTCTCCAATCCTCGGGATATTTTCAGCACCATATGCGTTTTCGTGCGCCTGGTACTGGGACCTGGATCTTCAACACGCCCGAGTATAAATCATGGCATGAGGCCGACTTACAAAATGTCCTGGTTATTCATGGCCTGTCGGGCACTGGCAAATCTGTCCTCGCTGCATCTATCGCGGACAGACTCCAGCGGACGGAGAGTGATGTTCCACTTCTTTTCTACTTCTGCCCTCGAAGACCTCATGGCCCTTTTGTTCAGAGTAACTGGCGGAAGAGCCTGAGTTTTAACCTGATCCGTGATTGGCTTGCCCAGTCGTTTAAATTCGTGCCGGGCCTAGAGGATAAGGTCCAAGCTTTGGACTCAAAACGCTTCATGCGTAGGTTTGATGGAGACTGGAAGTGGAAGCATCTGAATGATGTGGATCTGTTGCAACTCTGGAGGCTGTTGACTGAGGCGGTCGAAGGTATCCCGAAGCTTTACTGTGTGATTGACGGCATTGATGCCTTTCAAGATGCAGAAGATATGGAATTCTTGAAAAAACTGCTCAGCTGGAAAGATCTGCATACAGGCACTGTCAAAATATTGTTCACGAGCAACTCTGCAGGGCCTATTGAGAACGAGATTCGTCTGGACATGGAAAATGAGCTCGTGCAACAAGACGTTTGCAAATTCTTAAATGCCAAGCTAGAAACCCTCGATGTGCCTGATGATACGAAGTCCCAGATTCGAGAGGCATTTAGTGGAAAGTCGTTCCTCTATACCCGTCTCGGGTTGTTTGTCCTCCAGCAGGAGAGCGATACTATGGATATTTCGCATTTTCTGAATAAGCCAATTCCAACGCTGCATGGCCTGTACGATCTTGTTCTGAAGGATTGCAGGACTGGTCCATTCATGTCCTCGGAATATCGGCGATCGATACTATGTCTGACCCTCTATCCTGCCCGTCAGCTTCGCCGTCTAGAAATACTTTCCACCCTCGAAGCGATGTATGGATCTGAAGCAACGGATCAAAACTTGATCCAGTCAGCCTTCGGCCCCTTGCTAGAGATCTTTGGCAATGGCAACATGGTCATCTTCTGGGATTCTTTCATTTCGTTCGTACACGATAAGAACCGAAGCTTGGAAAGCCAGGCTCTGATGCCTGCCATATCGCCAGAAGATGCACACCAGCAAATGGCGACTATCTCCATGAAGGTGTTGATGGGCAGCTTCCACGAGCAGAAGAAACTCGAAGATGTCAATCGACACGACGAGTGGAGCGTTGCAATGAAATCCCAGCATTTCCTGGATTATGCAGCGTCTAACTGGTTCCTACATACCCGAGGGATCTCAAGCATTACAGGTGAATTACGAGAACTACTGCTTCATTGGGTTGGAGAGCGAAAGCAGTGTGCATATCGTTGGGCCGAGGAAATATGCGCTCCTGACTCAGATTCAATTGAGTCTATCACACCCATTCACATTGCAGCTTGGACAGGAGCTGTAAGCATGGTACAATTAGCTGTGGAGACGGGTTGCTCATACAACGATACAATGAGGGATGGGAGTTCGGCACTGTCTATTGCGTCGAAGTATGGACACAAAGATGTCATGACCTATCTCCTGTCTCGAGGCGCGAACCCAAATTTGGTCGACCGTGACGGTGACAATGCAATCGACCTCGCCGCTCGTGGGAATCACCTAGAGTCAGTACAGATCCTGGTTCAAGCTGGCGCCAATGTCAACCTCTCCGATGAAGAAGAGAAACGAGCCAATGGTAATAGTAAAAAATGCTCTTCAGGAGTCTTGGATCGCTCTTACCCGCGACGAACATCTGCTTTCTCAAAGGCTTTGACGGCCCGAAATGCAGAGATAATCCGCTATTTAGTCCCATTGGCGAGGGACCCCCATGATTTCGCAACAGGAATGGACGATGCCGCCACACAAGGGAATATCCCCATGCTCAAACTTCTCTTGAGCTCGCCATTGGCAAATGTGAACGGCAAATACTCTGGGGACACCCCACTGTTCCGCGCTGGGCTTCCCCACCGATACGAAACGATGAAGTTCCTTCTCGAAAATGGCGCAGATCCTAATCTAGCTTCCAGAGGACTGCGCTCTCAAGGCTGTGTTGTTGTCGGTTGGAGTCCGAATGATCCAGACTCTATCCCTCTCCATGCCGTAGCCGGGTTCGATGTTGGTGGCCAGCACCACTGGGGCAAAGTCGATGAGGAGCGACTTGAACAGGCGCGCAAGTGTTGTCAACTACTGTTGGATGCTGGCAGCAATGTCAATGCTCAAGGACATTCACATCAGACTCCTCTCCACCTGAGTGCCTCCAGAAACCTTACTACGGTGACAGAGCTACTCTTACAACACGGCGCAGACCCGCGTATCATGGATGAACAAGGGAAAACCGTATTCGACTCACTTAGTGGAGAAAAAGAATCTCTTGGTACTATTCAGATCCTGGCCAAGCATGGGCTTAGACTGGACGAGCCTCACGGCCCCAAGAGAGTTATTCCGCTATTCTCAATGTTTACGAACATGAGGGGCTTTCATGGTGGACTGGATCCAACGGAGCTGGGTCCGTATGTGAACGATTGGAACGTCACAGACGAAGACGGAAACACTATTCTGAACCTGATGATAAACCATAGTTATGCATTAGAACCCGACTTCATATCCAAGCTTGTGCAACTCGGGTGTGATACTCGACGAAAGAACAAAGATGGCCTTGAGCCACTGCACAAGCTCTGCCATTACTACTACTCGAACGGAGCACACAAAATCGACGCTGTCGGTCAGATACTCGTGAAAGCTGGGGGAGATATTGAAGCAAAAGATGCTAAGGGCTGCACGCCCTTGCACCATCTAGTGCAGAAGTTGAGGGATCATTCTGCAGACGATCAAGAGCTCATACCAAGATTTGTCCGTACATTTGGGGCTGATGTTAATGTGACTGACGGAGATGGAAACAGTGCACTTCATATGCTTTTTGAGGGGGAGCCTTCCGATGTTGTCAAGGATTTAGTGCTTAACTTGGGCGCAGATATTCGGGTCACGAACCATATGGGTGAGAATCTCATGCACATATTGATGAGGGGCAGTCTCGCCAAAAAAGCTGCCATTCCTGCTCATTTGATCCAGTGGCTTGCGGAGCATGGCATATCCAGCACTCACCGAGACAAGAGCGGGAATACTCCTCTCCATGTTCTGTGCCGGACCCGACAGAGTTCCAAAGCCGAAAAGTGGCCATCTGATCAGGCAGTTGATTTCCTGCTTTCTCTCGATGATGGTTTGGGTATTGAGATGGAGGACTATAAGGGTCTGCGCCCGATTCATTCAGCTGCGGCAAACAACAATCTACTCGTGGCGAAACTCGTTTTGAAGGGTGCTTCTACATCGACGACAACAAAAAGTGGACAGAACATTCTTCACATTGCTGCCTCAGCTCGTGAAGGAAACATAGTTGGGTTCATGGTGGAACATTACAACAAGAACGGACACCTTGGTCTTTTCTTGGATCGTCCCGATGAGGATGGGTGCACTCCATTACATGCAGCCTGCAAGGCTGGATCTCACGACAGTGTCCGCTTGCTAGTTGAAGCAGGAGCAAAGGTCGATATTTGTGACAAAACCGGTTGTACACCCTTGGATCTGTGCAAAAAGTTGTTCGATGAAGTGGCCAAGAACAGCGGAGATAAATTGGACCAAAACACTGCCTACCACTATTATCCCCATGAACATGGCGAGTTCGGCTCCGAACCAAACTTCCAAACCAATGATGGAGGACAGATGATGGAAATCATTTATTTCCTTGGACAGGCCATGGGCGAATCGCCATGCCTGAAAGGTGACTATATTCCTGACACTAAGAAACGTGTCTATCGTCAGTCTTGTTACACTCCCGTTATAAGGAAGGGTGACTACGGCGTGTTCCAAAAATGCATAGACCAAGGTACAAAATTTACCCCTGGCAATGATTCGGGCATACTTGACCCTCTCACTATCGTTGTGGACGGTGGTTATGCGTTCCTGTTCGAGTTGATCGCTCAGTCATTCCCTAACAATTCCTTTTTCGTGGGAAATGAGATTGTCGCCCCATATTTCTTGAAAGCCATCACGAGAACACAGCCAAATATGCCAATTCTGCGGCTACTAGTGGAGAGGTTTGGAGCGGACGTGAACATGCGAAAGACCGGCAGCACCACCATCTGGAGCGGTAAGCACGATTCATGTGAATTTGGTGCCCTGCACATTTTTGCTCGAGGTTATATCTGGTGGCACAAAGAAGCTCTCAAGTACCTGATGGAAAAGGGAGCCGATCCCAATCTGAAAGACAGCAGGGGGAGAACAGCGCTGCAATTGACCGTGAAAAGTGCTAAGCATGGCGCATTTATGAGCAAAGAAATTATGAGAATTTTGCTAGAACATGGCGCTGATCCGAACCTCACTGATGAGAGCGGGATTTCACCATTAGACGAGAAGATCAGTGATTCAGAGATAACTGAACTTCTGGTTCGCTACGGAGGCAAACCAAACCGCCCCGATCGCTCCTCCACTCTTTGCAAGGCCATCACAGACCGAGATCTTCAAGCTGTTCGGGATATCTTGGAGTGGGGGCAAGACCCGAACATCCAGCCACCTGAGGAGCCCAAAGTATCAACCTTGTCGACTCAAGCAGCCGGGTCAAAGGCAAGACGACGAAATAACCTTGGTATGGGCGCGTTTCGCCCAGATCCTCCTCAGGGGTATCCTCTCGAACTCGCCGTAACGAATATCTTCGATGAGAACCGCGTTAAGGAGGCCTTACCCATCGTTAGGCTTTTGCTAGAGTTTAATGCCAACCCTTTCAAGCAAAGCAAACGCGACGAGCAAACAACCATCCTGCACAAACTCCTAGAAGAGTCAGAAAGCTTGCAAATATGCGAGGCCTTACTCGACCAGAATGGCTTAGACCTCGAGACTCGCGACTCAAACGGCAATACTTTGTTTCTTGCGGCCTGCAAGAGCAAGCATAGAAGTTGGATACGTCTTGAGGACGGACCGAAGCTTTTGCGTTGCATAACTCTTCAGCAAAGAGGTGCTGACGTCCGTGCTACAAACAGCAAGGGAGACAATGCGCTGCATATACTTGTCTCCCTCGAGGACAGAGATAGAGGCGAAGAAGAGAAAAAGACCGCCATTTCTACGTTGATTGAATTGTGCCCTGAATTAGTCCATCAACGGAATAAAGATGGCTTCACGCCTTTCCAGACTGCTTGGAAAAGTAGTGATACGGACTGGGCTTGGCAGATTCTACTCGACGCAGGCGCTGATTTTACCACCCCCGCCCCAGACGGGAATACCGTTCTTCATGCCTCCTTGAAGGTACCCGCGATTAGGATAAGATGGATGAAGCGCTTCCTACATTCAGGTCTGGATCTAAATGCTCGAAACAAAGACGGGGAGACAGCAATATTTGGTTGGGCAAGATCCCCACAGATTTTGGTGGAAGATACAAAGCAGTTTTCAGAGTCCAAAGAACAGGAGGAGCTGAAGGACCTGTTTCCCAGAACGCTCCAGTTCTTGGAGGAGGCGGGCTTTGATTTACACGTCGTCAATAACCAAGGGCAGAACTTACTGCATATCCTGGCTCAGTGTCGCTTGAAAGGGGGATTTGGCACTGCTGCACCGCGAAAACCTCTTATCTTGTTCAAGGAGCTCGTTGGGTATGGATTAGATCCTTTGGTTCAAGATATGAAGGGCTGGTCGGCCTTGGTAGGTTAACATTTGGAGGTCAATTGATTTCTCAAGCCACTAACTACTTGACAGGACTATGCAATCTCAAATGGCAACGAGATTCCCTCAGACTGGTATGCTAATCGCTAGAACTGAGTGTCAAGGTTACGAATGCTTGTCAATGGGGACTCTAAGAACGTAATAGTCAGAATGCCGCACCTCGAATGGCCCACCAAGAAGACATGATAGGCAAGGAATAACATGTGCATGTCGGATACAAATGTCTTCTTAAATGTTTCTCTCTCAACGTCCCTCGGAACCTGAATGCCATCCCCCACTCGTGCCTGTTGAAGTATGTTTTCACTTAAAAGCCCTAAGGTATGTTGTAGATTAGCGTACGACTTGAAACTGAGGCGACCATAATTTAACGATTTGACGTCCAACAATTTACACTTGATTCTCTAATGTTCTATTGGATGCTTGTTATACGAATTGTCCTCAATATCCTGTATCAGTGGCTGTACCAAGGCCAATCATTCGAATAGTGTCCCTATTATTTCGAAGAAGTTGATTGAGGATACTCGGCTTAGCTTATGTATAGAAGTTCAGGAACTAATATGTCCTATTGTAGAGGCAAATTTAGCCCGAGAACTGGGACCAGATGGCCCGGCCTACCGAAGTATTGCCGATCTTGCGATACACGATGAACGATGAGAGATCGTACTGATTTCCCCATCGTCTCACGCTGAGCGAAAGGTCATGACATAGATGGCCACCAAGTTTTAGCGTCCAAGCCAAGATTCCAAGATTCAATTCGTGGTCGGGAGCCCCGGGATTGATGTTGACCAGTCGTTCTCGGGACAATGACCTCACCTTTGCGATATCCACGGATCCATGCGGTTCAGATAAGCAAATTAAGGTTAACGGTGATCAACACGCCCGGATTACTAAGGAGTGGGCTATCAACCACCAGTCACGAACTACAATCTGAGAATTATTATTTTCTGCTTGTATCAGTTCTGAGAATATAAGCACCAAGTCGTTACGTCACTGGGTGAGTCTTTTGGGACTCGGTCGTGTTCTCACGCGACGGACGTATATTGTTTCCTGACTCGATAGCTCTACCCCACACTTTCGCACAGCTCCGACGAATGAGTCTGACTTATAGTCGTCATTGCTGTTTTTTGATCCATTGTACTCGTTCGAGTAATGTTGACAAGGGAAAAAAATTACCGGGGATGCTAACAAAAGCCACTGCAGCCCAATAATGTGGTCAATTGCAACTAGCTTGACAAGATGTTCCAGGCCCCAGATTGATCGCAATTGGATATGCCAAGAATTAGAGCCATAGAAGATTCTAATGCTGTAAAGAGCTTGAAAGCTAATACAAAGAGATCACCGGATCTTTGTCCCCACCTCGTCTCCCCACACTGAAACCCTCCCTGCATCATTGACTTGACTCTTATTCTTGGAAGCGATGCGATCATCTTCCTTATTTGTTACAATCCGCTTGCAGCCTTGGAATCAGATTAAAAGCAATGACTAACTGGGCCTGTGATTGGTGGCATTGAGGTCTTCAAGAACAACCGGCCTATCGTTGACTGTCCCCTCGCGGCATCGCTGATTCTAACCCATGATGCAATGACAGAACAGGGACAGTTCGGTCTTTTAAGTCTCTCGAAGTCTGTCCAATCCCCGCAATCATTTCACTTTCAACAACAACTAAACTCAATGACTGTACGATAATTCCAATTTGACAATTTTGACAATTACGAACACACACGACTATCATTACTACGACTCTCTATTATTACAACTCTATTATCTATTATCCTTATTTTCTACACCAAACCTCCACAATGTCTGCCAATGAAATGCGAGCCGAACCTGAGCACCAAGGCCAGAGCCTGGGCTCTCGACTCACCAAGAAACTCAGCAAGAGACTCTCGATTAGCACTGGCTCTAAAGAGGGAGCGAAAGAAGGTGCCACCGCGAGCTCAAGCAAAGAGACTGCTGGCGAAAGTGGCATTGGCCAGCAGGCTCTTAACAAGGGCCAGGAAATCAAGGACCAAGCAATGAAAGGAGATTTTAGTGGTGCCAAGGACATCTCCACTAAAGGAGAAAATACCGAGAACACCATCGGTCAAGGAGATATGAAAGGCGCCGCGGCTGGAATCGGCTTGACTGGGGATAATGTCAACAAGAAAAACGCAGAGCAAGTTAGCAAGCGACTCGGAGGATACAGACCGAGTATCAGCCATGGACCCCCCGAGTACAACGATGATATTAAAAAAGGCCCCATCACGATGGGCATCCAAAGAGACACTGGCCAGACAGGTCGCGGTGGAATTGGGAGCAGCAGCAAAGATGGAGGACTGGATACCACCAAAAAGGAACTGGGCTCAACTCAGATGGGAGACTCTCAGACTCGCCAAGGAACCAGTCAAATTCAGAAGGAGCTCAGTCAAGCGCCATCTGGCATTGGGACAAGCCAGAGTCAGCCGGGCTTGAGTAAAGATCAGCCATCACTCAGTCAGAGTGAAAAGCCTCTCAGCTCGACTCAAAAAGGTCTAAGTCAAGGTCAAAAGGGAATTGGACAGGGTCTCTCCAGCACAGGCAAAACTGCTGGCCCAACTTTTGGTGGCGAGGAAATGATGCAGCAAGAGCTTCGCGACCAATTGGCTATCGGTGATGATGTCTTCGGCAACCTAGGTGCGGGAAAAGCAGCCTCCAAGTCGGCAGCCAAATCACCTTCAAAGCAAGCTGGCAAAGCTGGCTTCGGAGCCTTCGGAGGCGGAACTCTTGGCAATATCTTCCGCCGTGCATCTGGTCAAGGCAAATCGGCCAAGGGCAATGTCACCAAAGAAAAGTCTTTACAGACAACTTCGCAGACCTCCCAGTCTTCTAAAACTACCGAGAAACACGGTATCAGCCGAGGCACGATTCCCGGAGCCGGAGCCGGAGCCGGAGCTGGAGCTGGTGTAGCTCTTGGCGGAATGGGAATGAAGCGTGCGATGGACAAGGGTGGCATCGATCCGAATGGCATGGAGCAGACTGGTATAGGCCAAACTGGCATGATCAATACCGGCATGACCAACACTGGTATGGGCCAAACTGGTATGGGCCAAACTGGTATGGGTCAAACTGGTATGGGCCAAACTGGCATGGGTCAAACTGGCATGGCCAACACTGGCATGGGTCAGAGTGGTATGAGTAAGAACGGCATGCCTGCAACTGCCATGAATACCAACGGACAAGCCAGCACATATCTGTCTAAGCATGGTGGTACCGTGCGAGGAGGCAATGCTATTATGAGCGGCCCCATCGAGTCTCCCAAGACTACCAGCTCATCTGGCAAAGCTGGTGCAGCTGCAGCCACCGGAGTTGCTGGTGCCGCAGGCATGGTTGGTATGGCTGGCATGCCCGGTCAATCTGGCATGACTGGAACTCGAGGAACAGCCCTCGATGACGATAACATCCAAGGCCTTAGCAAGGACGCATCCAGCCGGGGATACTTGGGTGCTGCTAGTTCGACCACGACCAATACCAGTGGGGTGTCCACCCGAGCTGTCCGGGGACTGAATACCAACACTCACAAGATTACTGTCCTTCAGGATAAGGTCCAGGCAGTCTCACAAAAGTGCAAGACCCAGTTGGGCTTGTCCTCCGACAAGATCAGTCAGCGTAGTCCGACTGTCGACATCTTCTTCGACGCAGTGGCTTCCGAACGCCTGCGCTGGATGCCTCGCGATGGTAGCAGACTCGACTGCAGTCTCAGATGGGCTTCTCGCTTGGCATATGCAGTCGATGCGCTTCGTGAGTCAATAGGACGTTTTGCCCCTGGTGCCGATGCAGCAGCCCAGCTGATCTGGGGCTTTGTGATTCTGTTATTGGAGTCTGACATGGACAACACCGACCTCTTCGAAAGTGTCTTTGGCCGATATGGCCGCGTTGCTGTTGGTATTTACTTGCTGCTTCAGTATGAATCTGCATACAAGACGTCGACTAGTCTCCAGCCCGAAGCTGCTGCTGTGTTTTCGGACCTGCTGGAAATGGTCTGTAACACTACAACCAGTTGCATCGAGGGTTTCAAGGCCAAGGAATCGAATCAGCTCATTGAACACAACGTTGACTCGGGCTTTGTCACCTACGCAAAACGATACTCGACCCATTGGAACGCGATCGTCGAGGCTGCTACGTCCGAGCTGGTCAAGCAAAGCTCGCTGATCTACTCGAGTCCTGAGCTGGGCAGTCTCCGCCAGTTCCTTGGTGTGCAGGATCGTCCTCTCCAGTTCATTCTTGAGTCTCGTCTGCACTCTCTTGCGGAAGGGTCCTTTGAGTGGTTCAATAGTACTCTGTACGATTTCTCTATTGGCAAGTCTCCAGTTATGCTGGTGACCGGCGGTGCAGGATCCGGAAAGAGTGCACTCGCCCAGTGGACCGTTGAGCGTCTGCAGGAATCAGCCGAACACGATAGCTGGAATGTCATTCCGTATACTATCCGTGAGTATTTCCCTTATCCTATATTCGAAAGCAACATACTGACTCGAATAGGCGCTGACATTCCCGTTGCAACCTTGACCCTGCGCATCCTGAAAGGCATCCTGCATCAGATGCTCGACCATTGCGTCAGTGATAAGCAGACCCAGGAGGCGATTCTGGTTCAAGTTGCGAAGGCTGCGCAAGGAGCGCTGGATGGCGCGGGCGACGCTGAGGTCGAGGAGTGCCTCTGGCGAGGCATTCGTACTGGCTTAGCCTCGAACATCCAGTATATGTTCGTCGTCGATGGGCTTGATCAGATCAAGGGTGGAGCTACCGACGCGATCAGTGTTCTGGACAACTTCACTGGAATTCTGTCGGAGCAAAATGCGGGCTCTAAGATGATTGCCTTCACAAGGCCACTCAGTTCGAAGCCACGATCGACAAACATTGAGCAATTCCTGATGCAAACCACGCAGACTCAGACTGACTTGGTCGCCTTTGTCAAAAAGATGCTTTCTGGGTCGCACTTAGATACCTCGAAGCATGATCAGCTCCAGTCTGCCGTGGCTGCTATCGTCAACCGCTCCCAGGGATCCTTCAGCTGGGCCGAGATGGCTGTCGAGTATGCCAAGCAGCAGAGTACTTTAACACAAGCCGTTTCCTCTGTCCAAAGCCTGCCCCAGCCCATGACTGAGCTGCTCGATTTCCACATGAAGAACCTTGACCTTAGCCAGCACGAGGCATTGTCTATCATGTCGTGGCTAGCTGCATCTGAGCGGCCCCTGCTTGTCGAAGAAATTGAAGAGCTTCTTCGCGTGGATTCCAAGGGACCAAGCTTTATGTCACGCAAGAGCAACACTAAAAATCAGTGGTCCAGCGCGCTTCGTCCTCTTGTCATGACCCGTGAAGGTGTTGTTTCGTTTGCGCATACTTCCATCCGCGATCATGTCATCGGCCAGGCCAGATCTGCTAGTGTCAAATCGCCACTCAATCTCAAGGAAGCCCACTTGGATCTTCTTATGAGGTGCCTTGGCTGGGTGCAACTGAGCGTTCGTGAAGAGACAGAGATCTCGATGGACAAGCTGAACATGGAAGAACGTAACCACCTCTTTGACAAATACGTCATCCTGGAGTATACCGGTCGTTACTGGCTCTCTCACCTTTTGTCATCACCCCTTGTGACTGATGATGGCGAGTTCCAGTTCACAACAAACTTCCAAAAGCTACTGCCCGCGACCGTCCTCTTTGCTCGTCTCGAACTGACTTGCAAGGAGTCGCAATTCACTCGCTCGAGCGTCGTGGAGCTGTATCGTCTCGCGACCGACATTCGTCGCCAGGTTCTGGGTGAGAAGTCTATGGGACTTCTCGAGAGTCTGCTTCTCAGTGCTCGTGTATCCAAGCTGGCTCACGCTAGCTATGCCGATGAGCATTGCTACGAGGCCTGGAGACTTAGCCAAGAGCTGCTGGGCCAGTCTGACCCAATCACTCTGAACTGCGCCGAAATGATGACACAGTCGTTCAGTGAGCGAGGTACCATGACTGCTCAGCAGGAGGACATCATGAAATATCTCATCTTGACTGACTCTGAGATTACTGGGGTCGAGTTCAATCAACGATTGAAGTACCTCGGTATGATCGTTGGCATGTACAAGTCTCGTGGCGACAACAGCTCTGCACTCCTCATCTCGAAGCAGTTCTACCAGCAGATTCTTGAGAAATACGGCACCAATTCGAGACAATCCTCCGAGGCTGCTGATTTCCTGACAAGTCAGTTCTCGACTACTGGAAGTGACGAGATGAGTCGGGACATTGCGAGAACCAAGTATGACAATGTTGTCCGCACCATGGAGGTCACGGACGAGCGCCGCGTCAAGTACTCCGTGTACATGGCTCAACTTTACGAGCAGCAGGACCAACCTGACCAAGCATCGTCGGTTCTGTCAAGCCTCTGGGCCGGCCTCAATGCGCGCGATATCGACTCCGTTGATATGATGGACAAGAAGGCCAACGTCGCTCTTGTCTACTACCAGTATCTCCGTCGACAAGGTCGCAACGACGAGGCTGAAGTTATTATGCGCGAGCTCGTTGCAGACCTAGAAGTATCTGGTATTCAGTCACCAGAGATGATGCAGCGTGTGCAGCTTCTTCGTGCCGAGACTCGTGAGATGCAAATGTACAACCTGGACCGGTCTCTGTCTATCCTCATGTGGCGCTACTACAAGCAAAATCATCTGGAGTACACGACCGAAGCCAGAGATTTGGCGATGTCGCTTGCTGAGAGCATGGCTAATTCGGTCTCCATTGAAGACAACGATCTGATGTCTGGAAGCGATCGTAAGCTCATGGTCGAGCTCCTCGATTCCATCACCTCTTCGCCCAACAACATTTCTGTGCCCACTTTGATTCTCTGCCACAATCTCTCGAGTATCTATGTGCGCGAGGATGACTGGAACGAGGCAAGCGATTGCGCCAAGGCTGTCTTGCAGCATGTCTATCCTTCAGTTGAGCGGCCTGGCTCTCACAAGAAGTTCACGACCGAACTGGCACCTCCCGTTGCCGATTTGGCTTTAGTTCTCGCCTATTGCCATTTCCGAAAACTGCATCTTGAGCAGGCCACCACCGTCTACGAGAATGCCTTTGCATCTCTGGTTGTCTCGGACAAGGTGCCCGTTGCTTCTGTTCTGGCTGTCGCCAAGCCCGTCGTGGAATTCTACGAAACGACCTTCCAGTTCACCAAGGCACTTACTCTTCTCCATACGGTCAGCAACTTCTTGACTTCCAGATTGGGTGAGACGCACAAGCACACCATTGACAATATGTACCTGGAAGCTGCATTGGCAACCCGCCTGGAGATGAACAATGAGGCCAAGAGCACATATCAGCGCATCTACAAGAATACCCTTCGTGGCAACACGATTGCACCGGAGGGTATGGAAGCGGCACTTTCCCTTATCAATCTTTATGAGAAGGAGATGCAATGGAGTTCCGCGCTGGACGTCTACCGACACGTTTGGCCTACTGTCGTTGTGCAGGACAACATGCATGACTATGATCGACTGCAGACGGAGCGTCTACTTGAAAAGACCTACATTGGCTACATGACTATTTTGACCACCCACATGAAGAGCTCCGACTTCTCTGAGAGATACAAGGTGTCCTCTGAGTACGTTACGACTTGCCGCAATGTGTATGGTCCCACGCACCAGAAGACACTCAGTGCAACTCTCCTCTTCGCTGAGCTATGCGAGACTCACGACTCGTACATTGATCAGGCCATCGCGCTGTACAAGCAGCCTCTGCAGACGAGCGAATGGGTACCTACCTCACAGGCTTCCAAGAGTCTGGACCAGATGACCCAAGCACTGCCGATTACTTTGAAGCACAAGCTGGCTCAGCTGTTTGTTCGCAAGCGTGACTCCACTAGTGAAGCTCGCTTACTGTACACCGAGGAGTTCCAGCTCGGCAAGAAGACTCAGGGCTATTTCTCAACCACCACGCTGTCCTGGCTCCGTGAGCTTGCTCTCGCTCACTCCCGGCAGGGTACACCAACTTCTGTCCAGCAGGGTAACGCTCTCCTCCACAACTATTTAACCGATTGCCTGCATGCCGGCGGCGATTCCGACATGATGGCCGACTGGGCACGCAGAATTGCAGCAATCTATCTTGAGTGCGGCTTCATCGAAGGAGGAAACAACGTTCTCGACGAGCTACGTCAACGCGTCGTCTACGGCTCCGAGACTTCTGCCATTGCCATTCACGAGCGCCGAGACGCGGTATTCGTGTCTTCCTTTGAAGAGAGTTTCGGTCGTCGTGCCACCTCCGATCAAATCATGGATGAGATGACTCGCGAAATGCAGACCCAACAGGCATTTGCGAAGAACTTGTCCGGTCACGACTTCATTCCGACATTGATCTCTGGCGATCGCCTGGCTCGTCTGCAGATGGAGCAGAATCGCACTCGGGTTGCGATGACTACTCGCAGCAAGTTGTACGAGTACTTCTGCGCCACGTTATCTGCTACGCCAATTGCTGACCGAGACGCCGTCAAGCAGTTCTACAAGGTCTGTCTCCGGGAAGTGCATAACGAGAATTACAACAAGAACATTCTCAACACGACCACCAAAATGGTTCGCGACTTTTGCAATCAATCCCGTTTCCAGGATGCAAGTGATGTCACGGGCGTGCTGCACTCATTCCTCCATCTCACCGACGGACTGAACAACTACGACAACATCATCACCGCTACAAAGCTATGCCTGTATCTCAGCGGCCACCAAGCAACCAAGTGCGAGAACCCAGCCCTCCAAGCCGAAATGTCCGCCAAAGCCAAGATTCTCCTCCAAGAACTCATGGCCTCATCCAAGGCCATCGGCATCGAAATCGTCGATCTCCCATTCCCCGATTTGAACGATATCATCACCCTCCTCGGCGAACACGAGATGTTCGACGATCTGGAAGGTATCCTCACTCAACTGTGGACATCGCGTATCGTCCAGCGCACCTGGACCCCCGACGTCGTCGTCTGGATTGGACGTCGACTCGTCGAGACGCGCTTCTGTCGTGGCTCCGTCGATTCAGCGATCCAGTTGTGCCGCGATATCTGTTACAACCTGCGCCAGGTGTGGGGATCGTGTGACCCCGTTACTCTCGAAATGACCAAGCTGTTGTCGGGACTCTTCACCGCATCGAATGATCACAAGTCTGCGGCTGCGTTGCACGAAGGTGCCCTGCACGATTTGATGGGTGATGCCAATGCGAAGAGTCATCCTCGTGCGGCGGATACCGCTTCCCAGCATATAGAGCTGCTTCGTCGGGCACAGTCTCGTTTGGGAACGCCCAAGAGTGATTCTACCAAAGCTTCTGCCCATGCAGATCTCATATCGCAAGTGACTGATCGATTTGGTTTGCAGTCGGAGCAGATTGAGGGTGTGGGTGATGCGAATGGTGGTGAAATGTTCGGTGTCTGGTCTCGACCTAGACGGTTCAGTATTGATGTTGAGGATCTGGATGACCAGGGACAGGCTCATCATAATCATTTGCGGGAGTTGAGTGGAGCCGGTATGACTAATGGTAGTGGTGCACCGAGAAGGATCTCGGTGCAGGCACTGTGAATCTAATATAATATTCGGAAGGAGAAAAGAGGGTGGTCAAATTGCTATACCCAACCCCCGTTTGAATGCTTTGACGTTTGGAATTGTCAAAAGGAATGATGTGTACCCTATGGGATCAAATTGTATAGTGTATCTACAGTCTTGAGTTCAGTCAATATCGATTTCTGTTCAAATATGATCTTCTACTAGGTCATCGGGTTCCTGCACAGTTCCCCATAATATTCGAGGGACTGAATTCCGTAAAGGGATCTTATCGATTTGATGGACTGCGTGGCGAGGGACATGTGGTTTCATGACTCTAATGACAGGTTGCATCGTAAATACTAAAATAACCAGGACAGAGCCTTCTTTCGTAAGTATATCGCCTGAATTCCAAAGTTGGTGCAATGCACTATCAACATAAGGTATATAGGGCAACACCAGGCCCAGACATTGTACGCCCCGGAAAATATGGAATTCCAAGGCAATAACAAGCATCCTATGAATAAGTAACGAATGAAAATATACACTCCAGCCATACATACACTCGCACAGCCCAATACTCACAAAGTGAAACATGGCAAAACAAGGCCTATAAACAACAAACGCCGAATCCAGTCTTTTCTTTTCTCATATATGCAGCTCGCACCAGCACTCATGCAAAAATAAACATCACTACTCGTAGAAAGTCAATACTCAAGTTCAAAATCATGCCGTCAAAGCAAAACTGAATCCCATCAATCCCATACCCGCAACAGCAAATACAATGCCCATGTTACGGTGGTGCGTCAGTCCCAAGCCCTCACTGAACAGCTGCAGCGCAACAGAGGTCATTACACCGGCAGTCATGGCGAACATGCCTCCATACACGCCCCATGACGGACCCATTGAATCGTCTCCCGTGTGCCCGGAGCCCCAGATCCAGAGCGCTGCGATGCCAGCGCCGGCGGGTTGACTAATTCCGCCTAGCAAGCTGGACCAGAACATGGCTTTCCAGCGAGAGTTGAGGGCGAGGTAGAGTGGGAGTGCCATGGCGAAACCTTCAACGATGTTGTGAATGAAGAGAGCCAGGAAGACGGTTAGACCGAGGGTGGGATTGGCATGGTTCGTTGCGTAAGTGATGAAACCTTCTGGGAGTTTGTGCAGGGCGATGGCGAGGGAGGTTTGAAGGCCGATTGAGAGGAAGGCGTTTTGTGGGACGTGGTGGTGGTGAGTGGGATCTGAGCCTGGTTTGGCGGCATGACCGCGAGACGGTTGGTCTCCATGGTGATGATGGTTGTGATCATGAGAGTCGTGGTCGTGATCGTGATCGTAATGGTGGTGGTTGTGACTCATATGATCAGAATGGACCTTGTGAGTACGTGATGAAGAGGAAGGCGGCGAAATCGAGTGATTGACATCTTCAGACGAGATTGTCCCCAAGTACCCTGTGTCTGCAGCCGTCTCGACGGAGTCTAGGCTCGGCTCTTGCAAGTCCTGGTCATCCGAGCCCAGCTGCACCTCTATACTTTGAGGTCGTGGCGCTAGCTCAGGCCGAATGACCTCATCCGCGATCACGGTCGGTGGCGGAGAGATACTGGGGCCAAGGACTTTGGTGCATTCGCGTCCACAGGTCTGCGAGAAACCATAGCAGGGTCCGTTCTCATCACAGAGAGGTTTAACACCGCCCATGAGAGAGCTGATGCGTCGGGAAATGACTGCTCGTAGAGATTCCCGCCGCCGTGGACTCGATGTGCGGTCCAACCGTTGTAGCGCTTGCGGCGTAGACTTGGACTGTAGACCTGCAGACCGCAGAAGAGGCGTACGTTCCGTGCTGCCGTTGGTATGTTGGGTATCTGGACGGTCATCGCAGTCTTGCATTTGTTCGCCGCGCTCGGGATCATCTTCCGGGCCGTCATGCGTATGTGCGCAGTCTACCACGTGCGATGGGATGAAGCGATGGAGGAAGCCGGATGCAAGACGGATTACGACCACGCCAACAATAAATAGAGCTGTCAGGATATAGGCGGAGGCGGATGGAGAAAAACCGGCGCGTGTCAGGTAGTCTTTGGAGGTTGGGAGCATGCTGTATAGGGAAGTAAAGAGCTGTTTTGGGGGTTAGAATGGTGGGTAATTGTAGTAACAAGAGACCTAGAGACAAGCACTGACCATTACACCGGCACTCAGACACAGAGAAGCTGACAAAAAGTTATTGCTGTTAGCAATCTGGAACCTCTTGTCATGGGTGATCCGGCGCAAGACAATGTCTGCGCAGATGACGGCCGACCCAAGGACACAGGCTGCATAGGAGAAAGAAGTCAGTGGACGGCTCATAGACAAACAATCAGATAGCATGTTATTACTCACCCACGCCCGAGACGGCGCTCATCACCCAGCCCCGCAAGTCGTTGGCAGCCATGGCGAGTGGGAGGTGGCAGAGAATGGGAACTCCCAGTGATGTCAGTGACAGCCCCAAAGGACTCGGCAGTTGGCGGTCAGCGTCGAGTCGAGAAGTCGCCTCTTAATTTTACTTCCCACCTCACAGATATTTTCAATCGCCTCCCGGATATTAGGGGAAGATGAAGAGAATCAGCCAAGCTAGAGAGGAGATCCTGCCACTCTTGCTCTTGACCTGCAGGTGTCTGAGCTGGGCATTCCCCTGCACACAAGGTCCTCAATTCTTCTGTATTACTGTACTGTACAGTCCTTACTCCGCTCTCCGCAGTCCGCAGCCCTAAAATGCGGGCAGCACCACGACTCGGGGCTTGACCCATCCTCCGGAATATTAACCACTGCAAGATTGGACTTGGGAGAGAACAAACTACTTAACTAACTACCAGAGCTTTCAAACCATACTAACACCTCCGTAGCTGGCCCAATCATGCCTTGCTTGTTCTGGCGTCGAGTCCGCGGGATGCCTTTTGTCAGCCAACCGACCAACGGACCCTCTTGATCTGCAGCTAAACTCGACTGGCCAGTTAGCGCGAGGCTAATTGATCTTCTCACAGCATCTGGTCAATTCGGTGACCAATGACGAACTAATATCATACTGGACTGGACTGGACTTGCCTGTCCACTGACCATCGCACGAGCAACTCATCTGATGCCAGTACTTGGACATGTGACTCGGTGATTGGCTCGTGACTTGTCCAGTCCACAGCGGCCATCAGGTCGATGCTTATGTCATCCACATATTGCCATCACCGCTCTGGTCACCGCCAAGGTCTCCCTCCATACTTTTTAACTTTTGGCCCGTTCAAAAAGGGCTGACTGAGCATGGGCAAAGTGACCGATCTCGGCTGTGGTTGCTGTTGCCTTTTTTTTTTTTCTTGTGATTCGCGCGCGCCAAACAGAAAAGTATAAGTCGCGACGTCTCCGATTGTTCCCCCCCCCTCTCACTCCCAAACCTTCCCCGATATTCACCGGGGACCATTATATAGACAATGTCGAAAGCAACTTTGGCCGTCATCGCGGCTGCCAGTGCAGCCACCGGCGCTGGAGTGACTGCTCTGCTGTACTCCTCCAAATCATCCCCGTCACAGAATCAACAGCAGCAGCACCAGCAGCCGCAACAACAACTCCCCCTCCCCCTTCAATCGCTGGCAACACCAAAGTCCCCACTGCCATCCCAGCACCTCCCCTCGCCGCAAAAGCCACCGCCGGCCCCGTCAACCCCGCCGGCATCCTGCAATATGGCTTCCCAGGCCCCATCGCCGACGAACTCTCCACGCTGCCCCTGCACGGCGCCTACGACCGCCGCACTCGCAACCCGGCCTGGGTGGCCGAGCACATCACCCCGCAATCCCTGGCCCTCAACAATGCCGACCGCAAGCACAGCACCTTCGCCGAGGACACCTCCATCCCGGCCCTGTTCCGCGCCAAACTCGCCGACTACTTCCGCTCCGGCTATGACCGCGGCCACCAGGTGCCCGCCGCAGACGCGAAATGGTCGCAAGGCGCCATGGACGACACCTTCTACCTGAGCAATATGTGCCCGCAGGTCGGCGAGGGGTTCAACCGCGACTACTGGGCGCATTTTGAGGACTTTTGCCGCAAGCTGGCATCGCGGTACCCCTCCGTGCGGGTCGTGACAGGCCCGTTGTATCTGCCTCACCGTGATCCGGATGGGAAGTGGCGCGTTAACTATGAGGTGATTGGCAACCCGCCGAACGTTGCGGTGCCGACGCACTTTTATAAGGTGATTTATGCCGAGGATGGGGCCAATTCGCCCACTAGCAAGGTTGCGCTTGGCGCGTTTGTGCTGCCGAATGCGCGGATCCCGAATGAGAAGAGTCTTTCGGACTTTGAGGTTCCTCTGGAAGCGGTGGAGCGTGCTTCTGGGCTGGAGTTTGCTGCCAAGTTGGATCCTAGCCGTCGCCGTCGGTTGTGCCAGGAGATCAAGTGTGAGATTGTGGTGCGCGAGTTCAACAATGCCAAGAAACGCAGTTAGATGGTGATGTGAGCTCAGTGTTGGGGAGATGTTTTAGGCCCCGGGTGGCCCTGTATATTTTAGGACATTGTTCTTGCATGGTTCGGGCGTTCATTGTTCCTCAATCGAGGGACTGATATCATTCGGTACATTTTACATTAACCTTGCAATTGAAGGCTTTTGTCTAGCGTATTCCTTCCTATTTTTTGGGGGGTTCAATCTGGACATTCAGCATTGGAATGCCACGCCAGCCTTGGTAGCCACATTGCCTCCACCGCCAGCAAACCCCGTGCCTTCCGAGCTAATCTCCACCAGCCCAGGCTGAACAACCTCCTTCTCCTTCTTTTTGGACTTCTTCTTCGCACTCGCCGCATCTCCATTACTCCTATTAGGAGTGATATCCGTCTCACAGACATAGCACAATACCAACCCATGAAGCGCCGCAGTCTTCGCCTGCTCCTCCTTCGAAGCATGCGGATCCGGAACATCGTGTGGAGTCATAAACTTTGTAACACATGGCGAGCAGATCACATGCCCACAAGGTTTCGTCACTAGACTCGACAGGTTAGCAAACACCCGAAACTCAAGATAAGCGCATCAATGCGCCAGTCCGCATCTCGCACGTACGCATAGCTTTCAACCCATTGCTGAGGTTCTTCTTGCAACTGGGACACACGCGCGACACCGTCCCATCCGTGGCCTTTTCTTCCGTGAAATGTACATCGACCAGCGACTTGAGCGAGTAGCTATGTTTATGCGTCTCGTTCGAACCGGGACACATGGGCGTTAGTTTAACGGCCTTGTTAGCGGTGATTTCATCGTGGTCCGTCGACGGCGTCAAGGAAGGGACCCAGAATGATGCGAGTGCTGATTTACTCGAGCCCTGCGTATATCATCAGCATCTCGGACAATTTCTTGTCTGGATACCCGCAGAAAAGCAATGCACGGTATACCAATTGCCATATCCATACCTTCTCATTCTTCACCTCCCTCTTCAACCTCTCCTCCTCCTCCCTCGCAACACGCACCATCTCCTTCCCCCCAACCTCAAAAACCCTCCTCCGCGCCCCATCAACCTCAACCTCCCTCGCCTTAACCGGTTCTTCCTCTCTTTCCTTTTCCCTTTCCCCCTCCCTACTACCGCTAGCCTTCCTCTTCCTCCCCCCTGGAGCCCCATCTCCCCAAGTTCAAAATCCCTCAAATCCCTCCTCCGCGCCTCATCCAACATCCTCTCCTCATCCTCCGCAATCCTTTTCCGTGCCTCCTCCCGCTCTTTCTCCAACCGCTTAATCTCCTGCCGTTGCGCGAGGAGGTCGTTTATTGCGCACTCGCGGCAGAACAGGTCGCCGTTCGTGGCACAGGCGACGACGGGCGCGCGCGCGGGTTGCAGGCAGAGGCGGCAGGAGGCGAAAGGGAGGAAAGAGTCGCGGCTGATTAGGCTGCGTTTTGTGCCCCAGGTTGAGCGTAGGAGGGAGCGTTCGTAGGAGGTGAAGTGGGGGAGGGAGGTGTTCCGTTTTGAGTGGGCCATTGTTGTTGTTGTTGTGGTGGTGGTGGTGGTGGTGGTGGTGTGTTGGTGTGCGCCTGAGAGGCGGGATGGAGGGAGATTGTGTTAGGTGAGAGAGTGCTGGAGGAGTATGAAGTAATTGTCGTCTTTTTGGACGGCAGTATGTTTAGTGCGCTCACCGCTGGGGATACCGCCTTTATATTCGGGAGATGTCATGGTTGGGAAAGTACTGAATGGTCTACTACTAGCTGAAACATGCACAAGTCAATGATAAATGCTTTTGTCTAACATAATCCAGCCCCCGGCATCCCAGTAATCCACAACAAGAAAGCCGAGGGAAACGAGTGTTGCCTTACATCCATTCCATTGCAAATACTCCACAACCAGACCCAAGTCCCGCGTGATGTGTAATGGAAGAAATTCGAGAAACGCCCGAAAAAGAAAGATAAAAGACATAGACATCACACCAAAATGCATCCAATCCAAAACCCCAAAGCCTAAACCGAAACCCAGCCTCCGATGCGAAGACAAAACGAGAGAAGATGGACTAGAAACAAACAAACCAACAGAGACGCAGTGAAATGCAGGAACAAGCCGAGATGTACGAGACTGTCAATGCTGTTGTCATGCAAGTGCCGTGCAGGAAGAGCCCAAGGATGGAAAAGGAACAAATAGAGTGGAAAGATAAGAAACAAAACCACGTGCGAGATAAGATTTGAAATTGAATCGGGGTATAATAGTCGTAATGTAAACAAGAGCAGATCCAGGGAAAGGAAATTGAGTCGAGCTATACAATGATGCAGAGGCGGTGGAGGATGAAAAAGGGATTTAGGGGAGGGAGGTGGATAAGTGAAGATTTGTTGGGAGTGTGGTGCTCATGCTCACGCGCCGACAGCCTGTTGTCGAAGGTTCTCAGAGGAAGGGGTATCGACGACTCGTTCACTAAGCGAAGTAGATGAAGGTGAACCGGTTTCTCCGGGCGCAGTGAGGTGACTGCCGTAGAGGACGGACCCAGTACCAGTGCCCGATGTCGAAGGGGGTTTCTCTTCAGACTCTGACTGGGACTGATCGGGTGCAATCCCTTGCTCCGGCTCGTGATCAGGAACCTCCGAGACTGCGCGCTTAGGCGAGTCAAAGGGTAAGTCATGGGCATCCTTGAAGAAGTCAATGGCTTCATCATAGCTGTGCAGGCTGATTCCCGTAGTTGTGCTAACACTCATGAGCGACTGACGCCGCTCAGTGGGCATGTTATCCGAAGTCACCGACTCGCTGCTACCGACAATCGCCGGATCCGAAGCGCGAGGCTCTTCATGAGGAGTTGGCTTTCGCAGCTTGAGGCGCTCCTCGGGAGGCATGTTCTGCCATTCTGAGCCAAAAGTGATGATGGATGCTTTCTTGCCATGCACGGTGAAGCTAGGTGTCTTCCGGGCAAGGCCACTACTCTCGCCTCCGTCGTCCTCGGGACCGCCAACGCTTGATACAGAATCCCGATTCTTCTTGTGGCGCGAGTGATGTCGGTGAACATGATGCGGTTCACGGAGACTTCGGTGGAGGCTGCGACGCACGCGGCTAGGCCTGTTATCGCTCTGGAAGACTTCGGACGACTCGTCGGGCTTGTTCTCTGCTTCATCTTCCGGCACGGTACTGGAAGGTTTGCGTGGCGGAGGCGAGCTCCCGAGTTCAAGTAGACCCGTCTCTCTTAGGAAGCGCTCTTCACCATCATCATCATAGCTAACGGGTGAAGTGATTTTGGATGCCCGAGATCCAAGGCTGGCGCCATCAAACTTGCTCCCGCGGCTGAGCACCGAGGCTTCCCGCTCGAGATGTGAATCACTCTCCGGCCGACCCTCAGACACAATGGCAATGGAGAGTGGCCGCCCAACTCGGCTAACATCGGAGGAGGTAGTAGATGTTGGTATACTGGGTCGTCGCATTTCCTCCGTCGAAGGTTCACTCAGAAGACCGGTGTCAACGGAAGGTTTCTCGGCGGGGTTCACAGCAGACGATTCAGCAGGGATATCGTGGCTCGATGCGGTGTGGACGATGCTAGGTGCGGCGTGAACGCTGGGCTCAGAGGCGATTGACGGTCCAGAGACAGAAGCCACCCGTGCAGGCTCAGCCTGGGTTGATACGGTTTGTCCAGCCACAGACCCTGTCCGCTCTTCCGGCACAGACTCGTCCTCTCCAAGATCCCGAAGGAGAACTGCACGGTAGCACTTGTTGCGCCAGATGTCCTGTCGAACCCACTTGAGTTTCGCAGCCATACGAGCTGCCGCCATGATCACGTTTTCACGCGCGCGAGGAGTGGCCGGGGTCAAGACTTGCAAGTGTCGAGCGTTTCGCAGAAGATCTTCCAGTTGCCTTTGAGTGACAAACAGCTTCTCGTTGGTGTCACGAATCTTTTGACTCATGAGCTGCCGACGAGCTGCGACAAACTCGGCCACAATGTCATTGTCGATACTGGGCGACTCAGGCTCTTTGTCCCCAGACTGGTGAGACCCAAGCGATGAGATGGATCCAACACGCTGGCTCTTGCGGTACCGCTGGCCCTCGTAATTTGTAGCAATCATGCCTTTGGTACGGACCCCGGTGGTTCGGAAAGCGGCAGCATAGTTGAGCTTGGCGATCCAGTCGTTCATTTCGGGCTCAGAGGTTGCCAAGAAGACTTCTTCCAAGGCATCGTGCCGGACAAACGAGAAGGCGTGCTTGTGTTTCTTGTAACTGCTATCCAGCAGGGCTACCGCATCATTCGTAGACATGATGCCATCCGGTTTGAATTCAGCCAGGGGAGGCCGGAAAACAAGCGTGCCTTTGCGCCCATTCTTCACATACGCGTCGTGTTGAGCCATCAATGATCGTACCCAAGTCACGTTTCGGAAGAAGTAGAGTTGGGAGAATGTCAGAACCGCACCCCATTCGGCCCAAGGCGATCGCGCCCGCTTCTTCTTCGGATCCTTCCGCCAGAGCAAGCCGACCTTGGCCACCTTGATGTCCACGAGACCTGGGTGTGAGTCGGCTGGGTTATCAAGACTTCCTTGCATGAATGCATCGGGCCGCGAGCGCAGAGAAATGATTTGCAAAATGCCAGACTTGGTAAAAGCCTGGTGAAGATCATCCATATCAGGCAGGCCGCTGGTTCCAACGTGATCGTAAGTGTCGTCGAGATCCATCACCTCCTTGAGACTGGGCTTCAACGTTCCCAGCTTGTTATCCATGATGAGCATGTAAGGATCTACAGGTTCCCTTGCCATCAATGGCAAATGATCAGAGCTGGTGCTTTTGAATAAGGCTCGCCGAGGTTTCGCAAGATGACGATCGCGAAGGTTTGCATCCTCAACGTGGATAAAGGGTGTATATGAGATATTTTCGTAGAAGCATTCGAGAATGTCTTCTGCAATACCCTCTCCACGACAATTCTTGACGTAATCAGACTTCTGCATCTTACGCTTATTGTTCTTGTTGAACACGTCTGTATGCAGGATGAGAATGGAGAATGCAATGAAATAAGCTTGGTCCGTCGAGGCAAAGATTCCAGGGTTGCATTCGTGATAGCGATCGGCGAACGCTTGCAGGAACCGGTCGATCTGCTGGGTCTCCTTGGGCAATTCCACTTCCATCAAAAGCTTGCGAATGGCCATGTCGATCGGGTCACCAAAGTACGAAAATGATCGCATGTACTTCCGCAGTCCAACTTTGTAGAATTCATCGTCCGACTGAGCGAGAACACCTCCAATCATGCCGCGTGGTAGATTCTCCTCCAGCTTCGTCAGATATGCGGCCGGGGTCTCTCCTTCTTCGGGGGCAGGAATTGGCGGAAGATCCGCCTTGGCCGGGGTCGCTGCGCCGCCTATTCCGGGGGAACCATTGCGAGGGATCGGCGGCTCGGAGTTCTGTCTCAATCGCTGCGAGATACTAAAGATGTCGCCAAAGCTCTTCCGTCCACTGGTGGAAGTGGAAGTCCGTCCAGATGATGCTAAATAAGGAACTTGCGATGTTTCATCAACGTGGTTCTCGGCAAGGGATCCCATGGTGGAAGATCTGCCACGACCCTTATGGGAGGGGTTAGATCGAATGGACCGAGCCGAGTTTGTCGAATCATTGCGGAGGAGTGGCGGTGCGCTGGGCCCAGCCAGGCCAACCGCGGACCGTGATGGAGATGGGAGGGGTGAGACCTGATCATGATCCGAGCCATCTGATTTCGGGGTCTCCGCTGGCGGGAACTTGTTTGATGTTGGCGGGAGCTTCGGGGGTAGCGGGAACAAGGGGCTGCGGTGTCGCTTCAATCGGGGCATATGGAAACGCTTGCTGGTTGATGCTTGGCCATCGCGGGGGAAGTTGGTTCTGAATGTCTGATCTCCATAGCTCTGATCTGATCGGGAAGACTCTGAGAATCGTGCATCTGTGACTGATACTGATGATCGCTGGGACTCGTTAAACGCCTGATCTCGACCCCCACTTCGTATTGACGTCGTTGAGAGTCTCCCCGGCTCCTCCGGGGCTGATGTCTGAAATGTCGAGAGACTCGAGTCGGCGATTTGCGAGTCGGACGATCCCTGATGCTTTCGTTCCGATCTGCGGGGGAAGTCTCCTGAGCCTCGGGATAGATCCTCCATGGAGTGCTTGCGAGACGAGGGTAGAAGCCTGAGTTTATGTCGCTGCTTGATCGGCTGATCGAGTTCGTGGCTAGTTGGGGCGGTGGTGATGATCTTGGGAGCTTCAAAGCAGGTCAGCCACAGGTTCCTCAATTGTACATGTCTTGGGGGTATTATTCCCAGATTGCAAGCTCGGTCGCTACCAATGGCCTGGCCCAAATGTGGAAACCATGCTAGACATGTCCCCGCGCTCGCTAGATAGGTGGGTGCACTTACGTGGGAGCGACGGGATGGGGGGAGTTTCCTCAGCCTTCGCATAGGACTTGGAAAGCTGTGGATCCGAGGCATGACGCAGTCTCATGAAGCTGAATCGATTTCTCCGCAAGCTAGGGGTATCCCCCGTCGAGGGGCCTGCAGCAAAACCCGCCCGCGCGACTCCAGCCTCTGGCCCCCTCCCGCCGGGGGGTTGCAATCGTGGCGCGGTCCCATCGCCGTTTGCGACAAGCTCTTCTGAATCGGCTAGGTCCGAGAAACGAGGGGTCGATTCAGAGTATCTGGGTTCGTTGATCGGGGCCAGGGGACGAGGGAGGTGTTCGCTGCGACGAGTCTGGGGTTGGGATTCAATGGTACTTTGGCGCTTGGAGCTCCCATCGGCGACGAGTCGCAGGCCTTTCCAATGCATGGCTACGGGAAAACCGAGGTGATCCGACCCATGCGTGGCCGTGGGATGAGCCCAGCTGGTTAGAAAGGTAGAACTCGAAAAAAAGAGGAGGATGGGGATGTTTGAGAAATGATGGAAGTTCAGTGGACTTGGGCTTGCATGGCGACGTGGAGTGTTCCAGAACGCGGTGGGAATTCGGAGGTGGAGAGCGCCCGTCGTCAGCTCGAGAAGGAAAAAAGGGGAACGCGGGAACCACGAAAAAGGGAGGGGCGGTGCTGGGAGACTCCGCCGGATTGAAGAACGAGAATGCAAACGAGGTCCGCTTTTGTTTTGCAACGCGCCACACGATTGGGACTCAACCGGATCGGTAATCGAAGGAGGCTTTGCTTGTTCGAGGGTGTGAATACCGAGGGACCATTCGAGACTGGAGAACGAGAGGAGAGAGCGAGGAGGGGTAAGGGCCAAGGCAGACGGATTTCGGGGTAGTCGACGGCTGCCCTGAGCGCGGTGACGTGAGGGGAACCAGTGTGAAGACTCGGACAGGAATGAGATGATATTCCCCTGGTGAATCGAGAATAGAACAGGTCGATGCAATGCTAACTACATAGAGGACTATTATTATGATCGGTGCTACTATTGGCGCGACGGTAGATAGTTCGTACTCCTCGTATAATTATGAATTTATAGTCCGGAGTGCATCATACCCCATTATGAGGATGTCCTGGCGAGACATGTCCCAGCAATATTCGCATGACGGCGCCCGTTGGAGCGGATTCGAGACATCCGATGGAGAAAGACAATTCTCAACGTAAAATCCAAACATTCTAGACTGCAGCGTGGTCGGAGGAGTGGGGATCTTGAGGTCTAGACTGGCGAGAAGCGATAATAATAGACGATCGATACACTCGGTGGGCTCTCGGGGTCAGTATCTCTATTGTCTATCTCTTGTATATTTCATTACGGTAGAAAGTCAACCAACCTTGAATCCAATGCATCTCAACTTCCAGTGAAAGTAGATCGACCTTGCTGGGTCTACCGTTAACTGGTTGCCCGGCCGTGGAAGAGGGAGTACTAGTTCTAGAACACTCACACTCCCAGGAGCATGAACGGGTTCGCCGCAACGATGTAGAGACATGGAACATACCCAGAAGATCCTATTGGACAGTGTAGAAAGACATCAGTTGAGTGATTTACGGATATACTGGATGTCACGTACTATAGAGCTACGAACCTTACGGGACTGCCAACCTGGACGCCGGTGATGATGTACAGGGATATACATCTCGGCATAGTTCTACAGATACCCCCCGTTGCATATTGTCGAGTTAGATCCTTTTGAGCTTCTTAGTTAGCTTGGTCTAAAGTTTATCTGATATATTGGTACTCAGACCTAACACCAACACTTCTGGATCGCCTCTTACTCCACATCCAGATCCGTTTTTCGTCTGGCCACTGACGTATGGATGGCCAAGCCACTCCCGTGAATTCGCCTGCCTGGCAGCTCTCCAGTAACTCAAGCTTCAATTCTTAAACAAGATTATTGTCTGTATCTTCTGTGTACAATTACATACTATGCCTGCGCCGATTTAATCCTCTTTTGGTTTATCGGTCCTTATCGCTTGTCTCCGCAGTTCCTCCTCCTCCACCACCGTAACCGGCTGACAACTACTCTCTCCACTTGGTCTGATCCGTTCTCTCAAATCTTTCTGATACAAACCACTCCACCCTCGACTGGCATCGCCCTCGGCCACCCTCACGCCCGTGATGCGTGTTCTTCCCTCCCTCCTTCTCTTTTCGGCCCTTTGCCCACCTATCTCGGCTGTCCCTGCGGGTTCCAGCATCAACTCCGGTCCACAGCCGCCTCTCCAGCCCATCAACCTGCTCGCCCTGCCCTCCAACCCGCACCGTCCATGGACTCGCCTGCGTGACTGGGTCATTGAAACAGTCTGGGGTCTGCCTCGGTCCTGTCCCAAGCATACCAGTATCCCCTCCAACGTGCGCGATCGCTACGGCAGCGATGTCGTTCTCCGCTTTCATCTGCGTCATCCCGACGACGCGGAGGCACTGGCCTCGGCATCGAGGGTATTGGTGCTAGATGTCTGGGCCATCACGGCGCAATATGTAGATATCCGACTCGCCGAAGATACGGTATGTATACTTTTCTCCATCATCGTACAACTGTTTCGCCTCCATAATTGGCCTAACTGTTGACTAGATCCCTTCTCTCCTCGACCTGCTGCCTCCTTCCCTCCGCGCCTCCCATACACCCCTCATGGACGACCTGGTCGATATGATCTACAACACTTACCCAAGACACCTACACATTTCATCCGACACAGAACCCGATTTCAGATCCGGGAGCCGACGGACTGCCACCGCACCGGTCGGCGACGTCTTTTTCCTCGACTATCAGCCGCTATCTGTTATCACGCAATGGATGCGTCTGATGGCCTCAATGTTTCCCAAGCATGCCCACTTTACCAGCATTGGTGTTTCCTACGAGGGGCGTGATATTCACGCTCTGCAAGTTGGAGCCTCCCCTTCTCCGTCAGAGCCGACTGGTCCGCGCAAGACCATCGTCGTCGTGGGCGGCAGCCACGCGCGAGAGTGGATCAGTACCTCCACGGTTACATACGTCGCATACAGCCTTATCACCCAGTATGGCCATTCAGCTGAGGTTACCCGCCTCCTGCACGAGTATGAATGGGTATTGATCCCAACCCTGAACCCGGATGGATACGTCTACTCGTGGGAGTCGGATCGTCTATGGCGCAAGAACCGGCAACCTACAGGTCTCCCGCTGTGCCGGGGAGTCGATCTCGACCGCGCTTGGGACTTCGAGTGGGATGGCGAGTCGACCCGGTCAAACCCTTGCTCCGAAAATTACGCAGGTTCAGAGCCATTCGAGGCGTTGGAGTCCCACCGGCTGGCCCAGTGGGCGCAGAATGAGACCGATAGCGGCCGTGCCGATATCGTAGGCTTCTTGGACCTTCACTCGTACTCGCAGCAGATCTTGTATCCTTACTCGTATAGCTGCTCCTCTGTACCCCCGACGCTGGAAAGCCTCGAGGAACTGGGTCTTGGTTTGGCCAAGGCTATTCGCCAGTCTACTCACGAGTCTTACGATGTGACCTCCGCTTGCGAGGGTATCCTGCCAAATGGCGAAGCCGCACAAATTAGCTCAGGTGGCAGCGCTCTCGACTGGTTCTATCACAAGCTGCATGCTACGTACTCGTTCCAGATCAAGCTGCGGGATCGTGGGTCCTACGGCTTCTTGCTGCCACCAGAGCACATTGTCCCCACGGGCCGGGAGATCTTCCACGCGGTGTTGACGTTTGGCAGATTCGTCTGGGGTGAGAAGATCGTAGAACATGACGATGACATCCCAGCCATCAAGCCTCCGTTTAATTTCGAACAGAAGCCGCTGTCAATGAAGTAGATGATCTGCTACCGTGTGAAACCTGTGATGACTTACCTGCATGTACTTATGTTAGGCGTTTGGGGATTTCTGATTTCTTTTTGCTGGATATTTATGTACAGGATTGTACATATTAGGCTCTTCTCGGGATCTCTTCTCAGGAGGTGAATCCGTTTGATGCGATCTAGGCATCAAGTATGACGAGACACGATCAAAATTAATTAACTTTGAACAGTAACACCACTAGTCACCGAACACAGTAGATTGAGTCATGTTCGTGTAAATCAAAGTTTGTTAGAGGAAGCTAAATCCATAGAAGCAGTAGATAACTCGAAAGGCGTATGTATGATACATATGCGACTGTATGCACTTTACTGTTCCGCTGTGTCCACTTCGCCCATAATGTCCACAAGTGTGCACTGTCCACTCATTGTCCACCACTTGGAGTCAGCGGATATCCAAGATCATCAAATCGACAAAGCTGTTTAGGCAAAAGGTTTAACCGAGCCTTGTAGTTTCCTTTCACAGTGTTCCCTCAAAATGAAATCCCTATTGGAATTTTGTGAGCAGTTCAACGTTTTTGTAACAAGATCCGCTTTGATTCTCCCCAGATTCCTCTAGCGGGATATCCGAAACTATGTCCGCGCCACCCCTTTCAATCTCAAGCGTTTAGACCTGGTTGATATTTAAGCTACTGACATGCGTTTCAATTATACTCACTGGCAGTACAAGTTACGAACGGCAAAATGTCTATCATATATAACAACCCCATCATTCCTTGATTCGCACCCGATCCATCTATCGTCTTCGTCAAGGACACTTTTTTCCTTGTCAATTCGTCATTTCACATATTCCCCGGTCTACCAATTTATGCGTCGAGGGATCTAGCATCTTGGACACACATCGGTACGTACCCGACAACCGCATTTTCCTTGACGGGTCCATTGCTAACGCCCAGGAAGGAAATGCAATCAACAAGACAACCCAACTTGATCTCTCAAACGCAACAACGGATGCATTCCCGATCGGCCCAAACAAGAACCTTGTCGCTACACTGGGTCTCTTCGCTCCAACGATCCGGTGGCATAACGGTGTATTCTACATAATATGCACAAACGCGTCTCAGAAGAAGGGTGAGGATCTTCGCACCGACAATTTTATTATCACGTCAACGAATATCTGGGCCAATGAATGGAGTGAAGCCATTTGGTTTGACTATGATGGTATTGATCCCAGTTTGTTGTTCGATGATAGTACGGGCAAAGTATATGTTCAGGCTTCGTGGAGGGAGGGAGACTTGGCCGATCGAAATTGCTCGATCAGACAGTTTGAGATTGATGTTACGACTGGAAAGAGAGTTTCTGATATCAGGGTTATCTGGAAGGGGAGTGAGAGCAGCAGCGATGGCAAGAGCGATATTGAAGGACCGCATATGTACCGGAAAGATGGATTTTATTATCTTCTCGCTGCGGATGGTGGTACTTTCGAGGATCATAAGGTTGTCATGGCGCGTTCCAGAAATATCTGGGGTCCCTTCGAGGTCTACGACCAGAATCCCGTGCTTACTGCCGCCGGCACGGACGAGTATGTTCAGAATGTTGGGCATGCTGATCTGTTCCAGGATGGATTGGGGACTTGGTGGGCTGTTGCTTTGGGAGTGAGAAACGAGGCTGGAGGTCGAACACCGATCGGACGAGAAACATTTTTGATCCCTGTGGACTGGCCTGCTGGTGAATGGCCGGTATTTGGTCGCGCGAGAATGCAGTTTGAACGACTTGCCCTCCCTGAGACGGACCCGATACCCAAGCCTACAGAGCGGATTGATGATGTCTACATTCGCGATGCGAAATTGGATCGTTACAAATTCTCTACGGATGGCTCCTTGATTACGCTCGTTCCGTCGGTGCGAGACGTATCAGCAACACATGGTACAACAACATTCGTCGGGAAACGGCAAAGATCCTCTTGCTGCATCGCAACTGCAACTATTCACGTTCCCACAGACCCGGATTTGAGGGCTGGGCTGGCTCTTTACAAGGAGGATGCTCGCCACGTCGAGCTTTGTTATGATAGCAATACAGGAAAAGTGACACTGGAAGCTTGCTTCAAATTGAAGGGAGAACCGAATATTATGGCGGAAATTGCGATTACGAGTCAGAAAGTCCAGATGAGAATATGCGCAACTACTTTGGCGTATGATTTTTCTATCTGAATGGAGAGTGCATCTGAATGGACTTTTCTGGGGTCAATTGACGCCCTTGAAATGACGGCGTGTAACTTCAATTTGACGGTGTTGGGCGTATTTGCGAATATGGCGAGGGATGGGGAAAGTGCTGGTATTGTAGAGATGGAAAATTTCTCTGTTTCTTGATGACAGCTATAAATGTTAGGATGCTCATGATAATTACGAAGCAAGGAGGAACTGTCGACGTTAAGTGTGGCGCCACTGATAATTGACCCGTGACTATACAGTGTATCCTCAAAGAAGAGTATGCGGTCTGGAATCGAAGCGCGAATGAATTATCGAGAAACTGGGAAATTGCTGTAAAGTCGGAAATGAAAAAGCCGCTCATGCTGAATCTGTACTTTACCAAATCCCAAGGTAACCCTTTTCCTCCTCCAAAGCGCATATGCCTGCATGAGTCGATTCTTCCATGTAATGTTTATCATCGTGGAGCATGAAAAATCCCTTATGCATAGATGTAGTGTAGTCCAGATTGATCGTCGGATATTCCGAGCTCCCAATATCTTGGATTTTTCAACTCACATGATCCGTTGATTGGCAATATTTCAACAAGGTCGTTTAAGGTGGACAGTACAAGGTCCAGGTGGACAGTGTAAGGTTTCAGGTGGACAAAGTATCCACTCTGAATCTACCCGGAATTGCCGTCTCGGAATATGAAGTAAAGTGGGACTCGGTCATGGGAAGCTCGCCGGTTAAAGGGAGTGATTAGCCGATAGTGTTCTGTGGAATTTGGTTCAAATTGCCCGAAGTCCGATCTTCTGTGCAGATCTATGGTATAAGTACGTTCTTGCTATAGAAAACAGGTGTAGCTTAGAGTGCCGACGATGCGATATACAAATCTCAACTACGTAGATACGCCTTCGCGGACTCGCCCCAAACCGCAGCCCGCTTGTAGTAATGGAAACCAGGCGCATTTCCTTGTTTCATGCCATCGATAGCTTCTGCAAGAGCTTCACCGAGCCCTTCTTCCTTGATCTCGGGTAGCGTGTATAACAGCGTTTTAAACGAGAACAGAAGGGCTCTTGTTTGTGGGAGACGGTGGAGGAACTGTCTCTCAACACGTACGCGGGCCTGGGATGGTTAGATAGCGGCCATGATCACTAGATGATTTATCTTACAATTCCGAGATTCAGGTCTTCTTTTGTGGTTTCCTCACCCTCATAACCATGATTCCCAGCTGGCCGGAACAGCCGATCAGTATTTTGAATAGTCCACTATGCAGGCGTCGATTAGCAGGTCTGACTTGATATTTCAAGGTTGTCATCGGCATACATTGGCACGCTTCACAAATTTGCCGACTTTGATTTTGTCGAAAAATCGATCCATGCTTTTCTCTAATTTCTCTTTGTAGTGCGGCACTGGTGTGTGGATATCTCGAAGCTTAAGGTTCAGTTTCTCCGCTGTGTTGAAGCCGTTCGGACAGCAGGTTACAAAGCCTCTAAGGGTGACGCTATCGCCATCATCTGATGGCATCAGGAAGAGGAGGTCGTCGTCAATCAATCCACCCATAACACGAAGCGTGTCCCGAGGATGAGCGTGTGGGAGAAGAGGGAATTGCTCATTTGTGATCAGACTGTGCAGATATCCTGACTGATCGCTAGTTGCTAGCAGGATTTGAAACATGGTAGGGTATCGAGTTGGGAGATAAGTCCCGACAAGCCAAGTGTAGAATTCGTCTACAGCTGGCTTGACACAATCCTCAGCACCGAGGACGGTATCTGCATGCTCGACCAGGGTCTTCTTCCGTAGTGTGATGCGCTCGAGATAGTTCTTGTCCATCTCGATAATCTCGTTGATATTGGCATCTTGGATACCTGCAAATGTACAAGTCAGAACCGCGTTCACTTTGAATATGAGTGGTCTATATACTCATGGTGAGATTGTATCTTGGCTTGAATGGCCTGAGTTTCACTGGTTCTGTTGTCTGCCAGCAGAAACCTTTGAGGGGTTCGACTGCCGGGTAAGAAGTGGGCTCAGCATCTTTGCAGTCGAGTGTAGGCGGAGAAATTGGCTTCTGTCTTTTTCGTGATGAAGTGAAAAGCAAGATCAGACTCGAAAAAATGCTGAAACAGAGTATCGTTGGCCATCCAGGCCATTGTACGAGAGAGACCGTCGTCAGCACTGCCATGGCTGAGATATGAGAAGATCGCTTGAAAGAAAGTATGTAAAGTAGGACCGGAAATAGATGGTGTGAGGCGGGTTACCCTTAAATATTAGAACTGGGAATGCCAGGGATTTTGGAGGAGACAATCCGAGCTATCAATGTTAAATGACTCACGGCCACTTCCAAAATATTCAGTCAGCCTTCTAAACGTGAGATATTATTGATAAGTGCTGCAGATATACCGAAAATGAGAACAGCACGACCTTGAATACTCGTTTACCCCGCACAACCTTATCTCGAGTACTCATTTAACCTTCCCGATTCGGACAAGGCCCACTTTGAAGGCTGATAGCAGCAAAGAACTGGCAAGCTAGTGCGGGTGGTTGACCCCTTGAACCAAAATGATAGGATACTGGAATTCCTTTCGCATACAACTTCTATCATTGGCTACGTTAAAGCTACCGACAAGCCTCACGGATGTGATGTCCATGCACAGGTCTAGAATCCACTCACGATATCCACAACAGGCTTGTCATTGGTGTCAGCAGTTTATGACATCCAGGCTTTAAATTGACGAGTGTGCAGACTCATGAAAGTACTTGCGCTCACTTATCTCTAGCAATTGTTGGTGGCGCTTACAGGGAGGTATTTTTTATTGGCTGCCTAGCACCGGCCTACCAATTGAGTTCGTCTTAAGTACTGGATTCTTCAATGATGATGATCTGTTAAACCTCATATCTCGTAAATCGATAATCTACCGCGAAAAACTAAACGATTAATAACTATCGAGTCATAAGAGAGGCCGTGAACACAAAGCGCATAAACCAAAACCCGCGCCACTCACATCCAAATGTGAGATCGAGATTAGAACAGCCAGGACACAAATTTGCGGTAGAACCAGTGAGAACCCGCATTCTTCTCCATCTCCGCATTGTGCTGCGCGATAAAGGCAGCCTCCTCGCGATCGATCTGGTCCTTACCAGTCCACAGATCAGCCTCTTCGGGCTTAACACCCTTGCACTTGGTAACTAACTTGTAGCCAACGATCAGGATCAGGTATAGAGGGATACCCAGGTAGGCGGTGATGAAGTTCTTGTAGTCGAAGTTGCCCCATTTCTTGTTGTGCGTGAAGACGTCGTAGTTCTTGGTGAAAACAATGAGAATGCAGAAGGCCAGAGCGAGATAGGAACCATAGATGCCGAAGGGTGCGACGTAGGCCAGATCAGAGTCTGGGACGTTCTGTGCCCGACGGGCGCGCACAAAGTAGATGTGGGTAACCAGGATGGAGACCCAGGTCAGAAGACCGAAGATGGTGACCAGGTTGACGAAGTACTTGAAGACGGTCTGAGAGTCGCTGGTCACGTTCATGTAGGCAATGAGAGCAACGCAAGAGCAAATTGCCAGTGCAAAGACGGGCACACCGCGACGGTCGGTGCGGGCGAAGATCTTGGGGGCCTTGCCCTCACGAGCGAGACCGTAGATTGTACGGGTCGCAATGTACAAGTCAGAGTTGGAGGCCGAGAAAACAAACAGCAGAATGCAAGCATTGAGGATGTGCGACAACACGGGGATACCGGAGTTCTCGATGGCAACGACAAAGGGCGAAGCAGCAGCGGAGCTGCTGGACTTGGAGAATTTGGAGTTGTTGTAGGGCAGCTTCTTGTCGTTGTACGGCACCAGGGTACCGACCAAGAGGACCGAGAGCACGTAGAAGACCAGGATACGCCAGAAAGTCAACTTAATCGCACGAGGAATCGCCCGACGGGGGTTCTGCGCTTCACCGACTGTCACACCGACCAATTCGGTACCCAGGTAGGCAAAGGTGGCAGAGACCATGGTTGACCAGAACGCGAGGAAGCGGCCAGCATCGCCCTCCATGATGTAGTGGTTGAAAGCACCGGGACTCTTCCAGTAGCGGAATCCCCTACGGTCGTGATCGGGACCACCACCCAACATGAGGATGAAGGAGAGCAGGATGATGCCCAGGATGACGATGACCTTGAACGAGGACAGCCAGAATTCGAATTCACCGAAGAAGCGCACACCGAAGTAGTTGATGCAGACAATAGCAATCAACAAGATGGTGATCCAGACTCCCGCGTTCACTTTATCTTGTGGCAGCCAGTATGATATAACGAGGGCGCCTGCTGTTAACTGATTTGGTGTTAAGATGATGTATTTAAACCAGTACCTGGATATATTCTCAGTTAGTATGGAGTCGTGAAAAGCTCAGCCTTGGGAAGATTGTACGCACGTCCAACCAAGAGTGAAACCGAGCGCGGGATCGCAGAATCGCACAGCATAACCAGTAAAACCAGAGGGCAGAGGGAGCCAAGCGGCCATCTCTCCAAGAGCACACATGACCAGATACACGATGAGACCAACCCAAGCGTAGGCGATCAGGATTGAACCGGGCTAAAGAAGTTAGATATGATCAAATTGACGTGGTTGCAGATATACTCACGCCAGCCCTTCAAGCACGAAAACGTCGTGGTTAGCTTTTGGTACTGGAAAATAGGAAAGCGGGACCGTGACTTACTTTGCAAGGGCATCACCAGTACCAATAATCAGACCGGTTCCAATTGCACCACCGATAGCTGCATCTCGTCAGTCCAAGGCCTTTCCGGGCAGGCATTCTAAGTGCTTCACGTACCAATCATAGTAATGTGTCGCGCCTTGAGGGCGCGGTGCAGGTCGACATGGTTGGGGTCTGATAGACCACCCTCCTCGATTCTACCAGCTTCATCGCTACTGTGCTCGGGTTTGACTGGAGCCTCAGAGGAGAAACCCTCGCTCTTGATCTCGTGTGACGCCATGTGTTGGGCGCAAACGTGGGGGAGGCAAGCGTGTAAATACCCCAATGTTTGCGTGGTTCAGACTCAACGTGTCTGGAGAAATACCGGGGGAAGGAAGAGATTAAGAGGAAATGAAGAAAAAAAGAAAATTATGAGAAAGAGAAACACGAACGATGCCCAGGTGACCAGTCCTCTAAAAAAGGGCCCGAGGAGGGGGTTTCTTCCCAGTCTGCGACTCTGCGCTCCTGCGCCTCTCCGCAGGCCAAGAAATCAGAATGGAAGAATGCCCCGAGCAAAGAGATAAGCCCTCGCGCCGTCAGAGGCAGGCATACGAGCAGAACCTTGACCAAAATACAGTAAGCTTATTTGGGAAGCCAAGCCTTGGGGGAGATTGAACGTAAGGTCGAAGTTTGGTATGGGGAAGGAATCAGTTAGGTAACATCTATGGGGACGAGGAGGTATAAATCTCTTCCTGATCCACTTTGCGTGTGGAGGCAGGAGGAAAGGATGTCACTCCGAACAAGCATATGGTAGAGTAGAAGTAGCCGAGGGGAATTCTAGCTGCGGGTTAAACCTCCGATCGCTTGGGGAAAGTACTTTGTTTGCAAGGCTTTCCTTCTGTTTTTGCGGCTGTGGATTGTACGACATGGATGACCTGCATAAACCAAAGTTTAGCATATCAGTGCCCCCTCAGCCTCGGCTGCTATCTAATAGAATACCGTTGAATGTAGACAACCTATAATCTGCGTCCACCTCCTTATATCGTAATATCACTGACAGTCCATTTCTCAGCTCTCCAATTTCCCTTTGTCAAAGCTTCGCGATAAGACCCCCGGAGTTGCCGCCCCAGGCCAAGCCAGCCGCCGAGCCGCCAAGATCTCGGAAGGGAAAGATTAATTCGAAAAGCCTCGACAACGACTGGTCGGTTTATAACGGAGATAGAAGGGGGCGGGTCGGTTTGCGTCGGCATTTTCTTATTTCTCGGTGTCTCTGATCGTTGAGTCTAGTTGAATCCACCTAGAGATACCGTAGCAATGTCGATCTTGACCGATTATAGACATGTCAATCCAAAGGCGCCGAAAGGCGTCCATATACTTCGCGGAGCCGCCACTAGGCATAGCCTTAGTATCGATGCTTATGGAGCACAGAGTTAGTGTTAAGAATTCGATTCTTGATCGGATGACCTGGCTTTCTGCCTTGTAAAAGTGAAAAATATACAAAAAGGAGACGATCAGCCCGTTCGATGCAGACGGTGAGGCTGTCCTGATGATCCTGAAGGGGTAGACGAGGCTTGGCGATCAGCCAGCGTTGCGCCCGGGCGGCCCGCCAAGACCAGATACTTCCCCGCCACTGCCCCTCCAGCCAATTGGCCACACCCGCTAATATACAACTTGCACAATCTGGCTGCCTTGGCAGCTACCCTGGTGCCACCGACGGCACGGCAGGGGGCCCTTCCACTTTTTTCTGTCTCCTTTGGCTTTGCAATCACCATAAAATCCATGGAACCGACGCTGATAGCGAATTTTCTAGAATACGCGTGATCTTGGGTCTCAGCCTCTTGGAATTAATGTCGACGAAGGCTTATGGGGTTATTCGGATTTCCGATCGTTCCCAAGTCCTATCGGTGAAATCTCAGGAAACTTCCCACGAACCGGCCCACGTGGTGGGAAAATATGAAAATGCCTTGCTTGGTGCTGATCAATGATTCTAGAATCTAGAAGCTCGGGGCGTTTAGGGCGTGATATAGATCTTGCTTCCCCTAGCTATGATAATCAAGTCCTGTCTACTCATCTATGATTAGCAACCGGAGGACCAACCCCCCTCTCCCTATTTAAGTACCATTGGAATAAATTGAAGTCGAATCTCAAGCCATGGGCTTATTCTTTGAATACCATCCAGCTTTCCCGGCGGCCCAATCTGGGAATTCCATCCGCGTCTTACATATTCAGATTGAGACCCTGAGAATAAGCTTTTCTTAGACCCACAAAGAAAAGTCCCTTTTCCACCACAACGCCTCATCCAAGGTTTCTTGTTTTTATGTGTCAAAATGTTCCGACTTTGTGAGAGAACATCGGCTTCCTATCATCCCTAGAGTATTGTCGCCGCATAATTTCGTAAACTGAGGGGGCAAGTTCAATCAACTGGGAGTTTGAAATCCCAGGCTTTGAGAACAAGGCGGTTTAGAAACCTCGCATTTTATGGACTTGGGAATGCCCTGGACAGATCCTCTACGGTCTCAACTTTATCAAGAATGGAAACCTTCCCGACAGAGTTAAATACAGTGCAATTCTTATTATTCCTTTAAACGAAAAACCGAGAATCCCGAAATGTATAGTTCATCTAGGAGTTAGCCGTAGGGGAACCTTGCTATCGACGGGGACCGCGGTTTAGGTCTCCCTAATCTAGTAGGCATATGGAGCTTGCAGATTAACATGAACTTCCCCGGGGGGGATTTCAGCAATGCTTTGTAGGGCAGTATCGCCGGGGGGCACATTTAGGTAAGCTTGTCTGAGAGCGCTACATTCTCTTACGACATGCGCCGGGACCCGCTAATCGAACGGGCCAAAAGACTAAGCATGTCAGAACGGGATGTTCTGACATGACCGGGACCGATATAAGTGGCGTACATAACGCTAGGCTCGAAAGTAAGTCCTAAGCCAGTGACTGGAAAGCCAGTGCCGAAATGTAGACCTGTGCCCGTAATCGATCTCTTGGTCAATTGAGCGACGACTGCTCAACAGTTCAATACCGCTCGGTCGAGCTCCGCGAGAGCGAGATTTCAACGTTGGTCCCTTTCCATCATTCTGTTCACAACACACCGTCTTTTTGGTGCCGTGTATGAGCGCCCTTTTTCCTTCACGAAAAAAGAGAAGGTAAACAAGTAGAGCGAGGAAATGATGCTTAATTAGCCTTGAATACACCCGACATTGCCGCCTGATTTTGGCCCCCATTAATAAGGTTAATAAACCAACAAGACGAACAGCTGGGCTATAGGTTAGCTATGATTGGATAGCTGAGCAAACCGATAGCATGGGCCCTCGAACTTGTAGAACGCATTGTGCAATACCCCGCAAGAATCCAGCCCCATGCGGCTCTAGAAAACACGGCATTGGTCGATAGCTCGCCGTGGTGATGCTGTTGGTTCACAGACACGGGCTTCCTTCCCGATTCTTCTATCATCATGACCGTCATAGCTGACAGCTGATGAGCTGTTCGCTGACTCACCTCAGCATTGCATCGTTGTCCTGGACTACAGTAGATGCTCCGATGGCGGTACAGGATGTCGTCAGATTGGGTACAACAGGAAACTGTCGTTCGCGGTTCGGTCCTTTGAATGCACGCTCCCTGGGCTCGAGAGCAACGCGATATGCACAAACGCTCGAGATAGATTATCCAGGATGTCATTGCAAGAGTAGGGATGCATTGGTTGCTTGCTCGTCTTGAATCTGTCTCGATCTCACCATAGATGCCAGCACGCCGTCCTCTGCTTTGAACTAAGAATAGTCCTCAAGAACTGGGAAGATGACGCGGCCATTGGAGTCTATGGAGCATACTGTAGTATGTGACAAGATAATGATCTACTTCCACAGTGGGTAATCTCTAGCTGTGTGTGTACCCTGGATCTCGATGTGCCCTATACTAGACACTTCGTCAAAGTCATATGCAGAAGAGGGCTATTACTAGCTAGGGGACAGTTGCGTGCTCCAGGGTGTCGACGAGGTCTACAAAAATTCGAAGAAAAAAAAGACAACTGCAAAAATGCCTCACTCCGCAAGCGAGACCCCTGAAAATCAACAAAAATCTACGTTGTGAACAGCGGCAATGGCCCTTCGATAGGAGCCCAAGAGCTCAGGAGATTCTTGGACAGTGGAAATTATGCGATGCAGTCGGATTGTGCACGGACTAAGATGAGCTATCACGAATAAACGACTGCGAACCAACACCCGCTGTGGATGATGACTGGATTCTTAATCCCAGTGCTTATGTGTGACGACCTGCATAAAGCCTTTGGAGGTGACAGCCTCGTTGCTTGGTGATTGGCGGATGAACGCCTCGGCGGCTACGGGGTGGTTGGTTTATTTTCGGCGTGCCGATCGATGTTTGATATGATTGGATATAGGGTCGCCCCACAAAGGTACGGGGGAGGTTCAGACACAGTGATTGGACAATGAGGTGCTCGATTTTGCTATCATTAGCAACAGTTCTGCAGCTAAATCCAGGATAATTTGGGAGCATTCTATCTTAAGATCCGTGTTTATCCAACTCGTGCGGGGAAGTGGGTGTTGGTCGAGTGTTGGTGATCCTCCTTTGGGAAGGGTAGTTATATCAGGTCGCTCGAGGTCGAAGTCTGCCCTGTCTTCAGGCCAACCTGGATTTCTTCCAGCAACGAGGCATTTCTTCTCGGTCTTTCGAAGGGCCTTTTGATATCACTTAATATTTCTCTTTCACTTCATAGTCTTTTGTATACAACTATCTTACAATGGGTGTAATGCGCTTCCCACGACCATCGGGCATCTATGTCCCAAGCTCACCCACTCGCTTGCTCACCAACGATATGATCTCTCCTCCTCTTTCCCCAGACTTCAACTTTGACTCCGAAGTCGTTCTTCCATCTATTCTTCCTGCCCTCGAGTATATTTCCTCCAAGTTGCAACAAAAGACCATGCACGTCACACTTTTGGTCGGTCGCGGCAAGCCATACCCAACTGGCCAAGCCTCCGATCTCATGATCATCCCTATCACACCTCTCGATCTTCCTTCACGGCGTGTACTGGAGCGAGCGATTGCAAAAGGGGCGAAGAGATTCTCCCTTGGCCCAAGCTGGACAGAAGCACTCAGCCGCAGCCAGCATGAACGCCATGCGAACGAGTGCCTCGTGCAACAATCCATCCTCCAGAACGAAGTCATCTTTAGCCAAGAAGGCCTGACTCTTCTAAACATGGATCGCATCTATATCTTTAAACGTCGCATGTGCATTCTCTCAAACCGCCCCTTCTCCCGATCGGACGAACAGCCCTTGAATTCTTGCGTACAACTACTTCACCGCATCATCAAAGATTTCCAAGGCCGCCCCTTCAGCAAGGCCTTTTTCCATCGCGTCTATGAACAATTAGACGTAAAGGACGACCTACTCGCTGCCGTTGCCACTGCATATAAAAAAATACACAATCAAGAAGCCATCATCCTGCCATCAAAAGCCAAGTCAGAAAATTCTCGAAAGTCGCCGGTCCACACCGTGCCGATTCGCACTGTTCGTGCCCGTCGGCAACCAGTGGTAAAGACAATCCCCTCCAAGCCTGGTACAAACAAGGCACTGCTAGCAAAGCCATCGGCCGCAAAAGGAGTCGCACAGAAGACGAGTCCCAGTCCCGTGAGGGCAAGCCCTCTAAAGTCGAGCACCATGAAGCCTCCTTCAGTCAGGCGTGGGCCCAAAACTCCACTCTCGGCATCGGATGTTACTCCAATCACACGAAATGAGTGGAATATTCTTGTCGGTCAGGACATTCGGCTACAACCAACAGTCACAAAGTGGACTCCATCGCCTACTGTGTACGCTATGGCTTGAAACTTTCGCCGAGTCGGCTACGGCTTGCATACCCATAATACAAAATCCATATAGCCAAGGAGAAACAGAGATCTTGGCTTGCTTGCACACAGTCCATGCACAGAGTTGATATAGACCGTGTCGCAGACGTCGTCGTTGTGGAAGTGTAGTAATCTACACCCCGGCAAGTTAGAGCAACGAGAACTGAATCCTCGATAATCAGTCCTACTACAGAGTGAGAACTGGAATTCCTTAACACTACCCAATTGACAGAATCTCTACCATCCGAGAGACTTAAATCTCAAGGGACTTTCTTGAAGCTATTCAATCCCTGTGGCTGTCAAGTTCTTAACGGCCCAGAGTGTCTTGGTTGAGGTTATCCAAGGGTTACGAAGCATTTATCACTTATGGGCATGGGAAAGGAAGCCATTGAAAGAATTTTCCAGGTATGAATGGCGAAGAATCTACTATTTCAGATTACTATAGATTAACTCATAGCTTTTAGGTGCCTCGTTAATCACCTTTCTCCGAATCAGCACGAGAACATTACAGTCCTCGGGTGCCTGGTCGAATTCTTTGATCCGGCATATTTGATCTGGATGGCTCTTCAACAAGACGTGCTCAGCCATACTGGTACCAATGGGAAGACATTGACATGGTAGCTATCAACGATGCATGCTGAATTTCAGTCTGTGCCTTGGAACAATGGAATATCGAGCAAAAGGACACACCTCAGAACTGCTTCATATCCATGACTGGAAGTGATATCTCGAAGGTAAAGGAGCTTCTTCACAACTGGGATCAGGAGATATCTTCAAATATTGAGGCAATGATTGAGGCAATGATTGAGGGAGTGACAGGTGCTTGCTTTGAAGGACGTGATCACCGCAGTTCTCAAAGTATAATCAAAATCCTCGGCGGAGCTTCGTTTTCTCGAGTATACATGATGTACTTATTAATTGAATGGTTCGGAGATTAATACTCAGTTTCACCGATCTGATTCAGATCTAAGGGGGTAGATATGGTCCACGTAATCGCGAATATTACAAGATGTCGGGGAAGTGTGTCGATAACAACCCGGGGATGGAATGAGCTTTGCGAAGGGGCTAATGTTTTGGGTGGATCAAATGTTGGTAGATAAATGGGTTGATAGCCGAATAGATGAAGACGACCGGAAGACAGAAAAACAATCCATTGTGGAAGGCTATGTGGTGAGTTCTGACAGGGATGGTCTGCTCTGGTTGACGTCTTTTATGATGGTTGTGTTCGGTTGGTCGGTTGGTTAGATTCTCAAAACCCGGGCCGTCCTCTCGGTCCAACCAGCAAATCGGCTATATGCTGACTCGGACTATGATTCGGGAAGATATTACGGCATTAATCTGCCTTTTAAGATTGTCAACGAACTCTATAATACTATGAGCGAAGGCCCATTCCTCACCTTACTGCCGACTAGCGTTCGAGTACCGTTCATGGGGCAAATCAGTTGTACTTTCCGAGAAGTTCAGTGACGGGCTCCAAAATTTCATTTCCGCCTCGATATTAGGGGAAATCTTATTTCATGGCAATGTTCACAACTTCCCCAAGAGAATCGACCACAAAGTCTGGCCCCGCATTTTGACAAGCCTCCCGATCTCCATAGCCATACCGACACCAACATCCCTTACTTCCAATATTCTTTGCGAACTGGAGGTCCGCCACTGTATCCCCCACCACCAGCACACTGGCCGGGTCAACATTCCCCAGGCCATACTTTTCTCGCAGAACAGGAACTAGGACATCCACGAAGCTGGCCGGGTCTGGTTTGCGCTTTGCCCCTGGTGTTTTATCCCCAATAATCAAATCTTCAGGCACGTAGCCCTCCAAGCCATTGCGCTCGAGAGTGGTCTTGACTGCAGCCACACCTTTGTTACTCACAATGGCAATAGCGACCTTGTGGGCATTCAGCTCAGCCAAAAGATCCTTCGCGCCCGGGAAAGCCTTGATGAGAAGTTGGCCATGGGTGGCATAAAGCGCTCGGTATCTATCAATCCATTCCTCTTCAACGGTAGGTGTAAATTCAGAGGGCGTGGGATGTAGAGCCTGGAATGTGTCTGCTAGGCCGGCGCCGCTGGAGATGAGGCGGTGGATTTCGGTTTGAGGAGGGGCATGGCTGGGGTGGAGAGCATCGAAAGTCAGTTTGATTGTCTGTGAGATAGATTCATGTGTGTCGAAGAGAGTGCCATCGAAGTCAAAGATGGCGAGGGATATCATATTGCCGAAATTGGTGCAATTGGAGGCAGAGTTTTAACAAGACAACAATCGACAAAGGAAATAGAGTTGTTGAATGGCCGCTCGACAATCATTTTCTTGAGAGTTGATGCACGTGATGGAACGAATAGTAACTTTGAAAAGGGTCAGGGATCTTGCATTAGCGTTGAGTCGAGAATGGACACGCTTAATTACGTGGCTGAAGCAACTCATCTGGCGATGTTACCTTGTGATAGAGTAGAGACCTCAAACCCGAGTCTTCAATAATGATCCGACATAATTTTATCAAAGTTTCGAAGTCTTACGGTGCGCAGTCAGCCGTTCAAATTGGAGGAAGGGCTTCGTACGAGGAAATAATAATATTCATGTGTCTGGAGCCCCAAGCCTTGTTGTTCTAATCGGTTATAGCCTCACTCCAGGAGGATCCACACTTGTAAAGCAGGGGATCGGCGGACCCGCATACAATACTGTACAATACAATTTTCATCGCCACAATTACAGTATAGAATATAGTCTAGGGATGAATTTTCAAAGCAAAGGCAGTTACGTGAAGCCGACTGGTTACTGTGAGTCAGAATGTTCCATGGTTACACACACACAATTCATTACCTCCCGGCGGCTAAGCCGAAAGGGCAACTGAAACTGATCTACCAATATGGGTCCTTATATACATATGCCGTGTCTCCTTCGAGCCCATGCATGGATCCTTGCCGTATATATCATAAGGATCGTTGTGGGTCAGTGATTTTGTTAGTAGACTGGCTTGAAGGCGCTTCTTCAAGTGTTCAACATCCTATCCTCGGCAGTTGAAGCGCGTCCACCATATTTGGCACAAGGTGGTAGGTGTAAATTGGTGAGGAGGGTGTCGTTGAGTCGGTCGACGTGGTTAGGCGGCGTCGGGTTCGTGCACCGTTTTTAATGCGCCTTGGACGGCTCCAACGCAGACAGACAAACTGCTACTCAAGAACGCACCGTGGAGAGAGATCAATGCTAGAATCGCGAGGACGCTAGCTGCCACTCCGCTGGAAGGCTCCGTACAGCAGAAGACCGATCGGCTTATGTGCGCTGTGTCGGAAGCGGTTCGTGCGTTGACGCCGAAGGCCAAACCGTCACCGCACGCAAAGCGATGGTGGACAGCGGACCTAACGCAACTCCGTCAGATATACACACACTGGAGAAACCACGCCCGCTCGGAAAGACGCGCAGGGCGAAAGGTGCCACAGCTAGAGGACATGGCCGCAAGCGCCGCGAAGCAATACCATGAGGCGATTCGGAAACAAAAGAAGAAACACTGGAACGAGTTTCTGGCCGACAACGACAACATCTGGAAAGCTGCCAAGTATCTGAAATCAGGGGAAGACACAGCCTTCGGGAAGGTACCGCAGCTCAGAGCAGACGGAACGGTTACCACCGATCATAGGGAGCAGGCAGAAGAACTACTAACCAAATTCTTCCCGCCGCTGCCGGACAGCATTGACGATGAGGGAACCAGGCCACAAAGAGCGCCGGTAGAGATGCCGATCATCATCATGGAAGAGGTAGAGCGGCAGTTGCTCGCAACGAAGTCTTGGAAGGCGCCAGGCGATGATGGCCTACCAGCCATAGTCTGGAAGATGACCTGGCCCACGGTCAAACACCGGGTCCTCGATCTTTTCCAGGCGTCACTGGAAGAAGGCACGCTGCCGAAACAGTGGAGACACGCAAAGATCATCCCGCTGAGGAAACCGAACAAGGAAGACTACACCATTGCCAAGGCATGGAGGCCGATCTCACTGCTCGCAACATTAGGCAAGATTCTAGAATCGCACGCATCTTCCTTTCCCTTTCCCCTCCAGACTTGATTCCTTCGTCAGATAGCACCGAATGCAGACAGTTGTCCTCATCTCGATTGGCTCGTAACAGTAGGACTAATAGGTCCTTACCTGCCGTAATATAATTACGGATTTTATATAAGCTTTAATTCAGCCATAATCTATTATCCTTAGCTACCATCTTCTAATATTCCTATAATAGTATTAATACGAGACGAGTATGATTCAGTAACTGACACCTAGGGGTTATTCCGCCTACCGTTCATTACAAGTTCGAATATTATATAGCGGCTCAACCGTACGCTCCAATTCAGCGGATAAATAAACAGCGAAGGATATTCTAATATATTACATGCAGACACGCAGGTATACAGAATACTCAAATACAACCTTTACGTGATCTTAACTAGATATATTATTCATAGCGAAACAACTTACACGCCACAGAATCTATATAACACAAGCCTAGTGTATTCCAATTTAGTAGAATGCCCGATTATAGTCAAGTTCCACCCGCGAATCTGACTTAGTAGAGCTATAGATAATTAAGGGGTCCCACGAATATATAAGCAGCACGTTTATAACTATAAGCTCCTAGGACAAAACCTATCCCGTTTATAACGCTCTGGGCCTTATCATCAGTTCAAGGGGAACAAACCAAGCCAGCCAAAGCGCTACCATAAGGCTAAAACAACTCCTTAGGTAGTGCACTTTGAACAGTACAGCTAGTGTATTCCTTTTTTCTACCAAAAAGTATTATCGTAAATTCGTTGATTATGCTTATATATATTAAAAATAGTGATATTTCCCCAAAAAGATAAAATTCAATATGATACAGTATTATATTTATAAATCTACTTGTAGTAAAGGAGTGCGATGAAGCGAAGGAGAATGTGTGAATGTGTGAATGTGTGAATATATGAATATATGAATATATGAATATATGAATGTGTGCATGAACCCGTACATGAGAGTTCAAGATATGAAACTATATAGTATTAGAATGCTCAGTTCTAATTGGGAAAGAGGTCAATCAGTGGCTCGACCTATGGCAGTGGTTCCTAATCTCAAATTCCACCGAAAAAGAGTTGGCGGCGGGGATTTGCTTTTGATTTGACGATGTTTCCCTTTACTAACAGAATATACGTAGTGAATATTGTTTAATAGGAAAATTTGCCTTATATTAGGCTTGACCTTCCTAGGAGCATTCACAGTTTTCCCCGGTACATTGGCCAGATATAGGAGAACTACGTAGGCAAAATGTGATGGACTGTGTTTCCTAGATGAACTACGAATTTTTCCTGCCTTTTTATTGGCCACTTCGCAGATCTCTCTGTAATGATTTATATACCCCTCCACGGCCGTCTGCTACTTAGCCAAAGATCTTTTACGTTATGCTATTTTCGCTATATTAAGTAGACAAAAACATGAACGTTTAACCTGCTACACGCATATACTAAACAATAGCTCCTGGGAGCGCTAACGTGTTCTCCGGAAACCCTCACGGTATTATCTTATATACGGAGATATTAAGCTAATCATGTAGTCTTTTTATATAAATATTCTTCTAGGTTCCCGGGAGCTTAGGTCTGACCGGAGCATAACGCCATTACTACCTATTCTTGATGGAGATAAAATCCTGAATAAATGCTCCCTACACCGGCTCCCTTCAGAAACTGACCTAATGACCTAATGACTGCATTAGGCAACGTATTCGATCGAGCGAGAGTGAGTGCAATACAAATATCTTTCTCCTTCTGTCACTGATCGTATTTCAGATAGAAAATATTCAACCGTTCATCGCCAACGAACTTACCACTCAAGTCACTAAATCCGCAGTGTACAGCGTTCAACTACTCCTTGAGTCTCTTAATAATATTCGACTCAACAATGAACTCTCGACAGAATTGTACGATCGATTATCCGCTGTAGAAAACATCCTGCGGAAAACAAGGGCGCCTTGGCTGAAAGGTTGTGTAACCAGCCAGCGTGGCCTACCCGCAGAGTACCGATGCGCCACCGAAGGGCTGACGGTTAGCCGCCGATGGGCTGACGGTTAGCCGCCGATGGGCTGACGGTTAGCCGCCGATGGGCTGACGGTTAGCCGCCGATGGGTGACCTCCTCGGCAGAATCCACAGGGCCCAGAGGGGCATAAGACATCAATGTGTGAACAACCTCCCATCGGAATTATCATAACACCACCGTGGAATGAGCCGAGGTATCATCCTAGACAACTCCATTCACAGTAACAGTTGGCAACGCGTAACTAGGGACCACCTAGCCGTTTTAAGGATCATCTAGTTGTCCCTAGTTACGCAACGCTAACTGGTTTTTGTGAATGGAGTTATCTGGGATACTTGCCTAGTCATACGACTAGCGTCTGATGATTGAGTCGGTCGGGGGTACCCGGTCCCGCAATATCTGGTCTGATGGCCCAAGGCAGCTGCGTCCGACCTCATGACGGGTACCTGGGCACACCACCCTGGCCCTCTGCTCTAAGGGCCCCGACCTTGGGGGTGTTCACCACATGCCTAGCCAGAGCGGGCTTCAGTCGCTAAGGTCGTATAGCTTACCGCATAGGATCTGACGGGTCCCACGTCGACCGTACCCTAGGAGTATCGACCTAATCTTGGAGCTTGCATGCACTTTTGGTGAAAAAGCTCGGGGTGCAGCTTAACCAGGATCTGGATCATAAGTGCACCTCTATCGGCCCTTGTGGGTCCTCCGGCGCACCGTTCAAGGTGTACGATCCTCGCGTTAGACACTGTATAAGTAGAGGTAGCAGAATTTTCTCAAAAGGATCGTCCATATTAACACAACTATTGTGTCCTTAGAGACGGAGCGCCAGGAAGCAAAAGAAAATCCCTCCGCTCTAACTCTCACCTATCCCTCCATTTACAATATCCAATATACCTAAAACGGCCTAGCGGCACTGTTGGCAACATCAAGAGTGGAAGTACGGGGTACTTGTTTATCGCCTCAGAATTTGAAAAAACCCTTATATTTACAGTATTTTCTAGGGAAAGCATTATCCAACTGAAAAAAACTGAAAGACTTCATTCGATGAAAGTAACCAGGGAGCTGAGATATGGAATCCTAGACCACCAAGGTTGAAATTACGCCGTCTTTGTCTGGAATGGGAAGCCCCCTCGCCCTAAGAGTTCTGGTCCTCGACCTCCTCTTTTGGGGAGAGAATCTCCCAACTTTCGTACAAATAAAGGTTCTCTAACAAATGTGGGGTTAGGGGGACCTTAGTAGCGCGCTCGAGGGCAGGAAATTCTTCGGCAAATGAGTCCTCCTGAGCAGGATGGACTTCAGTAACTGCATCCTCGGGCTCCGCTTCGATTGGAACCTCCTCGGGCTCCGGATATTCCTCAGCAGGAGCGGCAGCATCTTCGGGATAAGCCTCGACTGGGACCTCGTTGGGAACAAATTGGTGTCTAGCAGGCAAATCTTCCGTCTGTGATTCTTTACTCATTTCCACCGTCACCAAAAGTTCTTTGGCCGAACTATTCTGCCTGTGGCGGCTGTTCTGGCCCTCGATAGTTTCCCGAAAACATAAGCAACTGGATAGTATTTCAAGCATCATCTTCGTCACAACATTGTCAAAGGAGTGATCTTGACCCAGAACTGTATAGAGTGAATCGAAATTTAATGTTGATTCTCGGGGGCCTAACCATTGCTCGAGACATGATCTGATATGGTTCGAAAACCAAGTTTCATCTTCAGGGAGCTTTGAAAAGACCTCCCTCGTTATTTGAAGAATCTCAAGCGTAGACATTAGTTCGCTGAAAAGTTCCATGTAGCGTTTGGCAAGGGCTTCGAGAGCCGGAAGCTTGTACGCCCTGGATGCCTGATGGCAAGGACAGCTCTTCCATATTCTCTAGTAATTCCATGCTCGCCTTCCTCGAGTGGGGAATTTATCGTCTCATAGCTCCCTGAGTACAAGAAGTGCACCAATGTATGACCGGCATCCTTATGAATATCGGTAAGGTCGATTCCTGTGGTCCCAGAGAGTTGGTCGTCAAAATGCGGGTGTTGCCGAAGAAAATAACTGGGGAGACCGTACTTCTGACTCCCGATGCTGACTGTGACAAATGGAAGTTCATAAGGTCCACTACAGGTCAGAATATGTCCGGTGCAGTTGGGTTGGAATTCTCACGATGACAATGGCTGATCGTAAGGGATCTTTGGAGCTACCTGAGCATGCGTTGGATGCTTGTCCTTCGCTTGAGTCAGATGCTGGTTGAGATTCTTCTTTCCCATTGTTAGGATGATGCTGACTACAAAAGAAATGATAGAATGGTAAAATATGCACTTCGGCATCTATTTATAAGAGACATCTAGGGTGCAGAGGAGAGGGAATGCAAGTATGAGTTGTTCTTTACAGTATGCGCCGTAGACAAGGAAGCATTATTCGAGAGACACGGCAGATGTTGACTTGGAATCTAGACTAAGGTCGCGGGTTTGGGCCAAGGGGACTGGAGAATACGTCTTGCTGGGGTATGCATGAGTCATTGTACCGCTTTTTAGCAGCCAATGAAGAGCCACGGCACCTTTTCCTCCCCAGAAGTCCCGAATGAGAGATGAGAGTGAGTCCGGGAAGCCAAGTTGATGAGATGTCGCAGGTCTGCCATCTTATCCTGCTCTTAGCAAAGTAAGAGGTCAATTATTGCTGTACTGTAACCACCACCAGAATGGTCGTGGGTTCAAATCGGAATTACTAAGATTATCATGTATGCCTTGTTATTCGGGCAGTAAGAATACAATACTACAATATTTCCTCCTCTCCCTGCGATTGGCAAGCTCCTTCCATACAAATGAGTAGTGTTGATTGATGAGTAGTTTTTATTGATGAGTAGTGTTTATCGATGTTTATTGATGAATGAGTCGTGTTTAGTTGCTTAAGCTGAGCATAGTAGGGAGAACCCGCTGTTGTGGTAGTCACGCCGATACAGTAGACACACAAACTTCCTGTGGGCTCACAGCGTTTATTTTGTGAGGGCGAGGGAGGTAGGTAAGTGACGGTTTCTATAGTTACCTTTGATTCTCAATTGAAAGCATCTTTTACTACAGGACTTTGATCTGATTCAATGAACTGGATCTTGAGGATAAAGGACCGCGCAATGTGAAAAGGGTGAGAGGTAAAACGACGGTGTTGAAAGAGTGTCTGACGTTTATACCGGTGAGCGATACTCCGGCGGGCGAATCGGGTGGTACAACTTTGTGCGGAACTTACAGTCGACGGTCTATATCTTGCTTAATTGCAGCTTCCATGGTATTGATAAGATTCCTTATGATTGATCTGTATATTTTGAAGATTCTTTTGGGTCCTGTAGAAGGAGGGGCCCATGAGTAATAGAGCTTTTGATGACAAGCGGAAGTTGAGAAAGAAAGTGGGTGATTAGCAAGAAATTAGAGTTTCCTTAAAGGCTTATAAAGGGTAGCCCGCTATATAGTGATCGTAGCTTATAATTTAGGTCCCTGATTTAGGGAAAGCTTAGGCTCAGCCCTCGTAGAGAATTTTCTTTCTTCTTTAGCCCTATAAGAGTTCTTTCTATTACTATCATTCGTCATGGGATTTAAATATAGTCCGATCGGAGCATATCACCCTTTTAGGAGAGGCAATTTCTTTTCTCGATTAGGAAATCATAATTTCCCCAAGCCTTAACATACGATATAAGAATATCGTAAAGGACTAAGACTTAGATCAAGAAGGCATAAGCTACGCAAGTGGATCATAATCTCTAATTTCAACCCCCCGAGAAAAGTCCGTTATAGAAAATCCCGAACTTGATCAGTCTTTACTCTAGGAAAGTGCGATTCGTACTGTGAAGCCGATTATTTCGTTTTTAGCCTAGGGTTAAGAACCTTTTAGTGGGTTTTGCTATCGATGTACAGCATTCCGGGGCTATGTCTTAGTGGTCAGGTCTTGCTGGAACATGGAGCTGATCCGGAAAGAGGAAAGATCCTGGAGATCCATGTTGTGGAATACATTCAGTTGAAACTTAGGGGAGTAAATCATCCTCCTCGGCCGAGATTTGAGCAAATACACCAGTTGCTTCAGAGATACTGTCCCGAAAGTATGTCAGGGCCTGCTAGGTATGTGATAATGACAGAGTTGAGTTTATTGCCAGCCTCTAGAGAAGACTTAAAGAAGGATGTTCCCCTGCTTTGACATCTTCCTCCCCGGATACGCCAACACCACTAAACACAATCAGCCAAATTGTTTCTAGATTCGACGAGACTATATTAAAAACTGTCCCATTCTGTTATCAGACTGATAGAATGAATGAATGTATTCCCTGAGGCTTTCACGAGCTTCGACAAGTCAATTGCAGGGAGCTTGGCTTTTACCTAAGGCGGAGCAACAATGTCTCTATTTTTTACCTCTCCCATACAAGTACGCATTCTGCAGTCTTCTTGTAGTTAAATCAAAACGATGATCTATATCAGGGCTACCCTTAGCGCCATAAACAGGTTCAGATACAACTACTACTTCTATCAAAGATGCCAATCCAAAAGTCGTCGCAGCAGGCTCCGCAATTCCCCCTTTTGTGGCGCTCTGAGATCAACTAACCACTCCCTGGTCAAATCAGCAGCTCGAATTCTAATATCTGATTGGGACAGGGTGTTGTGGTGAGGTCACGTGGTATAAGTTACCTAATCAGCCCCTACCATTTCTTAGTTACGTAGTGACGACATAGAAACAACATCATCTTCCTGCCTCCTAGCTTATTCTGTAACAGAATTTTAGCAAGCCTAGGCTTGCCAGAGGTCCTTCTGGTTGGGTTACCGATTGTGCTATCGGGATTTCTGACGTCTCTCGAACGTTTAGGCTTCTAGCGTCGAGGGATACAGGGGCAACCTTTATACTCCATTTATTTACACTCTCTAATTCGCCCACCACTACCCTAATCTCTACCTCTCTGCACGTTATACGAGGTGCATCCGTCCACCTCTCTCCTTTATTCTAGGTCGCTCTGCTCGTAAGCCCCGCTTCGTCTATTCTAACGACATTATTACCCGTCGCTAGCGCCCGCCCGGCTATCTAACCCTACTAGATAGATTCTCTACTTCTTTCCTTTCTCCAGAATTGGTTCCGTCGTTGAATACACAAGATTGTTCCAACTTGCTCTTGGCTGTAACATTTACTACAAGGACAGTCTATTTATTCCGGTTCAGGGAGGCTAATGACAGATTAGGCTTTAGGGTGTCCTGGTCTACAAGACCAACAGGACAAGACAAATACACTAGCTGCAACGCAACATACTCCGCGAGATAATATAGTTTTACATACCGACCACGGCAAACTTAACGAGTTCAAAAAGTGTGTTCAAGGGACTAGTGAAGAATCAACACACGTCAGTAATCGCCCTCCGAGGAGTACAATATAAATACAAGAGAAAACTCACCAGGAGTAGATTCCTCGAACTTGCACCAACATGGAAAGTTACATTCCGTCCCTCTGGAAATCGCCACTCTTGGTCGTGGACATCCCAGATCATGACATCCTTGCGGCGAATCCTACGTAGCAAGTGGCGCTCATCGATCAATAATAATCCACCAGAATTTACATGGGAATGAGGGAACAACTCACGGGAATGATGCTTTTACGGTCGATCCAGGTTTCATGTTTTTCAACTTGGCAAAGCCTCGGAGCAACCTAGGAGGCTCGTCTTCGGTGGCTGGAAATTCGACGTACTGCGTGGTAGCCATAATATCAGTTACGGGGTTAATATTTGGACCTAAGGTTTGTTATTGTTAGCTTACGAGTTGGGCCACCTCGGACGCAGTCCAGTCGCCAGTGTTTGTGACTGCCGCCGTGACTGTCACCAGGATATCATATAGTGATTCGTCGCCCTTCTGGCCGGCAAATTTCTCTTTGGTCTCTTGGATGGCGTGTTCATCTGGCCGCATGGTGTCTTTCAACTCGATGTGGTTGTACTCAAATGTTGAGTATGTCAAGCCGAAACCAAACTCTTTGGAATAAGGGGAAGATTTAGCTGGTACCAGGCAGGTTGGAGCGTGCTGAAGCCAATTGAACTTACCAAATCGTGGGGTGATGTTATACGTGTCAAACCAGCGGTAGTCAATCTTCAGCTTTTCCGTGAAATTAGCTTGCGGGGTGACGCTGTGGTCGTAAGAGATAGTGTCTGGTGGATAATCGGATTCCTGCTTCGCAACTACATAGGTGTCAATCCCAGTAAATCAAAACGTGGTAAGATAAAACCGGGGTGCGTACTGGTGAAGGGCAATTTAGCACTCGGGGATACTCGTCCCCAGAGAATGTCGACAAGTCCCGGACCAGTCTGCTCGCCTGGAAACAGGGGAGCGACTACAGCTGTAACATTAGGATTGTCAATCCACGCCTCCATGATGACGGGGCCTCCGACATGAAGTACGACCACGGTATTGTTACAAGTTGCAGCGGTCTGTACGATGATATCCTCGGAATGAGTCCAGTTGCCGATGTTGAGGCTCAAGTCGTTGCGGTCCATATTCTCCCGCATGTACCGGTCTGCGAAGACGAGACAGACATCCGGGGGCCCAATAGGGAGCGCACTACCAGTGACAGTCTCCGCAATAACCGAAGCCGCCGTGTTATTAAGTACAAACTGGACTAAAGATCGGGCCTTCAGCGCTGCAGCCTGTATGGCGTCGAGAGGTGTGATCAGATTCAGGGGCCACGCGTAGCCGGAGCCTCCCCCTAAACTCAAAGTCCCGTTATTGTTGTGGATATCGCAGTCCCGGAAGAGCTTACCACAACCCTGCAAGCCGAGGATATTAGGGCCAGCATCCTGCCCGATGACCGCAATATTCTGCGGGTTTTTGAGCGGCAGGCCACCTGTGTTCTTTAGGAGAACTGTGCCATCGGTGGATATCTTCCTAACGAGCTCGATGGTGGATTTTTTCTGCACATTCCGATACGTGGCTGGGACCGGCCAATTTTTGGTACCGACTGAGTTGATGGCAATTGACGGAAGAGGTTTGTCCAGCTGCCCCGTTACGATGGCCGGGGTGAGGGCCCGCGCGACCATGTCGTTGAGGCGTGTCTCCGGAATGGACCGGTTGGAAACAAGGTGGTACAGTTCCTGGTCGAAGAAGGGGCCCAAAACATTACCATAGCCCCGTCCGGGCATGTTGACGTCCAGACCCCCCATCGCAAAACCCTGAGTACCCCAAACACCTACTGCCGGTCAACAAGGATGACTCTACAGGAAGACAGAAGATGATTGACATACCGCCCCAGTCGCTGATGACCGCACCTTGAAAGTTCAGTTCGCCCTTGAGGAGACCGTTATTTGCCTCTGAGTTGGCGCAAGCATGTGTACCATTAATACAGTTGTATGCACACATGATATGGGTTGTCCCCGCTCTCACAGCCTCGGCGAAAGCCCAGAGGTATATCTCATGGCTGGTTTTGTCATCAACGTTGCTAGAAACTGGAAGTTGCTCGGAAGCGTTGTAAATGCTGTAAGGTTCTGTGAAGTTGAATGGGTTTCTACTCAGGAGGAAGCCAGAAGATCCATTAGCACTAGTGGAGGGCTTTCCTGGGGATATAATTTAGCAAGTACCTATAAGTTTCCTGCTCATAAAATCCAAAGTGTTTCGAGCACGTCTGGACGCCGGAGTCCATCATGCCTCTAACGCCATACCAGCTTGCAATTCCCGTGCCGTAGGGATCAGCATACCTAACAGTTGGTTAGAACAGCACATCTATGCATGAGAAACCCAGTGAATCTGTTACCAGCCTTCCCAATTGCGACCACCATAAGGAGAACGCCCAAGAGGGCCACCTGTGACGTGAGCCTAGATCGTCGATAGCAAATACGTAACTTCTAACTTACCGGTCACCATGGCCATGGCAACATGGACGCCCATATCGTAGAACTCTTTGCCCATTGCGTAGGAGCGCGCGTAGATGAGGTCGACATCCCAGGTGGCTGCAGTTGTCACGCCTGAAGGAAATTGGGTGTTTCCAAGACTAGGTCGAACGCCCGCAGGGCCATCCTGGAAACACATTTTTGGGATTCCAAGACGAGTAACATTGCCCGAATTTCCCGCACATGGGCCTGCCTGGCCCGTGACAACGCTTACCTGTTGTGAAGTATCAGCTTTGCTTGACAGACCCACCGGAGGATGGGGTTATAGCTCACCTTTTCTTCAAGTGTCATCTCTGCGACGAGCTCTGCCGCTTGAGCATGAGCATCCTTCCATGCTTTACCGCCATCAGCCACCGGTGGACTTATCACATAAGACAAGGAAGTGGCTGCCGGCGCGAGGGCAGCAAATGTCGGTCCGCTGGAACCAATAGCAGCTAGTAAGGGAAGATAGAACCCCCTCATTTTCGGGGTCTTCTGGTGCAGTTCTGAATGACGACAAGGCGATATTGATGATGTTTAAATTATTATCCTCAAGAAATGGCAGGAGGTTAAATGGGGAAAACTGACCTCGGGTAAGGGTATCAATTGACTTTAACCGAAGTAATCCCAGCAGCGATGGTTTGGCTCTCGTTACTCCCCAAGGTTCTTCGCGGGAAAGGGCCAGGAAGAGACGGCTAAATCCCCGATAGGGCCCCATCAAAACCTGACTTGGGATAATAAGCCCTTAATTAGCGGTAATAGGATCCCTCCGCCCTAGCAGCCATATGTAAACATATTCGGATCGCTTGCGCACTTTTCTGCATACCCAAACAGTTAAACCGATGAAAAGCCAAAGTAATGAATCTCCAGATCGACACTACGAGTAAATCATGCTGATTAACCACTTCAACTTGCTACTCGCAATCTTGGGAATGAGACTGCTCAATTGGATATATTTTGAACACGTTTTCACTCAATTTATGGGCCCACTCTGTCTTGACCAACTTTTACTCGTTTTTGACCAAAGTTTTGAACATTTATTATTTTGGCAGCGATTAGCTAGCTTGCTTTTTGCGCAATCTTTGCTTTATCTTTTACACCTATTTTGCACTATATCCTAATCTCTGATCACTATTTTGATCACTCTCGTCCCCCTATCCTCTTTTCCGCTAACTTCGCGTCCCCGCATTAATCACTAAATCCCGGGCATTCCTACTTATATATCTATAAGGAGCAATATAAACACTCTAAATATCACACTTCTTTTGTGCTCAACCCTAAAGGCCCTAGCGCAACAAAGTCAGAGTATAGTAGGAAAAGTGAGTGAATTAGTACATAGTAGGATAGCTATTGTAAATCCGAGAAGTATTAATACTATAAGGAATTAAGTGGCTCGATGCTATTCGGGTCCTTAAAAAAATTAATAGTCAGAAGTCCTTCGGTATAGCCTATGCGCCAATTATGATAGGATACTGGGATTAGAGCTAAGATAGGCTAGTTTCTAAGGGCCCTACGTACAGTTCGAAATTTAAGCCTCTCTCATCAATGCTGAGAAGCTTAGGTGTCTAGGATTTAGCATTGATAGAATAATATATAATTAAAGTATGGGACTCTGGGTAATAAGTAACTTTATGAAAGTGAACGAGTTACTATACTTGTGGGAGTGCGTTGCCTTAGGGACCCTAGAAGAAGCGATAGTGCCTCTAGGATATTTCTAATATGCAAGTGAAGATGTGAAATGCGGTGGATCGGCTCGCTTGATTTAGACTCTTTAAAGTAACTGAATTCTAAGAAGCTCTTTCCAGCTAATCTTGTAACTATTCCTATATTCGAAGATCGTCGATATAGACCGAGGGCATTATTTGTGTAGGATAGGCCAAGGTAGTTCTAAGAAGGTAGGTTTAATTTAGTCACCTTAAACCCTTGCGTCGTTTGTTGGTTTATAGCATTTTTCAATAGAGATAGTGAAAGTTTGCGGAATCATTGAAGCAACAACCCTTTTCTGATGAATCCTTTAGTGATAGCTGTGGAATGATAGACACTAACGCATAGAGGGTAAGGGTAATACAATAAGCTTTTCGTTGTCAGAATCACTTCTAATATTCGTAAATATAGACGACTCTAGCGATAGGGAGACATCTGAATCCGACGGAGGAACGGAGTTTGAAGATGATGTCACAACTTTACGGAATTACTCTTCCATCTGTGTTGGCGAGAATGGCACTTCCCTTGCTATGCATCGACTAGTGCAACTGACTACGCGCGCATAGCTGAAATCTTATGGAGAGACAGAACGATGGAAGGAAAGATTTATCGGCAATATATACGAAGAGTTCCCTACGGGTCGATATGAAAATTAGGGGAAGTGCCGGTCTCTCTATCCTCACGTTCGATTAGCGATGTCACAACGGCCAGAGTCACGAGAGTCTCTATTAAGCTGGGCCACGCTACTTTATAGAGGCGCATAGTATACGTCGGAAAGCGGCCATATTATGGATGTGAGGGAAATAGCATCGAAAGCGTATAAGTATAGAGTCAAATTACTTGGCGCGGAGGAAGAAGAGGCCCTTACGAGTACTTCGATATTACCTGAAGCCTATTTACTAGAAGGCTAATGGGAGAAGGCGGAACAGCTTAAGGTGCAGGTCATGGAGACTCGCAAGACGAAGCTCGGCGTGGATCATACCGACACGCTGATAAGTATAGGCAACCTGGCATCGACGTATAGGAAGCAGGGCCGATGGGAGGAGGCAGAAGAGCTCAACGTGCAGGTGATGGAGACTCGCAAGAGGACGCTCGGCGTGGACCATTCCGACACGCTCACGAGTATGTCCAATCTCGCTTTCACGTGGAAATCTTCAGGGTGTAATACCCAAGCCCTCAAGTTACTACGAGATTGCCTGGCCAAGTAGAAGCAAATACTGAAGTTCCTGAACGACGAGCGCCACCCAGAGAAACGTTCCTTCGGCTTTTTTATGGAGAGTCTGCTGAACATATTCCCGCAAAGTATCATCATCCTCCAGACACTCAAGTTCCGCTAACCGGTTCGAGATGTAAGCTCCGATGGCCAGAAGCACGGCTTCGGCGTTTTCCTGCAGTTCCAGGCTCAGTATAGACTGTGATTCCACGAGCCGTGTACGCTGTTGAACATGGTTCCGGCTAGAAATGATCCATTTAACACGGGGTGTTTCTTGTGTCTCTCGCAGAATAAACTGTAAGAGCTTGTCTTGGTCCTGCACACATTCGTCCAGAGCATCAACCACGATATAGATGATATCCAGGCTAGGATCACGCATGATATCCATAAACATATTGCACAGTGCAGCCTATGCATCCCTATCCCTAAATAGTGGCTCTCTAGTGTCTCTGAACCTCTCCTGCACGTCTGAGAGAAAAAATGGCTGCTCCTTCACTAGCATATAGATTAAACCACGCAGGACAGCATGAGCGTTACTCAACTTGGGGACAGTTGCTTGGCAGAAAAAGAAAGACAGAAATATCTTGGCTTAGGAATCTGCTATTTGTATGGTCGGGTCAAGCTCGTCGATGATGCCACAGAGTAGCATAGTCTTGCCTTTACCGGGATCCCTCTTAACCCAAAGGATCTGACTGTCATTACTATCGCGCTAACACTGGAACTGGTGGTAGTGGAGGATCCAGTCATAGGACTCCTTAAGTGCCGCCCCCTTGTCTGGTGGATGTTCGTCTTGACGTCGCGCGGATCCGTCACTGCGAAGTATTCGCGGCAGCGATCCCTGCTTTGTCCGTCTTGGTCTTGCGAGCTTTCATGTTATACGGAGCACCGCTAGGAGGAAAACTTGATGTTCCGACGTACCTCCGATATTTTGAATGAAGGTGCTAAGATGGCACTATGTTGGTAATATTCGTCAAAGTCATACAATCATCGATCACGGATTTATCGCGGTCCCTTGGAATTGGACATTCACCCCATTATTATCCCACTGTTGTCTCCTTATCGACACGACAAGTCAACTGACCCTAGCCAAGTCCGCCGTGTAGTGAGTTGAGCGTATCTGGCAGTCGCACGGTAGTGCGCCGCTACCAGCAGAGAAATTCGGTAGGTAACAGAATTCGAGCCGTCATTACCAGACCGATCAGAGACCTCTTTCCGTCTGTCTCTCGCCTATGTATGAAAAGCGGGGTCATCAGGCTGAAAGCTAATGCGGATAGCAGGGCTGACTTCATGGGTCTTGCATGTGTGAAAACCGCTATTGGATCCGTCACTGGCTCCGACGTTATAACATAGCGCCAGCGGCAAGCATTGCAAATATCGGGCTGTTGCTGCGCGTCGCCCACCAATCGCTAGCGGCCGCCCCTACCTTCGGGCAATCGGGTGGGGGACAGCGCTCATACAGTGTGACGGATTGTACTGCGCCGCATCGTACTGCCACGTCGCTTCCCTGCGGTTGAAGATCTCTCCGGGCAGCGTTTCCATTGCAGGTGACAATGCCTCATTTTCTGAGAAGCGAATCGCAAGGACCGCTTTTCAGCCACAAGTAGTGCACCGCCAGAAGTGCAGGTGGCGACTCTGGCTTCAGGACCCATCGATCGCTTGTCGGGCGTAAGTTAACGCGCCCAGCTTACCTTGGACAAGTACGTTCTGGAAACCCCAATAAGTGATAACTTACTTGAATTACCCCACCGGCATTAGATCAGGTTCCTTAGAAAAGAGAGACCCACGATTCCATCACAAGCCCGAGGATACCAAGTGGCGTTGAATCTCCATACGAAGCCCGATCGCCGTCTTAACGATCTCTAGAAAACTGCTCAATTCAGTGATGACTGTTGGTGTTTTTGCCAGACTCAAATGACTATTGTGGGTTTAACAGTCATAAATGAACTTTGCAGGTCTGTTAGCACTGGTGAATCTGCATCGTTCATTAACCTGAAGCCGCGTTTTTGACTGTTGAACACAGCAAGAGACGACTTGAATCCTCCGATTTGAACACTAGTCTTGCTTATACAGCTATCAGAACAAACAAATAAGACCCCTAGTATCAATTATGTAGTCTTTCAACTACAGCATGGGCAAAGATGCCAATTAATTAGACATGGTTTGCAAGTTGACGGTTAAACACCAAGAAAATTTGAATGCTGTCAGTTGAGCAAAAAGTGAACAGAATTGAGCAAAAATTGACAGGGCCATCGGATGATGTTGGTGCAGAAGAGCACACTTTTTGACCATCAACCGCACTTGAACTACAGTGCAGAGCGAGGAAGTCGCACCTATTAGCAGAATTCAACAGGTGTATTTAATGAAGTTCAAGTTAAACGTTTATTTTTGAGAAACCCGTATCCTGCCTTCATGTGAGTCATCGGTCACGTGGGACTCGGGGTTTACGCGAACCCCCGAGGGATAGAGGAACTTTTTTTCACTTCGCCCTGGGTGTAAAAGCACTGATTCATTTTTTAAAGGTAGCTAAACCTAAAGAGGCTAGTCCTGAGCTAACACAAGCATGGTTAGCCTGAAATATAGCACTCGGTGTTAAAGCCAAAGACCAAAGAGGAGTGGCTGGCAGTGCAGGAGTGATGCATTACCTGCGGCTGAAAGTGGTCCGTGCGGTCTTTGCTACTTGCTCGTGAGAGAATGGGGCTTTTGACATCTCTACGCGAAGAGATGTCCTATAGGGGCGAGTGATCTGTGGGAACATAATGTGGCAATGGGATGTGATGCGTTGCGGTGCGACCCACCCATCACGCTGCATAAGCGCCTGCTGTTTCCTTCCGATTGCCCGAAGGTGGGGGCGGGCGGCTGCAGTGAGTGATTTGCAGGCGACCGCCCGATATTTGCATGGCTTTCAGCTTGATAACCCCCGCCTTTAAAGCAAATGCAAGAAAGAAAGGAAGAGTTTTCTGATAGATTTCAACGCCGGCTCGAATTCTTTGTCACCTACCAAAATTGTCTGCTGGCTATACCGCGTTGCAGTGCGGTTATCGTATTTGCCTATACAGAGATTGAATAACTTCGGACGGTCCTCTAGACTAGAGCGACCGAATTATCACCTCGCGAGAGTGAGTGTGGGTAATTATTGGGCACGTTGGCCTTAAACAATTGAGTCATTTGTGCTGCAGCCCTTCGCATACAGACTTATTAGTGTAACTATTTTGAAGATATACAGCAATAACTAATTAAGGAGCCTATCTTAGTAACTAGCTAAAGTCGAGTACGTCATTACGTCTTTACGGTTAGAAAAGGGTTACCTATAAAGGATGCAATCCAATCAGAGATATAATTCTGACATGATCTTTACCAAGTTTCCTAAAAAGTTCAATCGTATGCAGGCTCGCTGTCTAGCAGGCAGCCGAGCTATTTTTCCTTTGTTATTCTTAAGATACTTAAGTTAGTCAATCTTAAAGTCAGCGATTATTCCAGAAGTAATATCAGTGCATTACAAGGGTGGTGGCTTGGATCCTTTATTCTACAAATACTATCTGAATTGCCGGAACATCTTCCCTGCAGTGGAAACTGTAACAAATAAGCTGCTATTGAGCTCAAAATGTAGCGGAGAGCTAGCAACTGTTATTGCTGGATGCTAGATACACCTCTCCCGGCATCGTAGAGAGCTGCCCTTTTATTCACACTTTGTGTTACATATTCGTTGTTCTTATCGGTTTTAGTAAGAGTATGTAATCATGGAAGAAAGGACCAATCTTCGTTTCTCAACATACCAGAATCGAGCAATGAAAAAGCATGCCAAACTGCTTGAAGAGGACCTCGCTCTTAGACAGCCGCTGTCATCGACCGACTGAAGTTCTTAGCGACCGACTGGGCAAAATACTCACCAACGGTTATGGCGGAACTAAAAATGTTAAGGTTAGACAGAGGAACTCATTGATGAAATCCATTTTGTGGCCTACTATTTTTTCAGTGGTCCTTGTAGGACGAAGTCTCGTCTTCCTTGATTGAAATACGCAATTGAGTATCGAGACGGCGATATGCCATCGTCTTTGGCCCGCACTCGGTGAAAATTGGATTTCAAACGGTCATCTGACCACGCCACTTTGAATAAAAGTATTTGTGTTAGCTCAGTAAAGTCAAATTGGGCTTTACCTTCTCCACTTACTGAGCATGTCTCCAATATTGACGACAATAGGACCTGTTTCAGCGGGAAGCGGAGTGAAGATATCGCCGCTTGCAAAACTGGAATGGCTTTCTCGGCCAGGGCAGATTTCAAGTCCGTCTTCTCCATCGCGCTGAAATAAAAGAGTAAGACATCCAATATCAGTGTGACTTCCGGCCCTCCATGTTCCGACAGCTTTTTCGGACGCTGGATAGTGGATTAGTCGGAGTTGAGTCAGGCAATCCGGTTGAGAAGGATCGTTCGCTATCTTGAAGTAGTTTTCGTCAAATCCAAGACCACGGGCAAAGCACGTTACTAGACAATGTCAACGGAAATTTCCAACTAGATGGATATTCACAGATGTACTTACAAACTTGGTCCGAAATCTCAGCACATTTTTTCATGAACTCACGGGTCGTATCCTGAAACCCCGGTACATCATTGTCACTTGGCCACTCAGAATTCCGTTGCAGCCAAAGTGACTCTTTCTGGTCGTATGTGCCGGTGCTTGGACGCAACTGGGCCTAAATTAAGGGAGTAAATATCAACTTCCTATTTCAGACAGTTGTTGATAAGCTTACCTTATATTCCCATCCATTATTAGTTTTTGGATCATGTGGAGTCTTGCCCTTTTTCTCAGCTGGGAGATCGAAGAATGCCTTAGAAATGGAAAATTGGGCCTCGATTTCTTCCTTCGAAATGCCATGATCAACCAAAGTGAAGAAGCCAACTTTCTCGGCCGCTTCTATCAGCTCTGCTGTGATTTCAACCTTGCGTTGCTCAAAGCCTGAAATATATGTGAGTTGGGTTTGCGGCATGAGGTATGATCGAAATCTCACCTGTGAGGGATATGACAGGAACCAGTCTTTCAGCCATGATTGTTCTTTCTAGCTTTGTTTATCTCTTAGGTTTCTTGTTGAATATGTGAGAGACTCGTTCACTGAGTTTTCTTTATAACTCGCCGTGACTGGTGCCATCGGAAATGTACCACCTCTGCGCATCCCGGTCAATACCCGAAGCAAGATCATGAAAAATAGCCTGCGGGGATAGCCTTTGCTATCTAAACGTAATGAACTTAAGATTTTATTGATCCATGGGCACGCAAATCCGAAAATGAGGGGTAGAGTAAAGTCAAAAACGCCAGAATCCTGGTGATTGGTGGTGCTGGTTCCGAGGCCTACCTTATCATGGGGTGCTTATCACATATGGGTGGTAGCTTCGGTTACGTACCTGATCATCCTCGATAGCAGAAAATAGGTGCCATCGAAACCTACCTATTTATATGAAGGAGATGCGATTTTCCGACGAAGGAGAGATTACTAGTTGAAAGATTACTCCGCTGGGACTGGCACAGCGGTAGTTATGGCCGGTCTCAGAATGAAAACTGTCAAGGTTAGTAACTCAGCTCTCTGCACTAATGCAATAATAAGAATACTCATCCCATGAAATATCACTTTAGGCAGATTTTCCTAAATTTGAGGAGAATGTTGAACAACTCGCTGGAGACTTTGATAATGTGGCAAGCAGAGACAAAGCCTTGAACTTGCTGGCTAACCGGCATGTTGTTTTTGATCCCAATTCTCCAGAGGCAAGACGAGTGAGATGGAAGATTGACATGCGTATCATGCCAATGATATTCGTTATATACTGTCTCCAACTCATGGACAAAAACAGCTTATCTTATGCTGCAATTATGGGCATCAAAAAAGATACGAATCTCACATCCTCACAGTACTCCTGGCTGGGTTCGCTCGTGTAGTAAGTATTCCATCCCATTATTCAACTTCGGGAAGAGTCAGAAGCAAGAGCCCGATTTAGCTGAAATTATCTTCTGATTTCAATGAGAATGGCAGTTTCGGCTACTTAGGAGGTGACATTCCCGCGACTTTTCTTATGCAACGGCTACCCCTATCCAAATACTTCAGCATCATGTGCATGATCTGGGGGCTTATTGTTGCATTACATGCAGTATGCCATGACTTTGCCAGTTTGGCTGCTGTCCGGTTTTTCCTGGGTGCTATCGAGGTCTCAACGGTTCCCGTGGCTATCCTCATTACCAGCGCCTTTTACACAAAGGAAGAACAAGTCACAAGGGTGGCAATCTGGTACACAACATCTGGATGGGCAGCTGTTTTCGGAGGCTTTCTTGCATGGGTAATCTATCATGCGAAAGGCTTCCGGTGGCAGGGGCTTTTTGTACTTTATGGATCAATGACGTTTGTGACTGGAGTGTTCTTATTTCTGTTCCTTGCAGCTTCGCCGACCGAAGCTAATTGGTTGACTGCGGAAGAAAAAGTGATAGCTCTGGAACGAGTGAGAAGCAATAAAACCGGAACTGAGGTCTGGAAATTCAACGCGTCACAGCTTCGGGAAGCCTTGCTCGACATCCGCTTGTATCTGATTTTCCTGATGCTTGTTTCGACTGGGATGCCTAACGGCGGACTCACTGCTTTCGGTATGCCAGTTTGTGACCTTGAGGCATTATTACACAGTAATGCTAATTTGAGGGCCGTCTTTGCAGGCCCGACTATCGTCAATAACTTTGGCTACGACGTGCCTACCACACAGCTCCTGAACATGGGTTCTGGTGCGGCTCAAGTAGTCGGCACTATCCTCGCTCTATTTGTTGCGAAATGGACCAACCGCACCATAGCTGGAGTACTCACACTTGTTCTCGCATGTATCGGGGCCGCCATGATGCTTGGAATTTCGAGCTCGAACAACTATGCCCGTTATGGTGGCTATGTGCTTGTCTATCAATGTTCGTTACTGTCCCCTTCCTAGTTTTTGCCGCCTACTTGTTTCCCATTCTCGGGCGCTTGATTAACAATGTACAGTCCCAATTTGCATCTTGTTCATAATTACCTTTATGACTGCAGGTATATCTGGGTCTACGAAAAAATTTGCCTTTGGGTGTTCCTATCAACTCGGCTATGCAGTCGGCAACATTATCGGCCCCCAAACATACAGAGAACATGATGCACCTAATTACTACGTGAGCACAGCAACAAATCTCTTAAAGTGAATTTTTTAACCTGATATCAATAGCCCGCAAAATACACCATGCTTGGTTTCTTCACCGTTACTGCCATCCTAATTGGTATCTATGGCACGCTTCATCATCGATGGAATCAAAGAAATGAAAAGCATGGGACGGCTTCTGTGCCCGGTATGTATCCTTTGCTTCAGAACTTACTCGTACATTCTAACTTTATTAGGACACTCGAGCGCTATTGAAAATGAAGAATTTGCCGATCGCACTGATTTTCAGCTGAGAAACTTTAACTATCCGGTATAGCCTGGTTGAGAACCTAAAACTAATCGGATTCTCGGTTAGTTGGCGCAAGTAATGAAATGGAATCTCCTTTTTCTTGTGTTTCGGATTTTAGGAAGTAACTCAGAAAATCTACCAATTTTTAGTATTTTGCGAGACCTGGGAATCTGCCATTTGAATGAAGACGATAGCATACAAGCATTACAGATCGTCTAGTACAGTATAAACCGTTTAGCGAGGCCTCGTCGCTCCTGCTCCTGCATAACTCTCATGACGTATTTGACGACACTGGGTTTCCCGGCTGCGGGTATCTACTACCTAGTTACAGTAGTTATGCAGCGGCAATGTATCAGTGGGAATAGCGCTGACACTTTATCCGGTGCAAACTCCCCCTTCCTATGCTTTCCGCTTCCCACATTTTTACCGAGCTGCTGAGATACAAAATACCAATAAAATCCTTCAATTCAAAATTCGCACGTTCTGAAGACTTTCGCTCATACCCGAAGCAAATATGGCCACAATGCGCGTGATCGGTACGTTATCACTAGTCACCTTAGTCCTAATACATAAGCCATCGCAGATGTAATAGCTGATCACACTTGAGAATTTATTCTCTGCCAGTCCTTGTTCCTTCATAAAATAATGCGAGCATACTAACATTCACTAGCTATTGAAGGCGGTAAAGGCCCTGCTACTGCGACATATATTAGCGACATCTCTAAACCGGTGCCAAGCGCTTATCAAGATCCGCGCCCTCGGCCTTAACCGCATGGATTTACTTCAGCGTGAGGGGTTATATCCACTACCACCCCACGCGCCGGAAGCTATGGGTGTGCAGTTTAGCGGTGTTAACGAGGGACGAGGGATTTGGCGACGAGGTTGCTACCATGGAGAGTGGATTCAAAAGTGGAGATAAGGTATTTGGATTGGATATGGTGGTACATATATTGCTGAGGAAATGAAGAGGGCCTTATTTACGTTGGCTTCAGTTGCGTTGGGTTGATAGAAGGGATGCATATCAATTGAACTTACAGCGGCTGAATAGGTGCCTATGCCGAGTATATTGTGGTCTCGACTAAAATGCTAATTCATAAGCCGGGGGAGCTTTCGTAGGAGCAAGCAGCTGGCATACCAGAGGTATGTGATTCCATTTCGCTATCGTTCAAAGGCATTAAAACCCGCTCGTTATCTACTTTACTAAGCTGATACTAACGCTGATAATGAGGGATTACTTCCAGACCCGGATCACAGCGTCGCAAGCCCTCTTCTATATTGGCGATTTTAACATGACCAATCATCTTATGGCACACCGGCGCCTCCTCTATTACAGGCATCCAACTAGTTAAAGCTAAAGGCGCTTCTGCAATTTGTGCTACTGCGGGCTCGCCAGAGAGAATTCACTTCCCCGACAATGAGCTTGGTGTCACGAAGGCCTTTAACTACAAGACAGAAATTTGGGCGGTCAAACTTCAAGAGTTCACTAGGGGTGTTGATTTTATCGTCGACTTTATTAGAGTGCCTTATTTCAGAATAATCTAGATGTTGGGGCAAGGGATGGGCGCATCGTGCTTTTAGGCCGTATGGGTGGGGAAATGTTACGAGGTGGCGTGAACATTGCGCCATTGCTATTCAAAAGGCTTCGAGTTGAAGCCAGCGGGCTCCGAAGTCGGGATTTGGATCACCAGGCAAAGTTGAGAGATGTGTTGGTTGATTATGCGTTGCCAAACTTCTGTGATGGGTCGTTTGAAGTTCATGTTGAGAAGGCGTTTCCATTTGAGAAGATTGTGGAGGCACATCAATTGTTGGAAAGTAACCAAACAAAAGGCAAAGTTGTCTGTCTTGTAGGGGCCCGGTAGTTTAATGGATGGCGATTGGATGGAATGTGGCTGGTTCCTTTTGGGGGCGTTTTGGACAGCATGTTGTATACTTCAAGTAAAGTCAATAATGAACGACGACATCCGTACTGAGTTAGGCTGGCACCAAGTATGTCGTCCGGCCTAGACCACGATCATGGGGCCAGTAGAGGGAACTATGCCAAAGATACTAAATTATAGCTAGTGTAGAATTGTGAAAAAAACCCCAAAACGGGGAAACGACTTCCACCCCGATTTACGTGGACACTCTACGGCAGAACTACGGATGTGATCCATCACAATCAATGAATTTTCCATATTCTGCTGCATATGTGTGCCCTTGTATGACTACATGTTATCATGTCATGCTCTATCTTTGGCGATCGGAAATGCGCGTAGTAGGGTGGCGCAATGTGATCGTGTCGATGGGAGAGAAGGGCGGTTGATAACTAACTTGGGGAATATGATGATAGATTGAACAATGCAACCTTGTGTTCAAAGACCATCTCCTATCTGCAGGGAGACTATTAGTTCCGCGCCAGAAACTACGTTCTGCCTAACCCCGAGCTGTGGCCGATATGATACTGGCCCCTATTTTAATGATAACCCGGCTCTGCCCCTTCTCGCCCCTCGAGGACATGATACATATGCGATCACATTGCCGAGCCCGTCACAAAACTGTGCTGGCGTAGTGCTCGAGACCTTGGATAGGGCATATTGGTAACCGCAATGAAAAGGGACGATAAATAAACCACCAAAAGTGTATTTCCCATTCCACGCTAATAGCTGACATACTTAAAAACTTCAAAACTGCCAAATTTCTCTCTTCAATAGTCAAAATGAAACTTGAACACCGCTCTGTTGAGGTCATTGTGGTTGGGGCAGGAATTGGAGGCCTCGCCGCAGCAAAAACCTATCTTGAACTATCACCCCTGACAAACCTCATAATTCTTGAAAAGGTGGGTTCCAGACCATTTCTCCTATCCTACTTCCATGATTTAACTAAGAGAATTTAGCGACCGACTATTGGTGGTGTCTGGTCCGAAGAAAATTGCTACGAAGGTCTTAAGACGAACAACCTCGGTGGAACCTACGAATTCACCGATTTCCCATGGGTGAAAAATACGGGATCAAAGAAGATCAACATATCCCTGGTTCCGTGCTACATTCCTATCTGAATGACTTCGCGGACCACTTTCACATCCGCCGCCGGATCCGCTTCAATACCCGAGTCTCAGAAATTGAAAAGCTCAGTCAGGGTTGGCGCCTGACTACGGGTTCTACCGACTCATCTTCAACTATCATGTATACATGCGACAAAATTATCATTTGCAGTGGGTTATCGTCAACCTCTAACCGCGTAAACATTCGAGGCATCGACCAATTCGAAAGGCCGATAATCAATCACTCGCAATTGCGCGAGGAGGGAGCACGTATTGCCCACGATCCTAATATCGAATCTGTTACTGTTGTGGGGGCTTCGAAGACAGGCTACGACGTTGTGCATATGATGGCATCGAATCACAAGAAAGTGGATTGGGTTATTCGCGAGTCTGGGGGTGGTGGAGTCTGGATGGCATTCCCATGGGCCAAGTTTGCGGGTGTCAAGACAAAGCTGGAGTTGCTGGCAACCATGAGGTTCTTCACATGGTTTAGCCCATGTATTTTTGGTGATTTTGACGGATTCAGCTGGGTCAGGAAAGCCCTTCATCAAACTCGACTGGGAAGATACTTGGGAAGGAATCAGGACAGATATCATTGACCTGAACGGATATAGGAAGGAGAAATGCTTGCAATACCTTGAACCCCTCGAAAGGTCAGGATGAGTCTCCTTTCCGTTTCCATTCAGAATTCCCGTTACTAACGTTACGAAAAGTTTATTTTGGTCTGCTCGAGTTGGGATACTTAATTATAACACCGATATTCACAACTACCTTCGCTCCGGCCAAGTCAAGATCATACGGAAAGACATCGAACACATATCTGGACCCGGAACCGTCATCTTTTCAGATGGTACCAGTCTTCAAACAGACGCGATACTCGCCATCACCGCAACACATCAATTTCTGATAGTCTTTTAAGTGCCGCTGGCTCTAAAATTAGTATATAAGTATGTACTATATCCTGCAGAGGAAATAAAAGAGCGATAGTTATCGCTTTATTCAATCGGGTTACAGTATCGTTAATGAATTACCAGGCGCCAATATCTAGGGTCTCTCGTTTAAGACTTACACTATAGCCTCCTTCTAGCGGGTAGGGTCATGTAGCAGATGGATAACCCCGAAGTGGTGCTCTGTGGGTTATCACAGGTCAAATAATAGTAGAAAGATATCTCCCAGAAGATCCACCATCTACACAAGTACGCCACGTTTCTACGGCGGCCCATTCTGGGAGTGGGGCTAGTGCTAGGGCACTCACTTTCCTCTGCCGCCGGTCGGTTATGTACCCAACGGCTCGGAAATCCCCACCTTAAACTGTAATATTGCACGGGTAGAGAACCATAGCGACTGCCGAGAGACCAATGCGCCGGGGAATGAATCAAGTCTATTGCTCATCCTACTTAAGAGATAGCTGCTTCTGGTATTTCACTTGTTAGCCGAGTATTTAATTCACAATGAGGTAATATGGTAAGTGTTCATCAAGTGAAGGACACGACAGTTAACCATCCTGAAAGGAATTCAACAACATAACCGTATCCGGTCAGCTATTAACGTTACATGTGACGAAGGGGACACATGTATCGGGCTAGTTTGTCAATATTTCAATGACGCACAATGCAAATCATATCTCATTTGAGTGAAATCTACTATCTTTTTGATCATGCTTGTGGCCTCGGGAAAGGACGTGGCTTATTTCGGGTAAGGGCAGATAACAGTTTGTAGATTACAGATACTGCCTACCGAGTAGCCCCTCGTGGTAATTATCAATTTGAATAACATCCTGATCTCTGTTCTCTTCAAATCACAGCCTCAACTGAGAAACAGAAACCATGGAAAACATTTTCAGGAAGATAGCACAGGATACCACCAAATTCAATCTCGGAGATGAAGAGGTAAAGTGTTATTGCCACTCAACGGAGAGCGCTCTGCAAATCTAACAAGTTATAGGGCTGGAGAAAACTGTACGAACCATTGTATGCCGAAGTCCCTGACAGCATCGACACTGTGAAGGATGAACAGTACGGGCCCGCCGATCGTAATCGACTGGACGTGTATTTTCCTCGCGAGGACAATACAGATGGAAAGCCAGTAGTACTCTTTGTTCATGGGGGAGGCTTTTTTTCTGGAGGCAAAGAGTGGAGCGAAAAGGTAAATCTTTCTGGAGTGCTGGTCCCCCATCGACTTCGTAACTGACCATCATTTGCAAGTGCTGGGCGAATGTGGGATTCTTTTTGCCCAACGTGGTTTTGTCACTATACTTGCAAATCATCGTCTAGTTCCTAACGTCGAGTACCCTGGAGGAGCCGATGATATGCAGCTTGCTCGGGAATGGGTTTTCCAAAACATCGAAGCAGCAAAATATGGACGAGGATCACCGGAGAAGGTTGTGCTTCTCGGTCACTCCTCTGGTGGCGCACACATTGCTACCAACTTGTATGCGGCAGGTAAGAGAGCTCTTGTAAATTCTGACTGTCCGTGTCATTGACAACGAGCAGGCGATCCGAAACGGAAGCCGAAAGCCTCAATCTTCCCGCCTGTTGCGGGGGTTATCTACCTAAGTGTACCGTTCTGGTTTGATAGAACTAAACCTGTTCGACAAAAGGTCATCCGCCATTATTACGGATCGGATTCTGAGGCGGTTTGGGGGGTAGGTCGAGATTACCCTTGCGGAGATTTTCAATAATCTAAAGTATCCCACAGCCTTTATCGCCGCTCGGATTGTTTAAGTCTCTGCCAGAAGGTTCGCCATTATTGTAAGTTTTTTATATACATATCAAGTTGGTTGGACTTCTTTATGTTGACTATCTGAACAGAGACTCCGAGCAGTTACCAGTCTACATCGGCAGCGTCAAATGGGAAGTGTAAGTCAAAATATACCCATGTGCCGGAAATCGGTGTTAACTATTGAATCTTCTAATTTGTAGGAAAGAGACGGCAGATGCTACTGTGGCTTTCTTTAATGCCTATCGGGAACGGAGCCTTCCTCTAGGAACGCTCCCGGTTTTTCATGTACAAGACAATCATAATCACGTCAGGTTTGTTTCAGCCCTTTTAAACCCAGTGCATTTAATGAACGATTCTAATGAAGAAAAGCAACGTTCTATCTATTGGCACTGCGGACTCTGCGCAGGCAGAAAAATTATTGGAGTTCATGAAATCTTGCGTGGAAAAGGTAGATCAAAGAACACAGCGTACGCATTCTGTTGACTCCTAACATCTACCGAGGGTGAGCTATTCTTAACAAGGTTTTTAGAGAGAAAGCAAGGCCGAATGAGAATTACTCTTGGTTCCACCCACCTATGAATGAGTATAGTTTAGCAACGGCCATGGCACTTTGTGATAGAATACCTAAAGTGCTTTGAAGTTATCCAGTTTAAATGACAATGTATCAGTCAGTCTGCTCACTTATTATAGAGCCCTTTAGGGGAAATCTACATTCTTGCAGCGAGCCACATTCGGGTCAATCCTACCACGCCACTTTCCAGGTGACGACGAAAACATTCAGCTAAGTAACTTTACAAGAGCATAAAGTGGCAAGATACATCCACTGAAAGATTACGAGCCGGAAGATGGCTCGCAGATTATTGATTCTGGCCCAATAGAATTGCTCGAATAGGCGTAGTTGTGAGGGCATAGCAAGGGAACTCCTAGCCGCAAGATTCTAACGTCAACCAGATTAAGTAGGACAAAATTCATTGCTCTTATCAAACATCAACTCTATACGCGAGCATGAATTGAAAAATGAATAATCACACTGGCCTCTCCCGCACAGCATAACTAAACATCTCATTCGAAACCACACTACTCTCATCAACCATTTTATCTGCTGTTTGGGCTCCGGCGCCCGGTACGCGATATTCAAGTGTTCGACCAGGCCGCGGAGAAGGCCCACTAGGGGAGGTCATAAGGGATCGGTAGACATTCTGGCATCAGACCAAGTTGAAACAGAACTGTTAGTTGATCCCATGTTATATGTTCATGGTAAAGCCTGTCTCCGCGAATATTGACCACAGCGTTGAATGGAACCCGGATGGTTTTCCCGGTAGGGGGAATTCCGGGAATACTGTTTTATTTGACACCTGTTAAAAGAAATACCAGTTTCACAAAGTTGCAAAGAGTTCTTACAGCCAGTCAATCGGTTTGTCATGAGTACAGCACATAACAAACTCGTCCACGACCCGATCAATCCCAATGGTGCGACTGACCAGCTCCAGCCTGATATCGTCTGGATTATTGAAGACAAAATGATTGGCATAGAATGAGGTCAGTTTTTCTCTCCCAATACCACCTGTCATTGTCGGGATGTGGTTCACATATGGTTCTTGAACCATAGTGCTCATTGTATTTTCGACCGATCGTTCACCGAACTCAAACTTAGTATGCTCGTCCCATATCTCTTCAAGATCAAACCACGGCCCGTCGAGTTCTTTCTTCAAGAAAGACAGGCAACGAGTATGTGCCATTGCGGCCGAGGCGGCACTGAAGTCCTTGTGTGAGGGAATGATGAAGGAGGCCGATGCAACTTCAGGATACCGAAAGATAATTCCATTCTCAGATTTTTCCTTCGTGCCTTGGGTTGGCAAGTGGTAAAGAAAAGTTTTCTTTGGTGTTTTGTCGAGCTCTCCATATGAAACGATTGCTTTTATTTCATCACATTTGTCGATCTCGTCGACTATGTCAGCGACAAATGATGGCGAATAAACTAAGGAATCTCTGTCAGCATGTGACTAGAAATGTCTTCACAACAATATCATCGGCCTCCGGACCTATGACACCGTATCCTGTCTTCTTGTCACAGTTCTCGTGCTCCCCAAGAGCATCAATAGCCTGGCGAAGCTCTTCCTTGACCGTGCGATGGTCTGAGGAAACAGTCACTTGGGCGACTGTATAGCTTTCTTCTGCCCACTTCTGCAATGGTTCGGGATCTAAGGTTGCTCGTTCATTTTTTTCGCTAGCAGTCGTATCTGCCCGGATAATTATGATGCCCGGTCCATGTCCTTGGCGTGAGAGTGGTGCGTGAATGGTCAAGTTATGGGTCAACTTGACTGGCTTGGCGTTAGGAAGCAGCATTTTCGGTTGGAGGATAGTAGTGGTGTTATAGAATTGTATGATCGTGGAGTTCACTTAAGTCGGGAAAGAGCCGGCGAGTGAGAGGAATTTATGAACTTTCTAGCTCTCCCGTTTCCGATGGAGATTGGTGTTATCAAGTGCACGGGCCGAACACTCCGTTCTAGCATATCACGTCATTTGCTGATTTACAGGACTTCAATTCAGGAAAAGAAATGATATGGGAGTTCAAGGACGAAAGATTGCATGTACTATTTACCAAATGACTACTAGTGAAGGCGGAAGCATAGTCGTTCATTTTTTTTTAATGAGAAATATTCACATCCGAAGGTCGCATGGCATGCAAAGGCCAGTCGGGGATTTCAGTTGCGGGTTTGAGCATGGAATGACACTAACACACTTCTTCATATGAATTCACCAATAAGAAAATTTCGGCTTGCCACAGCGCCAGTAAATGACTTTTATCCTTACTTTTTTGCTACAATGAATCCGAGCCACAGAATAGAACGTGCGATGCACAGTGGCAATGAACATTCGGTACAGAAAGTACGAGACCTAATGATGATACGATGATTGAGGAAGAACCTACGTATGCAAACAAGAAATGTCGAGAAGATAGGTTCCATCAGTGACTCTAGTAATTACCAGGGAAATAGAAGGGAAACTGGACAGATAAGCCATCTTACAGGCCAATGAGTAGATAGCAAAGGGCCTGACCAAATAAGAAATCTGCCGAACAGAAATGTCCATCAACGAAGAACAGAAAAACCCCGTTGTGAAAGTTACATCTCTGACTGCTTGGCCCTCCAATGAGCAATAACGGCTAATATCTCATACCCCAGTGCCTAAATCACTGATCTCACAAAGCCATGTGGGATAGAAGAGATATCGACCTGCATGCCGGTAAGTAAGCGTAAAACTATCACGGGATCAAGATGGATGATTGAGAAACATACGTAGGAAGTGTTTAATTGATTGAGTGAGGTTATGCCTAGTAAGGCCATTGTCGTCTCAATCTCATTTTTCAAGATGCGTATTGCCTTGTTGGCACCTGCTTCGCCAAATGCCACGGAATAGAGAAAGGCTCTGCCCAATCCGACACCCTTAGCACCGAGCGCAAGGGCTTTGACAATATCGGAACCTCGGGTGATACCGCCATCGACAATTACTTCGCACTTTTCGAAGACTTCTGGGCAGTGCTGGCGCATGGAGACTAGGGTTTCCACCGCTGATGGAGCGGAATCTAACTGGCGACCTCCATGGTTCGAAAGCCACGGATGAGCACCATGTTCCATGCATAACACCGCATCTTCCCAGCACTGAATCCCCTTGATAGCAATAGGCAGCTCAGTTATACCTCGAAGCCATTTCATAGCAGAAACCCAGTCAAGACTGGGCTCCACTGCCCTGTTTATTGTTCAGTGTGGTTCAGAACAAGAAGACAAGCAATGATTCTCACGGTCGCCCCACCGAAGGTTCCCCAGCAAAGTCCTCGTCTTCATCATCATCGTTGACTCTCATGCCGTCTTTTTCACGCTGAGCGTAGGTCACCCGCAAGTCACGCTCTCGCTTCCCGGCACGAACGGCATCTACAGTCAGCGCAAACCCCTTGTATCCCAGATTGATCGCCTGTTTAACTTCCTGGGTCGTGATATCAAGATCTGACCTGACATAAATCTGCCAAAATGTGGTTTGATCACGTGCACGTGCATCGCTCATATCTTTCTGAGACATGTGACTGTTGTTACATACCCAGTGCAAGATATGATGACGACCAGCAGCCTTAGTCAAACACAAATCAGCCTGGGAATGAGCGAGCTTGGCGCCCCCAGCTGGACAAATGAAAAAGGGCGCAGCAAACTTGGTTCCTAGCATAGACCGCGAAATGTCAACCTTGTCGATTGGCCGAAGTACACGCGGGCGGAAACGAATTATTTTCCAGGAATCACGGTTCCATTTGGCTGCATGTTCATCTTCAGAGCCCGTTTTGATAACTTGACGGAAATTAGATTATCTCAAGCATGCAGTAGTTGACAGCACTCACATGCAAAGGCAGCTGGAGGAAGATTCTGCGATGCCGCGTATTCAAAATCCAGAATGCTGATGACGGAGGAGAGTCGCACCTTTCTCTCCGAAATGGCCGCAACTTTGGACTCTTTCTCATCTTGTACTGTCGAAATGGGTCCTAGGATCTGTCTAAAGCTAATTCAGCTTTGCTTTGAATGAAGCAATTAGGGTTCACCGTACTCTTGACCAAGGTGCCGGGTAATAAGGTCAGCTTCGTGAATAGACTCAAATGCTTTAGTTGCGTCATTTCCAGCATATTGAAGTAGAACGCTTGCACCTCCTGGATGTTTGTCCAAGAAGTCTGTAATATCATAGACAGTTTGGCCAATGATTGTCCAGCAGCTCCCCCTGGTACGATGTTTTTCGACTTCCAACCTGAGGCAAATGATGATTAATGATCTGAGGTTCGAGGATAACATGTTTCAAAGAGCCAGGGTTTGTACCTTGTCAGCATAGTGGTGGTAGTTGGATCGGTGTTTACAGGGGTTGAATCAATGGAACTGCCAGGGTAATCTAAGAAACCAGTAGCTTACTAGCACTTTGATTGTTTAATCAGTTCTCTAGTCCATGCATCAACCAGGGGAAATGACCCTGCATCCTCATGTCCTAAGTATATACCCCGCCGGCTGGCGCACCTCAGAATTATAGTCACCACGAATCCGAACTACTATCCCCGGTAAGGGAGCGGACCATGGCCGCCCGGCTAAGCTCCACCAGATCTATGATCAGCGTTCTAATCAAACTTCTCGTTAATTGCTACGCGGAAAGGTCCTTATCATAAACCCCCTGAGTAACCAACGGCGTGCCAATTTTCCCGATCATGAAGAGTTCCCAAATTGTGTCTAGGGGCCTTAGCCCAGGTATGATATCGGTAAAGTCCCTGATTCGCCGCTCGGTTATGTCAGTTGCGCACCTACGCCCCCCAGTGCAGGAAGCTCTCTTTGGTATGGATATGAGCGAAATGGCGTATTTACTGTAACAATTTTGGGCTTTGGTATGAGTGGATGTGAGGAATTACCTAGGCTGCCCTCACGACCACTTGATCGTAACTGTTACTAGAAGAAATGTGAATTAGGAATGTGAATTAGGAAAGCCGAGCGAAAATATCGCGATGGAACACTAAAATAGTCCAGACGGGAGGAGACATAGCGAAGGTCAAGCTCTGGTTAGGAAGGCCATGGTACAGTTCCAACATTATCCATCTAGATAGGAAATGATTTGTTATCGAAGATTTTGTGTAAGAAAGAAGACCAACCATCAGAAATGTTCCGTTGGATTTATTATATCATTCGTTCCGAATGTTGACGGCTATCTGGCTTATGGATACAAGAATTCCTTGTCGTAGTTGTGTACACGATGAGAATCAAAACTCACTCAACTGTGTAAAACAAATGATCAAAAGATTCAAGCTCCGGTTGAAAGCAGTCCAGAAATCCAAGCCTACCTCCTAGCCAGTCGTTCCTTCCTGTAGCAAAGCTGTCGTTCGATAGCGAAGATGATGGTAGATCTGCTAAATCGAAAACAGTTTGTGGCTGGGAAGTGGTGGCCAAAAACAACTGCCATCCATCCTCCGATCCTTGAGCAACGGTGCTGAGACCTTCTCGGTTGGCGATGGTGTCATCGGATGATGCTTCAAAAATTAGCATCCGGTCCATGTAATGTTGTACAGTGTAATTTCTTTCTTCAGCCACTCGCTGTTTGTATTTCTTGATGGCATCGGCAAAGCTCGTGAGTATATTGTGGTATAGCCGAGCCTGCTGGCTAGTTAATGCAATATCTCCCAGAATGATTTGCACGCCGTGAAAGGCATCCTCAATGTCCTTGCGAGGCTCACCACCAAATACTGAGAACCCAAGAACCAAGCCCGCGCCGAAGATCCACGCCCTGTGCAGAAATTGTCAGTAAGTCCGTCTAGCGCAGAGACATTTAATGGGTTGTTCGAAGAGCACGGATGACTTTACTCAAGAATACTGAGATTGCGGAATGTAAAACTGCAATTCTTGGCTTTGACACACATATCGACCATTTCTATGGCCGAACTGACACAGACCTGCGCTAGTCTGGACACTTTGCTGTTCTTGATGCTGATATCCGATGCTTCGTCGGGGTCGCTGATAAGGTCATCTGGTGCTTTGCCGCGTAGTCTCGACATCAAGTATGCCACGAGAAACGGGCGCGTAATCAGCATTACGGCGAAGTAATGCACACACGAAATGTGTAAGCTTCCAAGGAGCGCTTGACGATCCGCAGGTTGAAGCGTGGCATTCGAATCACATTTCATGGGAAAGCGAAGGATATGCCGAGGCAATTCGCGACTCCACTGGCGAAGTTGTCGGAGCAACTCCTCGGCAGTTGGGACATGCAGAATGTTGTTATTCTTTCCTAACGTATCGACTACATGGTCGAGTAGATTGCATGCTTTGACCATAGCAGTAAACAGAGGTCGCGAATTCCGCCCACCTTCAGTATCGAACAACGCAGGCTCAGCCAAATCGGGGCAAATAGCGGGTAAACTTTTCGGGCGTCCAAAAATGAAGCTGCTCAAGATATCAAGGTTGTGAACGCTATTCCAAAATCGGATTCTTTGAGATGTGTTTCAGCAGGTAGTAAACCACGGAGCACGAGCACTAGCAGCAGATTCAAGCCTTACCTGGTGCAAACTTCTTCTTCTGGGAATTTCCGATCATTTTCGATGGCATTGAGGTTCAAAATAACAGCAGCTTTAGCTGCAATTCCCAGAAACATAGATGCAGCGTTCCGGTTGCAGGCACCAAGTGTATAGAACGCAAGGAGGGTAAATAGCCGGACCGTATCCAGAGTTTGGGACATTAGCATGCCATCAAAGGCTGCGGCGCGAGCGCGCAAGAAGTAAGAAGCTGAAATTTGCGAGTCGTTGCCGATTCCTCGTGTCTGAGCTCCAATGGCGAACACGAGGTCAAATGTAGCCTTCAGATCACCAGAGGCAGGAGAAGACCGTGGGAGAACGCTCCGACAAGAAATAGGACTCTCAGACAAGAGTTGATCAACCTCATATGCCATAAAAAGGTCTAGAATACCGCTGGTCTACAAAGGATAAGCGCCTTTCATATTGAGCTTGCTTGTGAGGGCGTAGGACTTACAGCTTCAAAATAAAAATCAAGAAGAGAACATCTCTCATCGAAGGAGAGGAGCTGTGCCATGCCCTCTGCGGTACTGTCTTGTGTGTCCACGGTGACTTGCTGACCTCCTTTCTCTGTAAAAGGTGCTGATCCAATGTACCCTCTCATGGTACGTTTCAGGAAGTAAAGGAATGACAGCGAGGATGTCTCTCCCATATACACTAGATAGATTGCAATCAGCCTGTGGAGAGCGGTAACATGCAGAATGATGCCACACCTTTTCCGCCCTTGTCCGATGTGTATGACTCGGATTCTTGCTCCCTGACGGAATGGTCCACTGCTTTCGCGTGGGGACTAAGGACGGGAGTAGCCCGCTCTACTGAACTTGGGGTTTCCATGGGAATCGCAGGCGCGTTCGGAGATACATGAGAGCTTGGGAGGCCAGCAAGCAAAGATGCAACCTTGTCCATGGACACCACATCCCGCGACTTGCCTTGGCCTTTGCGCCGTCGGTCAACACCCGAGTATACGCATGTGTTGCCTTGATCACGTCGCAGACATGAGCCGCAAGGGTCTCGAGCGTCACACCTTATTTTAGAAGCCTTGCAAGCCAAGCATGCTCGACAAGATCGTTGGCGATTTTCCGGGCGTACCTTTGGACGTGGCATCGGCGATCTGATGAAAACTGAAATTTTTCCTTGGATTAGAGCTCGAAAGAAGGAAGAATGATGGTTGGTTCGAGAGAGAGGCCCACCTGGATTTATGTTTGGATCAGACTTCACAACTGATAAGCGGGGAAATGGAGCAAACCGGGTCACCTGACCAATCAACGAACCCGCCACAGCCACAGCGAAGACAGTATGGAATAATGATCTAATCAGAAGAATCAGGTGAGAATGAAGTCAAGTGGCACCGACCTTAAGCAGGCAATCGCTACCTAAAGATGATAAGGTGGGGATAGGGGTTAAAATTCCTCATTGGTGGCTCCGATGCACGATAAGACGACAACCACAAGCCGAGGCTCATTATCGTTGGACAACGCCCTGACATCCATCCCATCCGTCGTCGATAATAATAGCGGATTAATTTGGGTAAAATGGAGAAGTGGTCAAGCAATCAACAGGTTGTTGCCAAATCTCAAACATATAATTACTGAATAATACAAATCAATAAGTTACGTCTTGTACTTGGGGTTTCATAAGTTTGAAACATGACCAGTGTTCAGAATCTTCTTATCGGTCACAAGTGATAGGTTATCTAGAGTCTGACTTTTGACACACAATGTAGTAGCGTAGATTTCAGTCAATATGGCAAAGACATGTTTTATTCAATCTTCGATTACCGTGAATATTAGACCTCAAGCATCAGATGCCAAGAAAAGGAGATTTTCCGACAAACGTATCAGCGAGGCGATAAACTAAATATAGGACCTGGGTCAATCAAATCAGTTCAATGCCTACGGCGGTGCGCAGACGCCAACTACCAATTCATAAATCCTTCATAAATTTCACCACTTTTCCCTCTTTAAATTTTATTACAGAAATCGCTATATCGCGCCTTCCTCGTTATTCGCCCTACGGTAATACGACTACGGCTAAATCTAGAGCCTTACTAGCAGGAAATTATCGACCTTGTCGCTCTGAATCGCTCGCGCAAGAGTATTCGTATCTTCCTACTTGGTACTAAATAAGGGGATGCACTAATGGCAGTCGAAGCTTACCGTGCAATCAATGGCCATTTCATAATAGACATCGTTGGCTCTAGCCGCGCATCTTGGTTTAGGGCATACCCAACCCTTCTCAGTAAAGTGGACTAAGTCCGACAAACGACGTATTTTAAATCGAGAAGAATAATATGCTCATCGATAGTCATCTCGCTAAACTAGTCCAGACTCCTCATTGGTACAGGCTTCAACTTCCTGGAGCCATTGTGAACGAAGAATCTGATTTGTGTTAGGTCGGGCCATCTGGTCAATTTCTAGCATAAGATATATGACCGGGCGGCTTGCCATCTATCATTGAGAAATTAGCATTATGACTCGATGAGTCAGGATGCTGGATACTTAACATGGCATATATCCTCGACAAGGAAGTACCCTCTTCCAACCCCGCGGTCCAAAACGTAGTCCCTGAAATTTTCGTCGTCATCAGTCGCTATCTCCCAGGGGATTCTGCCCGTTCTCATCACCACGTAGATCATAGCTGCAGCCCAGATGTCGCCTGATCTAGGATCAAATTCTCTGTTAAGATACTGCTCAGCCGATACGTAAGGACGTGAATGACGGCGGGTTCTTGAAATATGTATGTCGCTTTCCCCAGCATGACGAAAACACTCAGCGCCCCCGAAATCCGAAATCTTGAGGCAACCACTTGGGGTGAGAAGAAGATTCTCTGGCTTCAAGTCGCGATGAGCGATGCCCATTTCATGGATATAGTTGACACCACACATGGGCTGTTTAAAGAAGCAGTCAGCCTCAACCTGTTCCAGCTGACCTGTTACGACCACCAATGAATGCAAATCCCCTCCGGAGCAATACTCCAAGCACTCGCAGAGGCTGTCAATGCCAATTCGAAGTAGGTCGAATTTCCGAACAACATTTTGATGTCGCAACGAAGAAGATATGGAAAACTCAGCCTCAATACGCCTCTGATAAGCGGTTTCACTGGTTCGTGTCCCGCGTCGGAAGACCTTGATTGCGTAATAGCAATCAATGCTCGGGTGCCACTCTTGGACTTTATGTGACAGAAATACGACTCCAGTGGAGCCACGACCGACTATACCGCATAATTTCCCATACTTCTTAGGCACCTCAGCCATATTTTCAACCGCCATGATTCCGGTTTGCGAAGGACTCTGCGAGCAACCTCTTGGAGAGCATCCAGTGCCTCCGTTGAAGCAAATCCAACTTGTATTTCTTGACTCTTTAATCCTCCAGAATGATCGCTTTTTTGACATTAGCGGTCTCTGGAAGTGGGAGTGCTTGCCATTCTCGAGCTTGAACCGCCTATTTCCAGACCAGCAATTTCTGGTCGCGTTCGTTGAAAGAAACAGGCTCCCATGAGCCTCAAATTCTGTTTTGGAACCAGTCGGACTTCGACGCATGAGCGCACGATTTAGACCACCATCTTTAAGGTATTCGTGATGTCGTTCAAGGGCGAAGAAGCCGAACGGGTTGAAAACTGACTCTAGCAATTTTTGGAGACGCGCAGTCATCTTGTCGCCGACCAGCCAGAGCATTGCTTCCTGTCTAATTCTTCGCAAGAAAGCCTGTAAAGGTATGAAGTATAGGGTGGTTATCCTCCTAGTGGCTAGTTGGTCCTCCTAGTGGCTAGTTGGTCCTCAGAGTGGCTAGTTGGTCCTCAGAGTGGCTAGTCTGACCCGCCTTAGGACCAACTAGCCATACACCAGTCATATACAAGCTTCCTATTTCCTGACACGCAAGCGATCAAAAGTGGGCCTGTTCAAAGACCATACCACATATTATTCAAGGCAATTCTTTTTTGATTTGCTGTATATGCCGTGTCGATGATCTGATAAATTTAAGGCCCGGTCTTTGATTAACTCCTTTACAGATCCACCAACTTTGCAAGGTAGGAAATTAGATAGACGTTATTGTATTTCAAAAATTAGCAAAGAGATACATTTTGGACCTGAAAGACAGCCTGGTCATCTTCGACACTAGTGTTTTCGGGTGTAGCCAAATGAGGTTATCCATGGCAACACGCAGACGGAAGCTTTGAGGATCTAATCGGCCAACCTCGTCACTGCATTCGCTCTTTCAGCTTTAGACGCATTGATCGTCGTTTCGGAATATTGGCCCGTAAATCGTTCCGCATTTTGCGCTTGACTGAGATGTTTGTATGCAAGGTTTTTGTTCTGGCCTTCATGGTCGATTTGTTTGTATCGGCAGATGGACTCGATGAAAGACGGCCAGCTTGGACATGCTTCGCACATAATGCATCTGAACTCAAGTTCAAATCTGGACTTTCTGCATACTTGTAAATAACTTTGTGTTGGTAAGAATTCCTCTTAGTTATGACCAAGAAGTTATTCACGTACTCTTCCTGGAATCTCCCACTTTGTTTGGCTCTCCTCTCGCTGCAGGAGGATGAGTTTGAGCATTTTGAGTATGTTCATATTGGTGGCAGTTACGGTACTTGAAAAATGTCGAAGCCGGAGTAGATTCCGTAAGGAGCAAATTCTGTGATTTGATGCGACAATTTTCGCTAGCCCATCTTTCGTAATCTGGAGTACTCATGCGAACTGTATCGGCGTCCGAGTTATCTTCCTCAGGCTTTTTCTCGTCATCCTCGTCGACAACACTGGAATTGGCTCTAGTTAATCCAGTTGAGCTAGTCAGAACCACATCGGACATAGTGTTAGGTGTAAACTGCGAAAACCATTGGTCGTTTAGCTTTGTGAACACAGTACTGAAGCAGAAAATGACCGTTGCATAACTTAACTTAAACTCAATCTCCTTACCTCAAATATTGCAAAAGATATAATAATCCAGGTAAAAAGTTGCTGTTCTGCTAGATTGGCTGATCAGCTACGGGGTAAAGGTGAACGTGAAGGTCATATATAGGGGTGACCTCTTTATAACCTCTCAGAATCGCTGGTTAGCTTCCTAGGAATACTAAAGTCTGTCTCCATGAACACCTGTACTTATGGTTACACGCTGCATAGCGGCTAAAATAGGGCGGCTGGGACAGTCTATGAATAAATCAATCAATCTTCAAATCCCTTCCTGGGAGTAACTGTGCCTGTTTTCAGGGATATACATGAATCATACACGGTAAGCGGAGGAGGTGGTCCCACATGGGGCATCTGGGTTTCCCTGGACGCGAGAAAGCCACCTCGCTTTTGCTTCCTCGCGCTTTTCCTAATATTGCTTAATCAACTACGCCTGCGATGGGATCATAATTTCTGTATGGGAGACTATTCGCATGAGATTAGGATGACTAGCGGCTGCTCTAGGAACTTTACCTAGAGATTCAGAATCAATATAGCTCCCAGGAGGGGTTTTCATGTCCCTAGAAGGGGTTTGAAGCTCTCAGGATTGCGGGTTAGCTTCCCTAGGAGTGCAAAATTTGTCTCTGGGAGCGTCAACATCCATCCTGGGAGCTATATTGATCCTGAAACACTAGCTAAAATTTCCAGGAACACGCCTGTCGATCCTGGGAACATCATTCCTTCAAAATGTGGATGAAGAAAATTTGGGTTGCTTCATGTACGGATACACTCCTTGCTTTCACAGCCACATCGAGTTTAGAAACGTGTTGGGTAGTCCCGGTAACTATGCTGCTCCTGGACTACGAAGCCGTTCTTGAAGGTAAAAGCGGGGCTTTGGGCCCTCAAGTGCCTCTGGGATTGCCTGGAGCGTACGTGGGAGTGATGTGATGGATAGTCGGAGTACATGAGCATACACAACGCTCTCTCTACAAGCTCCAAAGACGTATAAGTCGACTCTAGGAGCCTTTTTGCTCCTGAAACCTCGAGTACAGTTCCCAGGCACAGCAAAATACCCTCTCGGGAGCGAGTAGAGTGTCTCTGACATTGGTGTTAGTTGATAGAGGCATCTAATAAACATCCGCGGGTTCATAGCTTCTATGCCTCCTTTTCCTGCGGTCTCCTTACCTACATTTTGACACCAAAAACTGCTATATGGCACATACAGTTAGGATGAGCTGTCTATTCAGAGCGATGCTAATTTGAGCTTCACTTTCCTATCCAGCCCATCTCTAAAGCACGCTAGAATATCAACGTTCGGGAAAGAGCCTGGGCAATGACGTTATTCAGCCTTATTGGAGGTGATTAGTGGGGCGTAGTGGAGATTCGGGACTGCTAAACTAAAATGGAGTAATGTATCCTCAAGAATGAACTTAATATTGAACAACGCTACTGTGAGGTCTACTTTGTCAGCCCGTCGTATAGAGACTGCTCTGGTGGAGAGCACATCGCTGCTAGCACAAACCCACTCGAACACTACTAGTTTGGCATACAACTGGTTCGGCGAAGCTGAGCGTTGAAGTCGGAAGATGAGGCACAGGATCCGTTATGGCTAAGATACTGGCCTGTGGCTTAATTAGGTATTAGTAAACGATAACCAACGGTGGAACGAGATAGTCAATCCATTGGGGAAATTTTCAGGCCTAGTTAACTCAAAATTTTTCTCGAGGTCGAGGGATCGCCAGAAAGATGAGGAGAGAGGTTGATCTACCAGATGAAATATATGTCGCAACAAATTTAGGGCAAAATACCGCTAGACCAAAAATGCTCCATAGGCTACATTCTTAGTCTATACGGTTATTTATTGCTTTGACAATATACCTCCGTTCAGAAAACTATGTACCTGTACTGAAATTTCTATAATGCCAAAAAGTGTGTTCTAAATAGTGGGTAAGCATGAAGTAATTCGTGTTGATGTTGAATAAAGCATCGTTTCGTCAGGATCGCTTGCTAAAGAGTATGGGTAAAAATATTAAAAATATGAGGCATGCAAAGCAGTGGGTATAATCTATGAGACACCTAACACCATCTTTAATTGAGGATAAGGAATGTTGTTTTAGGTGCGGGTGATTGTCTACTCGGCCTCAATTTTTTTCGGCGGGGATACTCCATTCTACAGTACCCGTCCAATTTTCCATTAATCTGTTCAAACTGAGGATGCAGTCAAAGACTACCATGTTCCCGAATGGTTCGTATCTATAAATACTATCTCAAAGATCTACTCCAGCCCCTCTAGCTATAGGATCCGCTAGCGATAGCACTTCAGTTTGCCTCTTGCACAGATCCTATTCCTTAAAATAGGACCTAACTACCCAGATCGGTCAGGTATGTCATGTTAATTGTCCACGACGTCCCTTGGAATGATTGCATGATGTTTAACTGCAAAGGCTAGAGCACGCTGAAGCGTGTGGCGCTAGGCAGATAGGGACAGAGGTAAGCGTATTCTCTCTATTTCGAAAGAACTTCGCTGACTATTGGCTTTGTTGTGTACCTTCCTCACAGCAAAATGACATAACCTAATCATCCTTCGAAGTAAAGGGCTGTTATAGGAGGGACGGTATGCGGGCGTAGCGAGTGATGCAATTGAGATAGTGATCTCGCTATGGTGACTGGACTTGCCAAGGCTTTTGAAGATGGACTGAACTTATCTATGTACTGACGACGAGGCATATTAGGTATAGTACCATCGATTCGGCGGATGCTTTAGAAACGTGACTAAAATCAAACGTGGCCAAAGGCTGCCTATGCCGGAGGCAACAATCCACTCTGGAGTCAAGGAGTAAATCCCCTCCGCGATAGCCCATTCCCCTCGCTAGCTAGCGGGCTCCCTACCATGTTGCTTTCAACTTGCGTCATTCGTCTATCTACTGAATACTAACTTTCAACAAGGGATGGAGCAAACAATAACCGAGTTACGATGTCAGCTTTGAAGAACAACGAAGGCTTCCAAGAAGCGGCAGAGCGCCGCCATAGAGAGGCCAAATAGCGATCCCAGCCCCACACTCTTGCTGCCACATCTCTGTCTCAAGCGATCCGAGGCGAGACAGATGCGACCCTCACGACTAAGCGCGAGGCGACCGACCTAGTGAACCGAATTTGCTTCTAGATTTGTCTCTTTGAAGCCAGAGAAAATCTAATTTTGGTGAGTGTTGTGGCTTCTTTTGTTGACGACGGGGATATTATCATACCTTCGAGTGCTAAAATTAGCCAGCGGAAATATTGTCATTTCTCGGGGAAATACTTCCACCGGAAACCGTGATCGGCTGACATCAGCTCCTAAATCAAGCCCCTAACCAGGACCGGTCGCGATTGACTCGAGGGATCCTGGATACATCGATGGCCGACAACAACTCGCTAGATTACAAGACTCTTTTTCTGCAGGCGGAAAAGAGACGTAAAGAGGCTGAAGAGCGACAGAAGCAGGAAGAAGAGCGGAGGAAGCAGGCTGAAGAGCGATAGAAGTAGGCTGAAGAGCGATAGAAGCAGGCTAAAGAGCGACAGGAGCAACTTCAAGAGCTTAGCCGACCGACTACTTTCGTGGAATTCTTACGCTATTCCTATAACCTACTTTCCCGACCGCTAAGAGTCGAGACACTATCTCGGTCGACAACCGGGAAAATACCTCTTCCTACGGGGAAATATTACCCGACACGATTAGAATACTAGGCTGACTGCTTAGTACTATAGTCAGAGCTTTTTAGGTCCGTCTATAACTATCTCTAGTTAACCCCCGGGGGAGCGCCTTAATTATTCTTATCTTTACCTAAGCTAGAATGATTAGGCCGTCGACTTAGTCGGAAGCCTATAAGTAGCGAGCAAGAACTCGAGGCCTATAAGCGATTTGCTATAGAAGAACATATCTACGATATAATTACCGAGCTATGTAAACTACTAGCTGCTCGTAACGAGTTCGGCCTCGGCGATAAAATCTAGTTTAGCAACTATACGAATTCCTTAAACAAGAACAGAGCTCCCGAAGTAGATATAAGCTAACTATTAAATATATACTACCTAAGACCTGATTAGTTCTGTATCTACTGTGTCGACGATCACACTACTACTCTCCTTATATCTATCGAGTATAAGCCGCCTTATAAGCTTTCTATAGCTACCCTTCGTATAGGGCTACGACTAATAGACTTATAGAAGGATATAGTTAGATTAAACAAAATACCGATAAACCAAGAAGCTAAGCTAAGGTATAACGCCGAGCGACTTATCTGCTCCGCTCTTGTCTAGGAGTATTATATTATAATTCAGGAAGGGCTCTGTAAAGATAGTCTACTTGCAGGGTAGAAAGCCTGTCAACTAGGTAGGAGAGCAAAGCACTAAGTCCGATTGTAACAGAGACTGTTTCTTGGGGGCCCCTTTTCCCGTCCCCCCACTGATCTTATATACAGTAAACCCTACCACGAGAGGGGTAACCACGTTGGCCTGCATGAGCTGTATGCAGATCGGCGGATGACTCTCCTCCGTGGGAACAGCGGTGAGAAGGCAGGGATAGGCCACCCTGAAGGGGTGCTCCATGGTTGATCTCCATGGATGATCTCCCGGGGTGGCCTGAATCCCAAGGCCGAAAGGTGTGAATAGCCTCATAGTGGGAAATATCATAACAGGCTCGAGTACTCCTACGTGACTAACAGGATCGCTCGGGTCCTCCTCCGTGTTCTATATAATAACCCTAGTACGCTCTACTACTTTCTATATAATCTAAATAGCGAAGTAGATATAGAAATAGAAGCTACCCTTGTAAATACTTCTATCGTAAGAACACTGTCTTTATGTCTAATAGTATTCCGCTCGCCTGTACGAGGTCAGGAGTAGAGGAATTCCGTCCGACTAGATATTCCTCTATAGAAGACTAGTTTCGATTATACTCGCTCTTATATTCCCGAAGACGAATTCTGGTAACTTCCTCTTAACTCCGATAGCACCGCGCCCGAATTTCTAAGCCTAGATTCTAGTTCGACTTATGAACTATCATTATCACCGCCAGATTTCCCCGAATTAATAGCTCGTTAAGCGTCTACTAGATCTCGAGTTAGTTATACCCTATCCGACGTAAGGCATCGCTTATAGTCGTTATAATCACCCGACCCCGATTTAAATCTAGCAACACGCCGCAAACGAACCTTCAGTAATATTCCGTCTTCTCTATCTGCCTAACGCGTAGCTCGAAAGAGAGACACAAATAATAATAAAGGCCTAGATAGCTAGTCCTGCTACCGCGATACACAATTTTACACCTAGTAATATTTACTCGGGTTGTAATCTAGCGGTCTTCTAGACGACTGTTATCTAAATATAATGCTCTATCGCCGAAGCAAAGATGATCTATAGTATCCGATTACCTCCGAAACTTTGGTGTGTTTACTAAAAGCACAATTAGATGAAAATATTAACCGATGTATACCCCTTAGAGGTTGCGGGGCGTACGGTACGCCTTTTAAACTTTCTTGTATTATATACGGCTATACTATCATCGGAAAAGGAACTATATCGGGGCTGTGGAAGGAGGTCTCCCGCGAAGCGGAGGTATACCGAATTCTGCGGAAGGTGTAAGGTTCCGCTATACCTGTTTTCCTAGGTACGATCGACTTAGCGAAAATTTATTTCCTTCACGGGGCTAGGGAGATTCGCTATATGCTTGTAATAGGCTAGGGGGGAAAGCATAGTATTGATAGAGCTAACGCCCTAGCTTCTATAAGGGATCCACTAATCGAACAAGGAAATCAGAGCTTTAGGAATCATCCACGAAGACCTTCGGCGTGACAATGTTCTTTAGAATAAAGAGCTTGGGCGGGCAATGATCATCGACTTTCACCGCTCTATATTGAAACGTCGACCGACTTTGCAGCGGCCGCGAGCCTCAAAACGACGACTACGTCAACTAGAGATAGTTGATGCAAAACGTCTTCGTGTAACGTGAAGACAGGTGCTCATTTATTGGATTCGCAATTCAATTATGCATGATAATGAAGCATGAAGCATTCCCGACCCGCATCCGCATGAATTAGTCAGGATTTCAATATATTATCATTCTTGGTGTCCGCTTCTTCGCTGCATCTACTGGCCTCGGGTGATATACGATTTTATAGGTGTTGACAATGACGGATTGATCATCTAATTCTGGCTCTTGGACTAGACTTTACGTGATGCTATGAATGATGTGAAACCATTAATTGAAGCTTCAAGACCGATATTATGAACTGTCGTATACGAACCTAAAATATTGCGATAAACGTCTACCGCTCGAACAACCTTGATGAACGACATTATCCACATGACTTTCCCAAGTATGCTGTCAGACATACATTCCATCAGCAGGCCTCTTCTGGCCAAACTCCTTTGAAAATTTCTTATTTGATTCGGCGGCCAACTCTAAGTATTTGTAGTTCACCTAGTTGACGTTAGCCTCAGCGAGAGCGTGTGTAATTGCTGCGATGTTTTTGATCTGTTTCACGATTAGTCAGTAAATAAGATGTTTACTAGAGCATCTTAGATACCTACCTCTCGTCTATTCAGAGTAAAAGACTCCAGTCGTCGGAGCTCGTGCTCCTCAACAACGGCAGGTCCTTTTATCGTATATGCCTTGGACAGGAAAATTGACCAGAGATCTCTGCGAAACTCTCTCGTTAAATTCTTATACCTAATAACCAAATAGATCCGGCTGAGAATTGCGTCATCAAACTGGATACCCCGATTCGAAGTCAAGAAAAGAATTCCTTGATAATATTCGAGCTTTCGGAGGAAAATAGTTACAAGGCGATTGTGGTTATCATAGTAAGATGTCCGCTGCTCTATAAACGCGTCTGCCTCGTCTAAGAGAAGAACGGTATTGAAGTGTTTAGCGATCTTGAATACTGTTTCAAGTTGTTGCTTAAGTATATTAGAATCTCCGTGATCGATAACAAGTTTACCTGCGGATATCTGAAAAAATCAGTGATAGCAAAATCAGCCGCGCTAGGTGCTTTATACCGAATAGAGCAGGAGCTTGAAATACTCTAAGGTTGCCTTAACCGTGAAAGTCTTTCCGACTCCCGGTAGGCTACTAGGCACGGGTTAGGTTGGAAGTCTTGATAGTATAGAGGTTTTGACGATATACTTCAAAAGAATGTTGAATCCTTAGCCCTTTTTATTGATTACGTCGTCGAATGGTACCGTCGGTATTATCCCTAGGCGGGTTTTCGCTAAGGACAAGAGGATGGTCTTGGTCTCTAAAGGGATCTTTAGGCAGTCGAACGACTCAGGTGACTAATCCACGTCCCTAAGAGCACTGACTGTATACTCTACTGGAATCAAATTAGTTAGACGCCAAATATGTCAGTCGTCTTATATATAGAAAATTTTCTCCTTGAAGCTAAAATAGTATACTGTTAGGCAGGCGACCAAGAAATCGGTCTCCCGTAGCTTTTGTGTATCCACACCGTCTCTTTGTATCCTCTCTTTCTCTCGCTCGCGGTCCTCTATAAGTATCGCACCTATATCGAAAACTGTAATTCCGCCCTTGTCCTTGACCGCTAGATCGCGGAGTGACGGCCGGGAGTAGTTTGGCTGTATTTCATGGAAAAATGCGGCGTCTACTGCTACTCGGCTGTTGATGTTGATTTTGAGAATCTTCCCCTTGTTCATGAAGAATGTACTGCCTTTACAGTGCTATATGTGCGAGCTAGCTAAATCCCGAAACTTTTGACCTCTCTAGACTAGGTCTTTTCGGACCTGCTCGTGACTCGGATAGTGGTAGAGAGGGTAAGCCTTAAGAGTCGCGATCGGCTTTGACCCTCGAAACTTTGGCACACGCAAAAAGATTCCGGCCTCGCCGAACTTAAGTCCGTCATAATCAAGAAATCGGCATTCGAGATTAAACCACGTCTCGTCATTCTAAGTTATTTCTTCCCCGGCATCGAATACGACACATCACGGCTCTTTTGTGCTAATGTATATAGTATAAATATAGCAGCCAGGCTTGAAAAGCGCCCAAAGAAGGTCATAAGTAATATGACCGTGCTGTAATATTGATGAGAGACGCTGCGAGATAGCTATATATGCTTGCTTGAGGTGGTCGATGAGTATACGGAGCTCCGCTAGCGCCGACTCGTGGTCGGAACTATTGTCTATGTTCTCCGCGTATCTGTCAAGCTCTGAGAGGAAGTGAAAGAGGACGTTTTGTTCGATCTAGATCTACGTCAGCGTTCTCTTCGAAATTCTAGTCGGTCTCAATTACCGATGGCTTGTCCTCTATAAGGCTAATAGCTTTGATGTCATGCAGCACCACACGCAGGATGTCGCGTAGGCCTTCCGATTTGATGTCTATGTAGGGCGTCACCTTATGGGAATTCCGTTCTAATTTTGCGATTAGTGTCGGTTCAGCCCCCTATGCAAGGTCATTACGTACTAATACGTTCACGGATAATAAATGCATATTCCGCATAGTCCTCCTGACCACTGCGGGTCTCTACTGGCTCTGCTACCTTGTATTTGCATGCTTCTTTGTCCTAACTACACTCATGTTAGCGGTTTCAAAAGGTCTGGAAGGGTGAGTTGGTGACCCATACGTTTCCACTACCGTCTTGAATTGGGGTGTCGAGGCCCACTTTGCAAACGATTTGAAATCATCTGGGGCAGTACAGATCGGACTGCTGAGAGCAATTCCATCTGCTACCTGAATGTCTTCTTGTTTATTGCTTTCTAGACAAGACTGAGCAGTATCAGTTGCCGCAGGCAGTTCAGCTGAAGCATATTCATTGTGCATGAGCTTCACCAGTAACTGCTTCAGTTGAACCATGACGGGGCCTGGTGGGGACTCGTCCTGGGAGACAGAGGTGTTTGGAGGCTCTTTGTTGGTAAGATCGAGCAGCGCCTTCTCAAGAAACACGCCAAAAAGATGCTTCAGATCCTTCACGATAGCTGGTGAGACAATTGTCCCCTTCGTGGGACTGTTTGGGGGCGTCAGGCCTTGGTGAGAGGGAGAAATTCTTCTCAATGCCATGTTGTGCTCGGAGGAAGGCATGTCCGGATCACTATGAGCAGAAGTCATGTTGCTTGATCCGGCCGATGGGATTGTTTGTGAGATGAAGAAGAAAGATTGAATCCGCAAGGTCACGCCTGATGTGAATGCGAGCAAAGAACCAGACGTATTGCTCCCATTTATATTCCATTTGGGATTATCATTGCCGACTCCAGCTCTTTGGTATTCTCGCCAAAGTACCGGTTAGCCAAGCTGTGGACATAGTGCTATAGGGCGTCTTGCACACCCCCTCCCGGATATCAAACGTTACATTGCGTCGAACTTGGACCAGCCGGCATGAAAATTGGAAAGTCAATAATTTCAGAGACTTTTCTATTATTTTGTGGGGCCATAGCCAGACTGGCTACGTGTACAGTAAAGCGGGGGGAGGGGAGGGGGATTCATGTGACACCTGTGGTACTCAAGCCTAATAAAGCCAAGCTCACCTATTGTCTAATTTATTAACCGTCAGCCATCAGTCGGACTTTTATGATACTAGGATACTATGTCCGCAGGCGCAGTTCTCTCACAATTTTCAAACTTACTCAACCACATAGAGACTCTGGGTCCTAAATTGAGCTCTAACATCCGTCCAAACCGCGACTAGTTGGACGAGATTCAGAAACTAAGGGAGCGACTCAAATCAGCTTTGGTAGGTATAGAGTCTTATGTAGAACTTTTGTTGAGTAAAGCAGCTCCGACAGTCAAAGAGCGAGACCTTGCAAATCGTATCCGATCTTTTCAAGTCGCTAACTAGTTTAATCCAGCACTGTTTCGAAAGAATCTAGTGCTTATCTTCCGAGGACTAGATGAATCTGCATTAGATCTAGACAAAGTAAGAAGCCGGAAGGCCAAATCTCGAGCCCGATATAAAACACTTCGCGCCGAATCCCCTTACTTGATTCTGAGGTGGGCAATAGTACTTCAGCTATCGGTCTGGATACACCGAACAGTTATGGTAGATAGTACCTTCGATTTTCTTATTAGAGATTTGAAGGCGATATCTGATTAAATACCTTCAAGGGTTGCTGAAAGCCTATATTGCTTAAAGGACGAGGAACCCCTGAAACTTTGCTAATAGTTCCAAGAATTTGTCAAAGCTATAGATCGATTAATCGGCGTGGAAGAGAAAGAGTATACGGCGCGGTACAAACGGACGCGTATAGAACAATATCTACTAATAGGAAGAGAATATTATGCTATAGAAAATGATGAGAAACAAATGATAGAACGAAGAAGCAAAGGTAAGTAAATAACGCTATGTCATGCACAAGAAAATAATGCTAAAATGATGACAGAAATCGACTACAAAATGTTATCTATGCCGTCTAGAAAGCTGCCACATTTGATTAAACGTCTTTCGTGGGCGATAGAGAGTAGCGAGCAATAGAAGTGGGAAAGACGAATCTCTGCTGAGAAGCTAGGGAGTAACGATGCCGATACAACAGATTGCCTTAACTTTTTTGTCCCGAAAGATCGAAGCCAAGATATATCGATTACCTTGGTGGTCGGTCGCCGTGCTAGCTTCGATTTGATATACGAAGCAGAAGTTGAAATTATCCGCGTTTGAAAGTTATAGTCGCTCCGATCACAGGGGCTGCAATCACGCTTACTTAGTATCCGGCAGGCACAATTGTAGTTTCCTCTACCGATAGGTCTTGTCCGTTTTCCTAGATAGCAGGAGACCGAGGATCCGCTTTCGGATCAAAAATAATGATTGATTCTCCTTTCCCTATGATTGTCCTCGCGTAGTTCGCCTCCCGAAAAAGAGCACCGCCTTTGATTTCGTATATATGATCTTCTACTGCTACGATTCCAGATTCTTCGGCCATTGCGCACAGTGTTCTTTGTTTCAGACTTAGATATAGAATAAGACGGTAGGATAGTCGAGTTCGTAGGATGAGTTCATGAAGCAGGGTTTGATAGAAATATTACGGCAAACGTGACGGCAGGAAGTCGAGTTCGTTGGATAAGTTCTTAGGGCAGGGTTTGATGAAGTATTACGGAAACCCTGACGGCAGGATAGCCAAGTTCGAAGGATGGATTCGCGAGGCGGGGTTTGATGAAATATTGCGGGAAAGAGTAATTCGAGCAAAGCCCCGCTTAAATCAGATTTCAAGATAATAGAGGGACAGCTAACACGTGACTATTGCGGCCTAATCGGGTAGACACGGGAAGTCAGTTAACGAGTACTAGAATTCTTTATGTTAATAGTCTTACCTCAAGCTGTGATGTGAGGGATATCAAACTTTCTTTATGAGGAAATATGGAATTATTAATCTCATCAAGCTTATCATGGCTATTTCGGCCTGTTCTACGTTAGTCTAGATTCTGGATCATCTAAGGGGTCGTTCTCATAGTTGCTAGTTGTGATTGCCTAAACTTTTCAAAATATGCACTGACTGCGATGATTCCTGAAAAAAACCAGAAGATTATGGCCGTTAAGGCCGCTGCCTTCAGAGCCCGTTGGTGATTGGATGATTGATTCCGGAAGAAGCCTAAGCTTCGAGATGATGTTGTATACGAACTGTTTGACTGATTGCAAATTCGCCAAAGTCGAATGTACTAGATCGCAAAAAAAAAGGTCTTAGCTGAAGTGAGTAAAAGAAGCGATGCGTATAAAACGTGGCGTATTTTTTCCTGTATGTAGTCAAGGAAGAAGCTGTTCGATTGAGTCAAGATTAGGCCTATAGAAGTCAGAAACAAGACTTACCTTAGTAGCAGCAATGATTTGGTGATAGGAAAGATGATAAAAAAGAGGATTGATGCGGAATTTTGGTTTATAAGGCCTAGAAACTTGTGGATGTTAGCAGGATCCACATTGAAGTTGGGTATGTTTACCTCGTTTATCGGTGGTAGAAGAAGTAAAAATCCTAATTCAACTGTTAGTACAGGCCTCGATGAATCTGTAGTAGGAGGTAGTAGGAATCGTTAGCTAGTTATTAGGAAGGTCTTGACGATACGTACTACTTCGGAGGACTGGTTAATAAGTAGCTAATGCTATTGACCTAAGTAGGCCGGCGAAGATCAAAACTCCTACTATAGCTTGTGAGAAAACGTAGGGGTTTTGATAGAGTGAGACAAGTCGGGAAAATTGTCTATTAGATATCAACACTAACTAAAGTAAAAGAGATATACTAGTATACACCGATGCCGTTGCTGAAAGGATAATTTGAGAAGAATCAGTTTTAGCTATTTTGATTTGATCATTTTGCTTTTACTCTGTCTGTTCAATAAGGTACTTATATGTTTTGCCTAGATCTGATATAAGAGGATCCGCGAAAGCTGCAGGTTTATGATATCTCTAAAAGTTATTAAATATCTTGCAGGCTATAGTTCTTTGTTAGTCAACAAAAATAATGACTTATAAAAAGGTATAGGTAGGCTGAGATCACGGCGGAAACCTTATTGCACCGGGCCTTGAGGGCTAATAAAAGCGAACTGATAGCTGCGAGAAGATAGGACGAAGGGGTGGGGAGTGTGACTCGGCCTTGCACTAATGTATTAAGTTATGCACGGTTCTAGCCCTGTAAATAGTCGAGGTAGGATTCCCTGCTCGATTCCTATCTTTATGTATGCTGTATGCTAAATCAAAGATAGAAAAGTACCTTGGATTCAAGATCTGCCTAATCTCTAGATATAAATAAACGTCGGAAGGATTAACTGTCTGCTTCCTATCTCGGACGTTCTTGGCCTAATAGGATGATCCGTGTATAATAAGGATGCGGCTCTAATAAATTATAAGAGAATCTTGATATAGCCTCGCGCTAATGTATAGGATTTCATATCCGTTCTATGCTATAGTCTAATGATAAACGACAGCTTTGGCCCTAGTCATGCAGGAGATATATAGTTCTGAAACTCTTTTTTTAGCTAAAGAAATTAGCTACTAATCCTGAACATAATCTAGCAGACTTTTGGATTCTAGTATAACGAGGTAGCTACAGGTGGCGTTACTAGCGAGCACCGAACGAATATTTAAAGACCACACGTCGCTCGTTTAGCTAAAGCATCTTATTCTCTTTTTATCAACGCGTATCCGCAACCACAATCAATACCTTTTTCTAAGTTCATTTCTATCATGGCAGTCGCTGTAACTTCTCCGATCGTTATCCCTGGCCTTAATACTCCTCCTACTATTAAGGACCTCTAGTAGTCATCGCGAGCGTAGGAGAACCTTAGTGACTTGTGGTTAGACTAGCAGTGTACTAATAAAATTTGAAACAGTTACAATCTTCTACCGGACGATACAGACCAACCACAAGTGTAGAAAATTTTCCTTTAGGAGCTTGCTAGCCTCTTTGCACGTTTCAACGTCTAGAAAATATTTAGACTGTATCTTATCCACGGTTACCTCTAACTCGAGGAAGACAAAATCATGCTAGGCACGTCCCTAAAATCTGTTCGGGGATACTAGACCTAGCCTACTTCTATCGTAGATATCAACCCGGCAGAGATCTATAGTTATATCTTTAAGCTAACAGCCGGCGGCGAGATACAAGCCTACGAGTATCGCTAAGGACTAACGGCTAGTCTAGATGATGTCGACCCCGTGTTCTTCCAGGAACTGGTTAGATACCTTCAAACCTATTATCTGGTTGAACTCCTCGGGCTATAAGTCCTTACTAATGATACCCCGGCAATAATGAGTGAGTTTGTCCTCGCGAATAACGGTACCGTTATGTTGGATGAAAGTGATATAAAAGAACATGGAATACCTTTCCGTATTACTGGGTTCTTTCTTGAAGAACTAGGTATGACTGAGTTCAAGGACGGAGAGACCTATACACTAACTATAAGAGGCACCTACTAGGTTTTTACCAACAACAAGATCGAAACAGAGAACTAGCTTATGGCTATCCTCCGGAGTAAGGATATCGTCTTTTGAGTGTATCTTTTACCTAGGAGGATAGTATCGGGATATTTCAATAGCTGAGGTGTTAGTAACGTTTTTTGCTAATGTAGTTTCCTCTCGTCTACTAGATTTTCAAGTACAATACATATAGAGGCATATAACGTCCCCCCCCCCCCCCCCGCCCCGGGCTGCCTTCCAGCACATTATACGCAGGATCAGAAAAGAGGAGCTAACTCATCAGCAGCACAGAAAGCATCGAGATATACGAGTGAACTATCCGGCTAGTCTATCCGCACACTTTGCACTACGCCTTGCGTGTTAAAATTAAACCCGTAATAGTAGAAGAATCCGGCCATCCTCGTAGCGCGAACTAAATGCAAGTCAGCGTTAGAGAAATTATGGGCCTCCTCCCGAAAGGTTTGCTAGAACAGGCTCTCGAGTTCACGGTAGCCATCGTAGTAGCGCTACCCTTCTGAATCTATCCGACCTAAAAGATTCTTAAGCCTGTAAAGCGCGAAGCCGAAAGGCAGAATCCTTGATTTAGCCTAGTCGATAATTCCTGTGATATTTCCAGTTTTGGGATTGACGAGGAGATTTATTATATTAAGGTCACCGTGGCTAAGAACGCAAGGAAGGGCTTTGGAAAAGAGAGACGGGAGCTCCTTGCGGACTATATCTAAGTTCGGTGCAAAGCGAGATGGCAGGTTTCGAGCAAGAAGATCAAAATTTGATTGAAACTCTATAAGTATATCCGCAGTTGTATCTAAGCATGGCCGTAGGTCGTTGTTCCACGACTGCGCAAAGAACCTGTTCTTAAATATAAGTTTATGCAAATGAAATCAAAATATTGCTAGGAATACCTTGTAAAGTCCTTGATAGTGTTGCGCTATCGGAGTATATCCTCTAGAGGAATACGCGCTATTATGTGAGCAGTTCTAGGAAGGTGCTCTATCTCGTAAACATAGACTAGCCGTGAGTTGCCTATAGTACCAAGATACTTGTAGCTAGCCACAAAGTCGGGATAGACTGTTTTAGCGAGAGAAATGTTACCTATGTTAATGACAGAGTTCTTATCTCGGAACTAGAAGAGCTTAGAGTTGTTGGGCCCCGCTGTCACGGTATAGCTATATACTCCTTGTATTTGTAAAGTAGTAGACACACTACTAGCGCGAGAAATAGCAAATTCATTATATTGTTTTCTAGTGATAGTAGTGTTCGAGTTAAAGAATTCATTAATTGCACTGTTAGGGCTGTAAAGAATATAGGTTGTTATTGTGGTGAAGTGGAACGGCGGAGGGAGCTGTAAGGTAATGTAAAGAGAAGAACCGAGTAGACTAGGCTAGATAACCTTAAGGCTCACCGCTATTTAATATTATTAGCGGTCTTACCACGAAAAAATACCCCTAGGCGCCGTCCTATTATTAGCCGCGGACTATTCCCCTTATCTTATTAGAATCGAGATATTAATACGAAATAAGATCGTTTGGGTTATTTGTTTTAGGGCATACGCGTCTGTTTGGTTTCCGTTGAAGCTATAAACGTACGATACTCTGCTTCCTGGCTTCACTAAGAATAGTCGCATTTTCTATATCCTTTACTATGATAGCCGTATTTACTGAAGACTTAGACTCCGGTATACCTATGCCTGTAGTAGTCGCTTGCTTTTCTAGGGTATTTTATGTAGATTGTCTCGTAATCTCCTAACAAAGAAAATCTGTTCTTTATAAGCTTGACTAATGAACAACTTTGATTTATAAACCACAGCCGTTTCTTGTACTTCTACGAGGCGTCTAGGCGATCATAGTCAGAATTGGGTAGTCTAGAGTCGCCTGTGAGCGGAATCCTCCTTCAATACAACGCAGACGATCCCGATAAGCCCTTGCAATCTAGACTATTGCATCCAGGAACGGGAGGCCACGCAGGTTTCATATCCCTATAACCATAGGCTATAGTCTATCTGTACTCACGCTACGCTCCTTGTTGAGCTATATGATGTATGCCCTCTTATTAGCCTGTTATTAGCCCGTTCGGTAGGTGAGGGCGGGATCGTGGCACGGTTTCGTAGCTGCAGGACCGGCATTAGGGAAGATGCAGCATCGACCGAGTTCAGGGTGCGGTATTTTTGCTATTGGCACATATAACTGGGCTGGAATTTCGAAGATTCTTCGACTGGATGTAGAGGAACCAGAGAAACCAACGATGACGACAACCGGGCACCGTGGTATTTGCGACCAGCAAACCGCGAGCCATTCTGTGACGCCGGGGCTATGCAATGTAACCTCGGATGGGGCGGACAGAGCGGGGCATGCGGCATCGAATGCATATTGGCATTTTGCAGATACGAAAGAGGGCAGCGGGCTTAGAGATGTGCAAGGCGCACTATTAGAGGTAGACCTAGATAGCTCGTAGCGTGATGATTTGGGAAGTAGTAGAAGCATCGACACGAAATCACACCAATGCAGCTGCGAGCTAGATCATCCTAGCGATTCTGTTCTAGGGCGACTGCTCTATTTCATGGGAGAGAACGAGCTGGGCCTCGTCTCGAGCGGTATCTCCGGTAAAATGAAAGGGGTAGTGCGTCGGGCTGAAAGCCAAGGCGTAATGGTCGGTGGGGGCCGGAATGGAAGAAAGGGGGCGGCGATGAGTGCAAGATAGAGGAGTTGAAGGGAGGGAGAGGGAGGGAAAATGAGGTCGAGAGGGCAGGCGTTGTCTTTTATGTCGGAGCGATGGGGGGAGAGGTGACAAAACAGTGTATTAGGGCGCTAGGCCGGGAACGGCAAAACTAACCGGATGTAGTAAATCACAGGTCCCTATATTATATCTAGAATATAAGGACCTATGAAATCGACGCCGAAAATGATAGCCCTTGGCGCTAGAAACAGCCGCCTTTCCACCCGTAACTTCCACTACCTAGCCGCCGCTCGACTACCCTATCAACCTTGACTACTACTAGTTAACTAACATGACTGACTTGGCGGATATATAGTATATCCTTTCTCCGGGCGTCCGCTATTTCGCTTCGACATTTATCGTTGAGCGGCAAACTTCGTTCGAACAACCTACCGAGACAAAGGTTTAAAGGTTCACTGCATATATACTAGAAAATGTCTAGCAACGCTTGGCGGTCTCCTTCTATTCTAGTGCTCACCCCCTCGCCGCTTTTGCTTACTGAGTAGAATTGAGCACGCCCCTGATCAGCCTAAGCTGCTTAGTGATTAATACGTAATCAGACTGATTCATCACTAAGCCTGACTTAAGCATCCTGATCTGATCACTAAGCCTGACCTGAGCAATCTCTGGATTGCTTACTAATCTCCTCTAAGGAGAACCGGCCTGAGTAAGCAGGCTTAATAAAACGCGATACGCTAGCCCGGCCCCTGTGCAGCTTTTCCCTTTTAGTAAAACAGTGGGCTTCGTAAAATTTGCTACTTCTTTGGCGATCTTTCCTATTGCAAGCAGGATGTATTTAGTGAACATCGTTCAGTTGGACAATTATACTTATCGTAGATTTAACGCTCCTGGGAGCATTCTCCGTTTTCCCCGATACTTAGCTAGTTTAGTGAATATCGTTCAATTAGATAATTATACTTATCGTAGATTTAACGCTCCTAGGAGCATTCTCCGTTTTCCCCGATACTTGGCCAGTTTAGTGAACATCGTTCAATTAGACAATTACACTTATCGTAGATTTAACGCTCCTAGGAGCATTCCCCGTCTTCCGCGATACTTGGCCAGATTGATTGATTGATTGATTGATTGATTGATTGATTGATTGATTGATTGATTGATTGATTGATTGATTTATTCATAGACTGTCCTAGCCGCCCTAAGGCAGCTATGCAGCGTCCATCTATAAGTACAGGTGTCCCCGCCCTTGCTTTCAGACAACAAGCCGTCCCTCCTAGAACTGCTTCCTTCTTCCGCTCCGGCCGGTCGTCCCCTACTTATAATCTAATGATTGTTCTGTGTCTATATACTTGTCAAGCCTTTCCTGGCCCTCCTCTTCTTCTATATACCAAAAATCACTCGTCTTCGCTATGTGTATTTCAGTACCGTGGATGGTACTACTCGGGATTGTCCTAGCAGTCCAGTCCTCAAGATCATCTTTGCTACTTGTACTGCTATTGGCGGGCTACAGAGAATGCGTTTGATGTCGATGTATAGAGCCTTGCCTGCCCACATTCGATGTCGTTCGTCCGCCCAGTTTCGGCACTCGAGCAGGACGTGCCGTACAGTTTGCGGCCCGTGGCCGTACTCGCATTAGTCGGAGTCGGCCTTGTTGATGGCGTGGAGGTATATACGTAGGCCGATCTTGCCTGTGCGCATTTATGTGGCGGAGCTAATCGCTCTGTGTATACCAATATGCGTATCGAGTATAGCCTTCCCTGGCCTCACCCCGAGCTTAAAGAGCTCTCTACCGTGCTTAGCATTCTCCTAGGCCGTATCCTACTCGCCTCTCATCGCTCGACGGATAATAGACTTAGTGGTTGCCGTGAGTATTCGCAGAGAGTCTACTTCTAGCGGCCGCTCAGTGTTCGCTCCCGTGCTTAGATTAGTTCCGGTGGCCTCTTTCGCTGCTTAGTCGGCTGCCTCGTTACCTAGCACTCCGACATATACTAGAGTCTATCGGAACTTAATTTGCCACCCCTAGCTCCGAAGCTTGTCGACTGCTCGAATAGCCTCGACTAAAATGTATTACCCGGATAGGTGCTTAGGGTTCCGAATAGCTTAGATAGCGGCTTAGTTGTCAGTGAATATAGCGGCGTATCTATCTGGCGGGACGTATATTAGCGGTGTGTCGAGTACCATCTGTAGTACAAGAACGAGCCCTCTGAGCTCTGCTACGTACACCGTAGAGGTCCTAGATATACCCATATACTAAGTCCGCTTCGTCTAGGGTCCGTTAACGTAGGGTACATACATTACCGTAGCTGCTCCGACGTAGCCGTTAATGCCACTTCCGTCGGTATAGATACGAAGCGTTCCTGGCTCGATAGCATCATACTCCTTGACTGCTTCCTCTGCAGATTCATTAATGCGGACGAACGGTGGGATCTATATAGTGACACCACATACGGTATACGCTTTTCGAGCCGGTCAAGCTATACCTTATATTTGCGTTCGAGGATACTCGAGAAGCGGTCGAGGGGGCCTCTATTCGCTAGTCCTGCCGGCCTCGGTTAAGGCTATATCGATGTATAGCGGGGTAGTTCTAATGCTTCAGATAGAAAATTCTCAACCGTTCAACAGCAACAAATTTACCGCTCAAGTCGCTGAATCCGCTCTGCATAGCGTTCAACTGCTTCTCGAATCCCTCAATAATACGCAACTCAACACTAAACTCTTGACAGAATTAAGCGATCGATTATCCGCTATAAAAAATATTCTACGGAATTTCATATTAAGACTAAATATCCCAACACTCTCCTCTAAGCATAGTCATAAGGTTCATCGATTCCTCTGCCTTGCCCTCGGAAATCATAGAGATACATACCTTGACCTGACCCGGACTTTGTCAAAATTCAAACAATATTCAGACAATTATGTCATGCACGGAGTGGATAAAAACAGCCCCAATATTTTCGTTGAGTGGCAAGCAGGGCAAATAATTGAGCGTTTATCTATATAGGTGCCTATAATCTATAAAACGATTAAGAATGAAACCCTGTAGGTGATGTTCAACATACTCGAGATATACTTATGCTATTAGGTTCCTCTAGTCAGATTTCGTATATTGTTCACAAATACGACGGAAAGCGCACTTTGTGCACGAGAAAACGATATAGCAATAGCTATCATTAAACTAAACAAGAAGAACCACATACTTAAGGACCGGCTATTAGCACTAGAGCTCCTTGTCCGCTAGATTAAAGAACAATCTATTAGAATTCAATACACTCGAAATGTTTTTAACGGCCTCCTATCCGAAATTCGCCAGCAGAGAGACAAAAAATAGCGGTCGGCTTTTCCGAAGCCTCAGTAACCGTTTCCCGACCAATACATTGCGGAAAATAGAATTAGAAACATTGTCATAAATAGACGACTAGGGATATTAGGGGGAAGTAGATACGATAGAGGTATTGTAACTAACCATAAGAGCAAAACATAGCTTACGGTTTTATTCTAGGCTATATATATGACGACTCGACCTCGACCTTGCCCGTTTGGCAGTGCATGCGCTCGTCTTCCTTTGCCCTGCAGGTTTGCTGATTGTAGGCCCAGGCCTTTGTTTCTTTCTTCTTGTAGGCCTATATAGGCCTTTCCCTTCTTCTTTTCCTTCTTCGTCCTCTTGCTCTCCTA